AATGTTTTGATACTCCAATATACTATGCTGCCAAAGACAGCCTACAGACCCAGAAACGACCGCCCGAAGCGCACGTCTCACTGGGATTATCAACCAAAGCAATAGCCATGATGATTGTTCATGCTGTATTCTACACTTTTATCGCATATTACACAGTTAAGAAGATCTGAAAAGCTGAATTCGCTCGCCGGGCAGGCTTAGCCGTACATGTCCGAGCAGTCCCAGGCACCGGTCCATACGTTTCAGAAAGGAGAACGTTCACGCCAAGTCATGACATGATAGACCCGCGGGTCGCTTACCTGACCCGCAGTGCGCCGATTACTGATCGCCGAATCAACCACAGTTTTCGGCGATCAGTAATCGGCGCTTTTCAGGAAATGCGCCGACTTAACGAACGTGCTTGTCGCCGAAACCAGCTTGCAAATTGCGCCGAAAGACTTTTGCCGATGCCAGGCTAATTGCGCCGAAATCTAAGAAACTTTCACGGCGACCACCCCTGACAGCATTCGCCGATCAGCGATCGCTGATCAACCATAGTTTTCGGCGATCAGTAATCGGCGCTTTTCAGGAGATGCGCCGACTTCACAACCACGCTTCTTGCCGAAACCAGCTTGCAACTTGCGCCGATTTACTTTTGCCGAAGCCATATCCGTCGCCGAAACAGTTTTACGCCGATTTCTGAAAGTAACCAAGAAACTGCGAATGGCTCATTAAATCAGTTATAGCTTAATCGACATTACAATGCAAGACATCACAACAAGGAGACCGGCGACACACGGTGTTCGAACCCATGCCGTACCGTGTCACTGTACGACAGGGGTGTTCAGAGGAGCTGGAGCGAGGAAGGGGTGGTGAGGGGAGTGGGGAGTATGGAGGGGGTGGTCACGGTCACCAAACAGTTTTACGCAGATTTTGGAAAGTAACCAAAGAAACTGCGAATGGCTCATTAACTTAGTTATAGCTTAGTCGACATCACAATGAGATATTGCAACAAGAAGATTGGTGATACGTGGTGCCCGAAGCCATGCCGTACCGTGTCGCTGTACGACAGGGGTGATCAAATGAGCCAGAGCGAGGAGGGGGTGGTGAGGGGAGTGGGGAGCATGGAGGGGGGTGGTCACGGTCACCAAACAGTTTTACGCCGATTTCTGAAAGTAACCAAGAAACTGTGAATGGCTCATTAAATCAGTTATAGCTTAATCGACATTACAATGCAAGACATCACAACAAGGAGACCGGCGGCACACGGTGCCCGAACCCATGCCGTACCGTGTCACTGTACGACAGGGGTGTTCAGAGGAGCTGGAGCGAGGAAGGGGTGGTGAGGGGAGTGGGGAGTATGGAGGGGGGTGGTTACGGTCACCAAACAGTTTTACGCTGATTTTGGAAAGTAACCAAGAAACTGCGAATGGCTCATTAACTTAGTTATAGCTTAGTCGACATCACAATGCAAGATATTGCAACAAGAAGATTGGCCATCGTGGTGCCCGAAGCCATGCCGTACCATGTCGCTGTACGACAGGGGTGGTCAGAGGAGCTAGAGCGGCGAGGGGGTGGTGAGGGGAGTGGGGAGCATGGAGGGGGGTGGGAGGGCGTGCCGAAACCCATGCCGTACTGCGTTGCCGTACACCTCATGGTGATGCAGGGGCGGTCAGAGGTGCTGGAGGGACGAGGGGGTGATGAGGGGAGTGGGGAGCATGGAGGGGGGTGGGAGAGCGTGCCGAAACCCATGCCGTACTGCGTTGCCGTACGACACCACATCTCAGGACACCATCCTGATGATGCCAGGCATGATGAGTGATGAGGGGGTGATGAGGGGAGTGGGGAGCACGGAGGGGGGTGGGAGGGCGTGTCAAAACCCATGCCGTACAGATGCCGTACAAGCGTACAACAGTTGTCGTATGCTGTCGTACACTGCCGTACAGCTGTCGTACATAGTCGTACATGTCGTACACCACATGATGTGTCACCATACTGCGTGGCAACTGTGCCGTACAGTTTGCTGCCGTACAGTGTGTTGTCGTATTCGAGATCTCCCAGAACACCATCCCCATAGGCCCAGGCATCATCTCCAAGGGTGCCAAGGAAGTCGCCAAGAGGTCGCTACCTGGCTCGAACTGGAGACCTCTGGCTGGCTGAGGACAGGACTGAACGCTTAGCGCCTTAAGGTCGTTGCCACCACTTTTGTGAACGGACGGACGGACAGACAGAGATTTTTAGCGGTGATCTGTCCTCCAATCCTCCCCTCCACTTCGTTACGGGGGGATTTACGGTCACCGACTGTCCTCCAATCCTCCCCTCCACTTCGTTACGGGGGGATTTACGGTCACAGGCAACACGAATGGTTAGGATGGGTGTATAGAAAACCGAGAGTTGTGAGGAAAGCAAAAAATGCGAAATGAATGTGTGAAATATGCGAAGGGGCCTTGGTGACTAAGGGTAGGGTAGGATAGTATGCAAAGAGGGGTGTATACTAAAAAATGCAGTTAAGGGAAACAAAACAAAAGGGACGAATATATAATGGGCGATGACAAACATGCGGTACGACAGGGGGCAGGTGGATGTACGGCAGGGGTAGCACGGCACGGGGCAGCAGTGACAAGGCAAGACAAAGCAAGGCAATGAGCATGGATGTGTCAACTGGGCATGGCAATGAACAAAGGGAAAGGCACAAGGGAGGAGGAGGGGGAGTGCGGCCTGTGCTGTCCGGTAAAGGATCCCCACAGCAGGCCAACACCAAACGGGTGACCGCAGTGTCACACCGTTGGGCATGGTGCATGACGTCATGAGCACAAACTACGGGGACGTATGGGTGCGGGGAGGCGATGGTGGGGACGACATGACATGAAGGATGGTGGAGGTGAGGTGACGAGGTGGGCTGACCTAGGGGGAGAGAGTTGGTGGTGACGGAGGTGTATGCGCTAGGTGTAGTGGATAGGTGGATAAAGCGTGGGGGATGTGTACGAAACTATATGGTAACGATGGTACAGGGCTGGTCGGAAACATGGAATGCGGCGTGACATGGGCATGGGAGAGGGCACGAAGCACGAGGGGAGGCCGAAAAGTTACATTACGGAACAGGCGGCGCCACCACGCAGTCCAGCGAGCTCCAGAAGGGCGGGGAAGGTGTGGACACGCCAGCGGGAGGTGGAGGGGTTAGGGCGCCAGCGGGAGGTGGAGGGGTTAGGGCGCCAAGGCGAAGAGGTAGGTGCGGGTGGTATCGAAAAGGGACTGGTCGAGCTCGTTGCGGGACAGGTAGAAGAGGTGAGGGTGGTCCGCAAGGAGGCTGCGGTATTGCTGAAGGAGGCGAGGGCGGGGGTGGTGCTGGCGTTCCAAAGCGAGGATGAGGTACGCGATGTTCTCACAGAAGTTGCGAGGGTCGGTGATGACCCGTCGCAAACGGTGAAATTGGCCCTTGAAGATATTACGCTTGCAGCTTTCGTTGACGCTGGAGGCCATGGAGACAAAACGAGAGAGACGGACGCCACGGAAGGAGGGTTGCTCGCGTTTGTCATACAGATGGGTAACGATACGACTAGCGCCGGCTGGGGAGGTAGTGGGGATGAGCAGGAGGTCGAGGAAAGGCATTTCGTGCTGCTGGAAGTGGGGGTGGAGCTGGGGTTCAACGGAGAGCTGCGGAGGGTAAATGCCCTGGAGGCCAGCGTACTGGTCGGAAGTGTAGAGGAGGTACGGGAGGTAGGGATTGTGAAGGGAGAGGAGATCGTCGAGGTAACGTTTACTGAATAGGAAATGCTGGAGGACGGTGGCGGCAGCAGCTGGGAGGTGGGGCTGGAGGGATTGGCGGAGGAATTGGTATTCAAACCAAGCCAGGAAAAGGTTGGCGATGAAGGGGGCAGCAGAAATACCCATAGGGATGCCGCATGTTTGCTGGACCAGAGCGGGGCCGAAGCGGATGAAGGTGGAGTCAAACCGAGGGGTGTGAGAGCTGCGACGATGTGAACCCGCATGGCCTGACCAGCCAAGGGCAACATGAGGGGTGCGAGAAACGCGACGATGTGAGTCCGCATGGCCTGACCAGCTAAGGGTAACGCGAGGAGCGTGCAAGCTGCGACAATGTGAGCCCGCATGGCCTGGCAAGCCAAGGGCAAACCGAGGGGTGTGAGAGCTGCGACGATGTGAACCCGCATGGCCTGACCAGCCAAGGGCAAACCGAGGGCTGTGAGAGCTGCGACAATGTGAGCCCGCATGGCCTGGCAAGCCAAGGGCAAACCGAGGGGTGTGCGAGACGATGATTTGAGCCCGCATGGCCTGGCAAGCAAATGGCAACTCGAGGGGTGTATGTGTGCATTGTGACGACTTGAGCACACGTGAGGGAGAGCGGGTGGGCGGTCTGATATTTGTTTTACCCGCATGGCCTGTGCAGCCAAAGGGTTCACGATGAATTGTGCACACATCATGGGGCTGAGCACACATGGCCTGACTAGTTAACGGCGCCCCGAGGGGATATGCAAAGGTCCTGATGCCCCTGATCAGCTGAAGGTATTACGCTCGAGGGGTATGTCATGGTATTTAGCTATTGACCAATATGGATGAGGTTGTGTGGAGGGATGCGTGTCGCGGCAGGGGCAGGGGCGGCCGTCGCGGCAGGGGCTGACGTTCACATCTAACAGCGTTCTGGCATCGGGCCATGTAATGTCGGTGTGGGCGCCAGCTGTTGGGCTGGCTAGGGAAGAGAACTTAAAGCGAAACCGCAAACTGGGCTGGGTTGTGACCATGCATCGCGGCTTTTACTAGCAGAAGGAAGTCTTCCTTGGGCGTTAACCATGTGACAGAGGAAATGCACCGGCCCCTTACTTACGACCCATTCCTGCGAAATTAATTTGGCCGCCACTAGCACCTGCTAGCAAGCACTGCAGGGATATCGTTTGGCTGGACGTCCAAACTTCAGTACACGTTGTAAGATGTGGTATGTCAGTCGTACCTGAATAAGTCAGCGTTTCACGGGCCTTATCTGGGTGCGCTTGCATGAAAAACAAGGGTTTCGCTCAAAATGATACAACATGTTGATCACCTTTCTTGTTACGCGTTGATGCATTCATAACGACTGTACTATCTATTCTTGCATGGCGCTCTTGGTAGGGCTTTACCTTGCACCCTTCCGGGTTTCGTAATTATATACAAACTTAACACAGACTTTGTTGGGAAAGATGGTTGGCTTTATTCACCGACTGCTAGCGTCCGATTGCGACATCGAAGTAGAAGAACACGTTTTTAACCCATACTACTTCGTGATATGCATTATACTGGTAATAGTATCAGGGATATGCTCTGGTCTTACTCTTGGTGAGCGGAAAGGCCAGCCATCCACTTATAGCGATGGCCGAAAGTTTATGGTTTTCGTGTGCTCAAATAACAGGACTGCTTTCGCTGGACGTCGTTGACTTGGAGGTGTTAAAGAGAAGTGGGAAGCCTCGCGAGCAGCAGTATGCGGAGAAAATTATGCCCGTCATCCGCAATACGCACCACCTCCTCTGTACGTTGCTGCTCTGCAACGCCGCTGCTATGGAGGTACGTGAAGGAGATACGTTTAGGCTCAATGGCCGAGATGAGTAGATTGAGCTCACATCCCAAACCTGCCATACAGGCTCTCCCCATCTTCCTGGATAAGCTGGTTGACCCCGTCACTGCCATTCTGGTGTCGGTCACCGCGGTGCTGTTCTTCGGGGAGATCATACCGCAAGGCACGTGGGTTGAAGGGAGTTGCCGGTTGCGGGTGACAACCAACGAAGAACCGTACCGCGTAACCGTTCTGACCAAAGACACCGACCACCTGAGTGTAGCAGAAGGCGCTGTCACAATGTCGCCGCCTGCTCAGCTACTCTCTCGCCACGCTCTAACTCTTCTTACCCCCTCCCTCTGCTCCCTCTCCCCCCTCCCCCCTCCCGCCCGCAGCCGTGTGTTCCCGGTTCGGCCTGGCCGTTGGCGCCAACCTGGCCTGGCTGGTGCGGGGCATGATGGTGCTCACATTCCCGCTGGCATACCCGATAGGTGCGGGGGGGTGGCCCAGAGGGGGGGTGGAGGGGACCGGGCAGGGGGGTAAAGAGTGTCAGCTATAACTACTAAGTGGGGGAGGGGTAGTTGGAGGGGAGGAGGCGCCTACCCCAGGGCCGGGGTATGGAAAGAGCGACTGCGCTGAGTACCCGAGCCTAACCACCTGCAGCCGTTTGCAATTGACCCCGTCCACATGACCTGTCCGCCCCCCCACCCCCCACCCACCCCTCCCCAGGCAAGCTGCTGGACTACCTGCTAGGGGCGGAGCACCACACGCTGTTCAGGAGGACGCAGCTCAAGGTGGCTGGGGGGGGCCGGGGAGGGGCGGGTGAAGAGGAGGGGAAGGTGAAGAGGGGGGTCCCCCTCTCGTCAACCCCCTTCTCCCTCGCCTCCTCCGTCCCCAGGCAACAGTTTGCTGCCCCCTAATCCCCATTGCTGTGCCCTAACCTCTGGTTCTGTGGCCTCTGACCCCCCCCCTTCAGGCCCTGGTGGACCTGCACGGGGCGGACACGGGGCTGGGCGGCAAGCTGTCCAAGGACGAGATAAACGTCATCACGGGTGCTCTGGACCTGACCCACAAGATCGCCTTCCGCTCCATGACGCCGCTGGACAAGGTGTTCATGCTGTCGTTGGAGGAGACGCTAAACGACGCGGTGAGGGGGGGGGGGGAAATAAAGAAACACTGACACTGACAGGGGGGGAGGGGGGGGAAGAATGCCCAATGGGTCGGGGGAACAGGTTGTGTTGGGAAGGGGAGAAGTATGTATAGGGGGTTTGTGGAAGGGGTGGGGGCTTGAGGGGACTGAAAGCGGAGGAGGACGGACGTCATTGTCAATCCCAGTAACTCCACAACACATGTGCGCAGGCTGGGGCTACCCCCGCAGCTCCCTCCTCTCCTCGACCCGCCCGCACTCCACCCTGTCAGTCAACGCATGGTATTCGTCTTCCCCTCCCCTCCTCCCCTCCCCTCCTCCCAATCCTATGATCCAGCCTAATGCGGAATATGTTTCCCTATCAATCCCCTCCTCTCACCCCCCCTCCCCTCCCCCCCCCCCTCCAGGTTGTGGAGGCGGTGCTGGAGAGCGGTCACAGCCGCATCCCGGTGCACCGCGGCACCGACCGACACGACATCGTGGGCCTGGTGCTGGTGAAGGAGCTGCTGAGCACCGTGCGCAAGGGGGGGCAGGTGGGTCGGGAGGGGGGGTGAAGGAGCTGCTGAGCACCGCGCGCAAGGGGGGGCAGGTGGGGCGGGAGGGGGGTGAGGCAGGTGGGGCGGGGGCGGGGTGAGGCAGGTGGGGCGGGAGGGGGGTGAGGCAGGTGCCCGGGCGGGGGAGCGAGGGAGCGGCTGAGGGGTCCAGCTGCATGGCAGCGGTTGTGGTTGTGGTGAGGTCGCGGTTGTGGTGAGGTCGCGGTGCTGTTGGAGCCGGCTTACCCAGCTGCAGTGTACACACTCTGCCATGCATGTACCCCCCCACCCACGTGCCTCCTCCCATTGGGCATTCCCACCCACACGTGCCCCGACTGCCGCCGCTGCCGCTGCCGCTGCAGGACGTGCCGGTGTCCTCCCTCAAGATGCGGCAGATACCCAGGTGGGTGGGGGGTGGGGTAGGAGGGGTAGGGGAGGGGTACGGGGACTGGGAAGTCGGGAGGGGGGTTCCTGGGTTCCCTGCTGTGGCTGAGGCTTGGCGAGACTGAGGCGGAGGCATGCCGCGAGGGCTCGGGCCGCTCTCCTGCAGCGCGACCTCGCTGCGCACCCCCTTGGTGGGTACCGCGCCGCCCTTAACTGGGATGCTGTGGTGTGTTATGACGCTGCTTGTAACACATACCCTTCCGCCTCCTTCCGCCCCCCGCCCCCCCAGGGTTAGTGCCGCCACTGCCATGTACGACATGTTGAAGCTCTTTTCCATCGGTCGTACCCACATGGTGGTGCTGGTGCAGCCGGACGAGGAGCAGCTGGAGGAGATACTGGACGAGGTGGCGCCGGACAGGTGCGGGGGTTGGGGGTTGGGGGGAAAAAGAGGATTTCCAAATAAGGGGGGGGGGGCAAACAGGGGGGGGACAACAAATGCGTGAAGGCGCAAAGTCAAAACCGCTGATACTATGGTGTTGGGAAAGTGGTAAGCCGCAGGGATTGTCACAGGTGGGGGTCGAGCGGCGTGGGGAGTGCGAGCGGGGGGAGTGTACGGATGCATGCGTGCATGGGGACGCGACCTACCGCGTACTCACACCCGCCAGGTATCCGTGACAACATGAAGCGCTGCATGCACAGGCCCCCCCACACACCTTGTACGTGCTTGTTGCCAACCTTACAAACCCCACCCAATCTGTGTTTCCATTTGTCTGCACACCTCTTGTCCTCCTTACTACACCGTTCTACACCCCACGAACATTCACGCGCACAGGAGCTCCTCCTCCTCAAGCAGCAGCAGCAGCAGCTCCCCCAGCCCCAGCCCCAGCCGCCGTACCAGCCTGGACGAGCGGCAGCGCCTGGTGGGGTCCGACCCGCTGTCCTCGGATGCGGTAGGGACGGCAGGAGCGGAGGGCGGCAGCGGCAGCGGAGGGCCACTGGAGGGGGGCCTACCGGGGGGAGCAGGGGGGGCGGGTGTGTCGGCAGCTGCGGCTGCTGCTGCCTCCGCTATGGAGCTCGGGCAGGTGAGCGGGAGGGGGCGGCATGGGGGCGGGAGGGCAGGGGGAGCGAGATCCGCCACGGGTCGCCAACTAACCCGTTACCAACTTGGCCTTACCGGTGCCCATTGCCCACCCCACCATTGCGGCCAATCCCACCCCCCTACGCTCCCCGGCCCCCACTCCCCTCCTCAGGCCCCCCGCGTGTCCCGCCAGACCTCCCTGGAGCGCCCCCCCGCCGGCGGCAGCCCCGAGGGCCCAAGCTCCCCCCGGCAGCCCCGCTTCAGCCTCCACACCGTCAAGTCCTTTGTGCTGGGAGCCCACCACAACCACCACCACAGCCAGCACGGGGAGCGGGACAAGGAGCGTGAGGGCAGCCACCGCGGCAGCAGCAGCCTGAGGCGCGGCAGCAGGAGCCGCCGCAGCAGTCATGACGGCAGCACCTCCAGTAGCAGCAGTAGCAGCAGCAGCAGCTCGGGTGACCCGCACTCGCACCTGCGGACGGGGTCGAATGCGCTGTCGGACAATGCGCCGCTGATTGAGGCGATTGAGGCGCTGGAGGACCAACTTGAGGTGAGAGAGGAAGGGAAGGAGGGAGGGAGGGAGGGAGGTAAAGAGGAAACAACTAACTAACCGTGTGATAAGGCGTCAATCATGGGGGGGAGGGAGGGGTAGAGATCCAGGGTTGCTTCCCCTTTAGGTGCCAACCCCTCCCCCATGGCCCCACCCCCTTCTCCCATCATCGAGCATCGGTATCGGTAAGGACTGCTAACCCTCCCATGTTTTGTGGCTCCCTGCCAACAATACCCAGTGTTTTGCCCTACCTTTGTGGTTTGGTTTATTCTACCCCCTTCTCCCCCCCCTGCAGGACAACCGGGTGCTGCCCGGTCAGCCCATCGGCATCATCACCATCGAGGACGTCATCGAGGAACTGTTGCGCTTCGAGATCATGGACGAAACCGACCAGTGAGTCAACCCCGGCTAGCCGCCCCTTTGCTGGCCATTCTCCCTGCATTCGCCATGTTCCCTGTCACCCCCTTGCATCTGTGTGCTTATTCATTCATGAGATCATGGCCTAACTGCTGCAGCTTAGGTGATTGCCGACCCAAGGGTCAGTCCTTGGCTTGTGACCCATGGGTCACCTGCACTCATCATGCTGCTGTCAACCTACCGCCTGCCCGCATGCACACAGGTACATGGACAACGAGAAGTCCAAGCCCGCCATGGACGCCAAGCAGGAGATGAGTCAAGCGCTGCCGCAGCGGCTGCAGGACCTGTTGGGGCTCTTCAGCGGGCGGGACGTCTCCAACAGCCTCGCGCGCATCAGCAGCCTGCGCCGTCGTTCCAAGGATTTCCCCTGGGCTTCTCCGTTCGGCATGGCGCCAGCGACCTCGGCAGGACTCAGTGCGATACCGCTGCAGGCGACAGCAGCGGGAGCGGCGGCGGCGGGAGCAGCATGCCTGGGTGGCGGCGGTTTTGGTGTGGGTGGCGGCCTTAGGCTGGTTCGTTCCGGGAGTTTCGGAGCGGTGCAGCACTCGGCGTTGAACGTTGCGGGCGTTACGTCGTCGCCGGGCGTTACGTCGTCGACTGCTCCGGTGATTGCGATGGTGAGCATGCCCCCCTCGCATGCTGCCGGAACAGCGGCAGCACCAGGCACTGCGACAACCGGCGGGGGGACTGTGGCGTTCAAGCGGCCAGCCTTCCTGCAGGCGATCCTCGGGGCGGCTGTGTTGCCCCCGCCCTCGCCTGTAACTGCCAACGGCAGCGCAGCTGGGCCCGCCGCCTCCGCTGCGGGTGGTGGTGCAGCTGCTGCTTCAGGAGCAGCAGCGGCCCCCCGCTTCCGTCGCTCGGCATCAGGAAGCCTGGTGCCCCCCGCACCAGTAGCCGGCGGCGGCGCGACGGCCGCTGCCGCATCCCTCAGCGTAGCGAATGGCGGCAAGGGTAGCACCAGTGCCGCAGTAGGCAACGGCGTGGGTACGGCAAGCGGCAGTCCCAGAAGCGGCCATGGCGGCGGGGGCGGTTGGTTCTTCGGTAGCTCGCCGCCGGGCGCAGGCGCGGAGGGAGGGCTGCTCAGTCGGCGCGGTTACACCAGTTTACTGCAGGGCGGTGGAGGTGGCGGAGGAGGCGGTGGGCATCACGGGGTGGGGGCCGGGCGGACGGGCAGCGGGGCGCTAGGCGGTGGTGGCGGCGGCGGCGGTCCTCATGCTGCTGCTCCTTCGCACTCCTCGCGGCTTGTGGTGGGGCACCTGGTGGGGGCGACCAGCCAGTTGGGAGCCATCGCGGCGAGCCTGCCGCGGGGAGGGAACAGACGGGGCGGCGGGGGCCATGCGGGGGCAGCACCCGCGGCAGGGGCGGGTGGGGCGGTTGGGGTTGCGGGCAAGGGGGGCCAGGAGGGGCAGCAGGGGGGCGCGGGGGGGGCTGCGGGGGCGGGAGCGTACCAGCTGGCACGCACGAGTTCCATGTGAAGGGGGTGGGCGTGGGGTTGGTGCGGAGGAGGGAGGGAAGGGAGGTGTGTGATCAGGGGCGGGCGGCCGGGCGCGTGTCGCACTGCGTTTTCAAATGTAGCTGGCATGATTTGAGGAGTGAGATGCGCTTGAGGAGTGAAGGTGAGCTCCAAAAATTTCGGAACTGTGGATAACTATTTGGAAGAGAGGAAAGGTGCCTCGATGACTGCCTAGCGTGTGCTGTTGACGGTGTGCGTGTGTTCATCAACTGCGTGCGCGTTAGGTGCAGCTTCACTTCGGGAACCGGATCGGGCAAACGTGTGCCATCTGCCATCTATGCCAGTGTTCAGGTCATGGGCCCCTGTCGTGCGCATATATAAGCTGAACCGTACCACGACAGCTTATGTGATTAGGTATTCAGGTTGTATTATGCTTGTACTGTATTGTCTTATCGCTGGAGCACTATTATAAGTCGGATCTCTCTGTTGCTGCCCTGGGTTTGCTTGCATGCGAAATGACTCACGTTCTATCAAGCCAGTGCTCGCGTGCGCCTGTTCGTGTCAGTGTCCCGCACACGTCAGCCGCTGTGCCCCCGCATGCGGGATGACCCCGGCTGGGATTCCTGAGTGGGTCCGGCTGCTAGATGGCTGGTGAGCGGCCTCTGTAAGGGAGGAGGAGGTTGGGCTGTGACACTGTGTTGCTACTGGGTTTGGTAGTATGTGATGTATGTGTGTGGAAATGTGGGTACCGTATATGGGCGGAGCATGGAGATTGAACCCTAGGCAATTCGTTGCTTGTTGAGGCGCTGGACAACGCAGCTGGCTGCAGGTAGCGAGGCAGGGTACCTGCCCAAATGTACTAAGCGGTAGGTCACCGCTTTTGACACATGCGCTCGAAACCAAGATGCAGGGCCTCCTCTCAGGGTCACTGCAGCGCCCGTCTTTTGGACCCACGAACCGCAACGTGCAATGCAACGAGCCTTGCAAACTGTAACACCCTGCGTCAGCCGTGCCATTCTCAACTCGTGTGTCATAAGCAAAACCTACAACCATCACAACACACAATGCGGCGGCAACATCGACTGCCGCGTACGGCAACAACATGCGCTGCACTGCCTACATCAGTGCCGCCCTACCAATGCACGTTCTCAACAGCACATCCGAACACACACTGCTCAACGCTGCTCCGCTGCTGCTACACTAGCGCAGTCCACTGGTGGGTGCTTGCCGTCCAGGAGGGCTGCAAAGGCGCTCCTGGCAATGCAGGCTGTGTAGGGTGTAGGCTGCAGACTGAAGGCAATGCAGGCTAGGCGGGTTGTGCAGCGGCGGCAGCAGCAGCCTGCAGCGCCAGCGCCCTCATCGCCGCCCGGGTGCTCGAGGCCAGGTTGGGGTGCGGCGAGAGGGACACGCAGGTGGGACGCATGCGGGACTGAAGGGGAGGCGGGGCGGGGGGGGAGGCGGGGGCGCAGAAGCGGGGGACATGTGGGGTTGGGAGCAACTGAGCCGCACCACTGGGGAAACACGGGACATGTGGGAGGGGAAACAGGCACGCCACGGCAGCGATACCCAGCGAAGGACCTCTCTCCAAGGTTTGGGTCCCAGTCTCCCAATGTTGCCATATCGAACGGCGTATGCCCTTAATGAGAAGGTGAAGCAGTGCAACAAGCAGCACGCAGCCCCCCCAGCTCCCAGCCCCCCCCCAGCCCCCAGCTCCCAGCCCCCCCAGCTCCCAGCCCCCCCAACCTGGAGCTGCTCCTCGGCCTCCCGCAGTCGCGCAGCCCACTCCCGCGCGTAATGCTCCGGCTGCGGCTGGGCCAGGATGTACGGCAGCGGAAGGTCGAGTACGACAGACAGGTGCTCCAGGTACGGCAGCCGCGAGGGCAGCAGCACCAGGGCGTCTCGTACGGCACTTTCGGCGGCGTCTCGGTCCGGTTCGGTGCAGCTGAGGCGCAGAGAGGTCAGGTGGGTGGAGTGACGGCACAGCAGGCGCAGCAGCGAGCTGAGCCAGCCGGCGGCAGGAGCAGCTGCGTCCGCCGCTTCGCTCTCGTTGTTTGCAGCTGCTGCTGCGGGTGATAAGGAGCCGTCATCTTGGGGCGGAGCAGGTGACACGGTAGGTGGAGTCAGACCCGCAGAAACGCTGCCGCTGCTGCCGGGCCGCAGTGCGGACATGTCGACCAGACGTCCGCAGTGTGGGCTGCTGGTTAGGCGCCAGCTCGGCAGGTCCACCGCACTGCCGCTGCGGGAACTGCTGCTGCTGCTGCTGGCGACGGCGGCAAAGATATGCTCTGCGTTCCCGCCGCCGCTATTGCCGCTACCGCCGCTGTCACCTCCGTCTGCGACGGTGGCGGCATCCACCATGGCCGTGTCGCCGTGGATTCCCCCGCCGCCAGCGGCGGCTGCGGCAGTCGTACAAGACGCGACGGCGACGGCTGCGGCAGCCTTGGTGGGATATGCTGGTTGTACGGCGGGTGGGGGGAGGCAGGCGGTCTTGGGTGGAGCCAGCTGCAGCATGCGCAGCGTGGGCAGGCAGCGAGCGATGGCGCAGAGGGCGCCCGGGGAGTGCCAGTTCAGGCAACAAGCTGCGGGGAGTGAGTGGGGGCGCCGAGGAGTCAGGGGAGGAGGGTTTCGGCCAGGTTTGCAGGAAGGATGGAGGGGGGCGGCTGAAGGGCTGAGTGCGGTGATGAGAACAAAGGTGATGAGCATGGGGACGGGCAGGGCAGCTGAACCCGCCTACCAGGGGCTTCCAAGCAGCCGTCGTGACCCCCACCTCCACACTCCTCACCAGACGGAGGAGTGGAGGATTTTCCCACACGTTCCACGTTCCACGTTCCAGGGCCGCCGCCCCGGCCCCACCGCTTCACTCACCCATCCCCCTTGTAACCCTCCAAACAAGCAATTCCCCCCGCGGGCTACGCTGCTCACCTTCCTCCGGCAAGAGCACTCCGGGTGCCGCAGTCGCCGCACTGCCCGTCACCCGCAGCGTCTGCACGCCGTGCCACCTGCGCAGCAACCCCGCCAGCGCAGCAACATCGTCCGCATCGTCATCCCTGTCACCCTTGTCAACCTTCTCGCCAGCGCCAGCGCCACCGTCCTCAGGCCGGCCACTGCTACGGCCTGCACACCTTGGCTGCTCGCCGCTTTCTCCTCGCCGTACGGCTGCTGCAAGGGCTGTCGTACGGCTCGTACCCACACCCATGCCGCTGTCCCGCAGACTCAACGTCCGCAGCCGGCCTCCGCAGCCCAGCAGATCCGCCCGCTCGATGTACGAGCTGGTGAGGCAGAGGTCCCGAAGCTGAGACAGCGAGCAGCCGCCGCCGCCGCCGCCGCTGCCGCCAGACGCCGCCGCCGCTGCATGTGGCCGCCGCCACGGCGCCGCCAGTACGACGCCATGCAGGGCGAGTGACGTCAGACTAGCGGGCAACGCGTCGTACGACACAACCGCGGGCCTGCCTAGCGGGTTGCTGAAGTGTAGGCCTAGTCTCCGGAGTGCCGTCAAGCAGCCCAGCGGCGCCAGGTGAGGGGGGAGCTGCAGCAGCGGCCACGGCGGCCCCGCTGCCGCCGCCGCCTCTGTTGCTGCTGTCGTACCGACCATTTCCGTACTGGCATCCATCGTCGTCAACGATGGCGGTGGCAGCGGCGGCTGCGGCTGCTCCCCCAGCGGCAGAGTGTACGACGCTGAGAGGTGCAGCTTGGTCAGTCCCGCCAGCCGTGACAGCAGCGCCGCCGTGTCATCGCCGACGCCGAGGAAGGGTGTACGGCGGTCGCCCAGCGCCAGCGACCTGAGTCCGCTGCAGCCGAGCAGCAGAGCTGCATGTCCCAGGGCGTCCTGCACGGGCGCGTGTGCAGCACCGGGCGACGGCGGCGGCGTGTGCAGCAGCGTCCAAACGTCGCCCACTCGGACCCAACGGCACGCAGCCGGCGGCGGCGCCGTCGCAACAGCCGCCGCCGCTTGTGCGCCTCCGCCGCTGAGGCCACTCAGCTGGCTGTCCGCCGTCGCTGCCGTTGCTGCGGCCCATGCAGCCTCCGTCGGCTCCGCAGACTCCCCGGCAGCTCTCCCTACGCCGCCCTCTTCGTCGCCGTCATCCTCCCACTCCTCCGGGTCAAGCCACAGCCCCGTCAGGTCAGACAACTCGTTTAGCGGCGCCAACGTCACCGGGGCTGCCGTACCACTGATGGCGCCGTTGTAACCGTTGGCCCCGTCAATGGTATCGCTGTTATTGGATCCAAGTCCGGACACACCGCATGGTGTTATTTGATGAGCTTTTAGCAAGTAGGTCGACGGAGGCAGTGACGGCGACCGTGCCGGAGGTGGTACTGGCGGCGGCGGTGGCGGCGGCACAGGGCTTGGTACGAGCGCCAGCTGGACGTACTGCAGATTGCGCCAGTGCGGCTGCCGGATCTCCGTACGCAATCTCTCAAGTGGGTAGAGACAGATGTCGCGTTTGCCGGACTTTAGCAGCTGCAGTCGGGTGCCGGGATCAGGGCTGCGGTTGAGAGCGAGGCCCCCATTGCTGCCTGTCTGGGGTTGCCGCGTGGTGCCCTCTCGTTGAGGTTGCAGTTGTACTGCGTTTCTTGAGGGAGTTGTGGCCACCACCGCCGCTGCCGCAGCCACACCTGCTGTGGAAGGTGTTCGTGGCGGCGTATTGTGCTCAGCAGCGGCGGCAGTAGCAGCACCGGCGCCGGCTGCAGCACTACCACGTTTAAGACCAGACAGATCCGGACAGCAACAACTTGAGCAGCAACTGCAGCGCAATCCGACGAGTGCCGCGGCGCACAGTGAGGCGCTGCCGCTGCCCCCTCCCGTGTAGCCCCCGCTGCGTCCCCAGCAGCCCCCGCTGCCACGGCCGCTCCCATCGGAAGCCCCTACAGCTGCACCACACGCGTTGAGCTGCGGACCTGTCATCGGCTCCTCATGGGCGTCGTGGGAGCAGCCGCATGCAGGGCCGTACGCCGGTACGCTGCTGCATGCGCCCACATGCGACGAAGCACCGGAACCACCGCCAGCGCCGCCGCTGTTGCCGCTAGCGTGGATGCAGCTGCCGTACGAGCAGCTGCCGTACCGTATCTGCCAGCGAAGCGCCTCCGCCTCGAAATCCAGTTCCGTCTCATCCAGTACGGTATCGTGGTACAGGTGGTGAGCGGAGATCGCTAAGCAACGCAACCGGGGACCTCCTGGTGGTGCCGCTGCTGCTCCTGCTGCTGCCCCGCCTGCTTCCTTGCAAACAGGAGAGGGAGCGCCGCCGCCGCTGCTACCGCTGCTGCCATCCTGAGCGCTGCCGCCCTGTTCCCCCCTGTCCCGCTGCAGCAGCGCCCGAGCGGCCCGCCACACGGCATGCTGGTGCGCGTTGTCCTCCACAATCACCAGGCTGTGGTACCCGTGCACCTGGGGGGGGGGGAAGGCGGGGGAGCAAGGCGGGACCGAGGCGGGGCCGAGGTGGGGGTGCAGCAGCTGGCGACGGAGCCAGGTGCGTGCTGGGTTGGAAAAGTACCTACAACTCTAAAGTCATTAACCCACCGCATCCTAACCACGTACCGCCCCCACATGCAACGTCTAGGCTTCCCCTCCACTGGCTCTCCCTCTGCCAGCTCCTGATTGCTCGCTACCTCCCTCATTCCCCCGCTACCGGAACCCACGTGCAGGTGCTCCAGCTGTGTCGCCGCCTGCAGCAGCTGCGGCAGCGCAGCCAGGTTAGCGTGAGCCAGGCACAGGTGCCGCAGCGCCGGCATGCCGCCCAGCGCCGCCGCCAGCTGCTGAGTCACAGAGCACCGTACAAGCCGTACACTTCGAAGCCGCGTCAGACCGCCGCCGTACAGCAGCGCCGTCGTAACGGATTCCGGTAGGGCGTACCGCAGCGGCAGTTGCAGCTGCAGTCGGCTCTGGTTGTAGTACGGCAGGGAGGCGAGCAGGCGGAGGCAGGCGACGCAGGCGTCGGCGCAGGGCGCTGCGCGGGCTTTGGATTCGTGATGTAGCGCGACTCGGAGGGTGACGGAGTGCAGGGAGGGCCCTATGGCGGCTGTGAGGGAGGCGAAGGACGGGTCTAAGATGGGGCCGACGTGGGAGGTAGAAGGGGAGAGGGAGGCGCTGGTGCTGGCCGCAGGTGCGGATGGGGCTGAGGGAGCGGAGGGCGGTGGGAGGAGCAGGATGCTGTGGAAGCGTGTGTCCAGGGTGAGGGGCGTGAGGGCGTGGGTGAAGCAGCGGCGCCAGGAGCGGCAGACGAGGCGGCATGCTAGTTGAGCGGTGCGCGGCAGCAGCTCCGAGACGAGCTGCGAGGTGGCGTGTAAGGATGTGGACAGGGGCAAGGGAAAGTTGTCAGGACCTCAGAAGTGGTTAAGATGTATGATGGATGGAATGCGCATCGCAAGGGCAGCCGTTGGTTACCTCACATGGCCCATCCGGAAGGGAGCTCCAGTCACTCCAGTGCATGTGTCCCCTAGCCATGTCTGGATATGCAGGTGGCAAACTGCACAGTGGTGCTTGCTTACTAACAATGCGCTTTCGCGTTGCCTTCTATGTGCTGCGGCTCATATCAGTAGCCGAAATTACATTACGTTGTGGTCCCTTTACGTAAGCAAGCGGATATCGGCCTCGATGGCCCAAGGACATCGACGACGGTCGCTATGCCGGGTCGCCTTGCGCGGCAAACGTTGATGTACGTTAAAGGGAAGCACTACCTCTCGTCATTCTTATTACATTCACATAAAGTAGACGTCAAGTGTAGGATTTAAAGCTGGAGTCGTCCACCTAACAACCCATTGACGCTGACGTACTTTGTGTGCCACCTGCCCTGTAGAACGCAAGGTTGCCGCACTAGCTGCACTGTCGCGGTCAATCAACTGCCGCGCTGTGTCGTCCATCTGAAGGTGCCTTTTATCACGCTGCGCACCCCAGAAGCTTGCCTTCACCTCGTTGCCGGTTGTAATCGTTCCACCCAGTTGCATGAAACCCTAACCCCCGGCAATCGGAATGCCCGTGCCAACTAGCCAAGTCGCCGCTCAGACGTGTTTTGTCACCTCAAGGTTATAGGCTGCCAAGCTGCCTGGCATGTCGCGATACTCCATGACCCCAGTGAAGATAATCCATCTAGCTGTGGCTAGGTCCTGACATTATGCAGTAGGTATTGCCCCCTCCTGCTCAAGCAGACAGCCGCTGCTTGTCTTCCTTCGGTAAATGTGAACTGCCAGGGCATGTTACAGTCTGTTCGGGGCCAACTTATACTGGGAGCTGCCTTGGAAACGGCACCGCAAGGTGCTTGACTAGGCTCCCTCTTGCTAAGTGCAACCATGGCTTGCCATGACAACGTTATAGAGACAGGCGATCAGAGCCCCGGAATGTTACAGTTGTCAACAACTACCAACCAGGTGATTGCCGGCAAACCGTCTACTTCTTGGCGGCGGGGGCGGGCTTGGTCGCCGGGGCCTCGAGGTGCAGGCCCTGCAGGGGACAAGAAGGTCGCGGGTTGTTAGGACAACAAGCGTTGTGATATGCATCGAAGGGGAGCAACAAGCGGGAGCCAAGGGAACGCAGTTCCACCACTGGCCCAGTCACTCCCCTTTTGGATAGCCCAAGGGAGATCCTCCTTGCATTTCTCCTCCTGTCCCTTATGCAACCCCATATCCTAACCGCTGGCGACACAAGTGGATGGCTACCGCGACCCAAGTGGTATCCACCCAAGCCTAAGCACCTCGTGCCCTGCCCCGCCCCGCCCCAAGCCACTCACCGCAGCCAGCCTCTCCTCGCGCCGGGAAGCCTTGCGCTCGCGCGCGGCCTTGTTCTTGGCGCGGCGGGCCTCGAACTGGTCGGCGATGGTCTTCTCGCGCACCTTCTCCGCCTTCTGCTTGTGCACAGCCTCCATGAGCACACGCTTGTTCTTGAAGACGTTACCCTTGACCTACACGGGGCAAAACGCGGTGCCAAACCAACCCAGTAAAGAACCTGCTACCCATGGCTTTGCCCTGACATGACGGTATGGAAGTGTATGCATGCGTGATGATCCGTGCGGAGAGTATTAGCCCACTTGTACGACGACCAACTAGCATGTCATGTTCAGATAGCAGTAGCGAGCACAAGAGGTACCATGCGTGCCAGCGTCCAACCAAACCTAGCCAGCAATGTGGCTGCTTTGGGGTCTAAGGCTGCCGGACTCTTATGTATCACGGGGCACGGCTGCGTCATACTGTGCGTATACAAGGAGCTATCAAATGCAGCTCTCTGTTGGCCTTCGCAATCCCTCTATACCCTACCTTGCAAACCCTTCCCCTTGACCATCCCCTTTACTGCAGCTCCACCACCCCGCCCAACTGTTACAGGAATCCCCAACCCCCAAGGCCGCACATACCTTCATGTAGAGCTCGTGGTAGAGGTGCTTGTCGATCTTCTTCGAGTCGCGGTACTTCTTCAGCAGGCGGCGCAGGACACGCAGGCGCCGGATCCACATCACCTTCTGGGGCAGGCGCGCCTCGCGGGTACCGCGGCGCTTACCTATACCGCGGGAAAGCAACCAGCATAGTGGTTAGGGAAAGGATGGTTCATCGCTAACCCCAACATGCATAACCTTGGTTGCTGCCCCCGTGTACTATTGTCACATGCCCTTTTTCGTCTGGCAACTCGCTGATGTGCACAACGCCAAACGCATACTAGGTAGGGAGCGAGAGTTTGGCTGCTGGCATGGCCAGGGAAGGGCCCCAAACTGCTGTCGGTGCTGGTTACTGCTCCACTTCTGCCACCTAAAAGTTGCAAAAGTGACTGCAACAACGATTGCTGCTCCTGTGGCCTGCATACGGAGCTGCGAGGAGCCATGCCGATGAGCGGCAATGCCCTCTGCAGCAACTGACAGTATCCCGCTCCGTGGCTGCTGCTAAATGCTCCATATGCTCCTGAACAAAAGCTGACTTCCTGGCTATATGTTATTCCACAGCCGTTGACGCACCGTAGCCGGTGTGGCGGCCCTTGGCCTTGGCCTCCGCGGAGCGACGAGCGCGGTCGCGGGAGTGGATGACGGGCTGCTTCCTGAAGATGAGGCCGTCCTTGATCAACTTCCGCACGTTCTGGCCTGCAATTGTAACACGAGCGCAGATTTAGAAGGATTTCATGGAGGTCCCGTCCTTGCAATACGTTAGCTAGTAAGGAAAAATGCTGGTTGTCAAGGTAAATAAAGAAACTGCTTTAGCTACTCCAAACGCGCACTGAGGCGCGCGACGCCTGCCAGGATGCGCCGCCTGACGTTGCAGACTCGCCGGCTGTTAAGCCCACAGCAGTGCCCCCTGTCCCTCCAGCTAGTGAACTACTCACGGGAGTTGGCCATAGAAATCTCGTTGACCTCATTGGGGTCGAGCCAAACCTTGCGCAGACCACAGCTTAGGACTGAAGCGGCAAGCCGCTTCTGCAGCTTAAGAGACACCATTTTCGCCGCTGGTCACGTCCAACGGCGGGGAGCGAGGAAAGGGCTGAGGAAAGCGCGTGAGGGAGCAAAGAGGGAAGGCGGCTTCCGTACTCGTCGTACGAAAAGACAAGCCATCGTGCGCTCTTCGTTGTAGCGAGGGATTCATCTGCATTACGTTGGAACACTTATCAACGTAGTCATCACCTGTTAGAATTAGAGAGGTCTGTGTTCTCTCCCCTGTATTAACTTCCCAGAATTCTTATTTATAATACTTACAGGACTTTGCAACAGAAACTGTAGAAAGAAACTTTGGAGCTGCGTAGTGCTTTTGCGCTTGCGTGAGGCATTAAAGCGTGGTAGACGTGTTGTTCACTCTGCCTCTGGGGCACAAAAACACGCTGTGACAGCAGTTAGGCCTCAGTCGGAACGATGGCAGGCAGGCTGCTGCGGGACCCGGATGCGGATGGCTGGGAGCGCTCGGATATGCCCATTGTTTGCGAGACGTGTCTAGGCCCCAACCCGTTCGTCCGAATGCAGCGGGTAAGCATACGCACATCCTTTGATCACCTATCCATTGAAGTTTGCACAAGGAGGGACACGCTTACAAGGACTGAGGAAAACTTGAGACCTTACATCCTCTCTTTGCAGATCGAGTTCGGCGGCACTTGCCACATTTCTGGCCGTCCCTACACAGTGTTCCGCTGGCGTCCGGGCAACGACGCAAGGTATGTGTTGCGCATGGGGCTAGGGGTACTCGCTGCCTAGCTGCTGGTGCTGACGTTGGTAACCATGTGTCGTGCAGGTACAAGAAGACCGTTATTTGCCAAGAGGTCGCAAAAGCAAAAAACGTCTGCCAGGTTTGCCTGCTAGACCTGGAGTACGGGCTGCCAGTCCAGGTCCGCGACACGGCGCTGGGCATCCAGCCCGACGACGAGCCGCAGTCCGACGTGGGCAAGGAGTACAAGCTGCAGATGCAGGCAGCGGAGGGCAGCAACGCCTCTTCCTTCACCACCAGCCGCCCCAATGAGCTGCTGCAGAAGCTCCAGCGCACCGCGCCCTACTACAAGGTGCGTGCCTGCTGAATGACGTCGCCGTGTAAGCTGTGTCGTGCACCTGTGGCCCTGCTGGTAGGGTGCGCTGGTTGCTCGTGCCCGTCCCATACCAACTGGCTCACAAAGCATGGAAACGTTTGCGAAGCCCCTATTTGTTGTAAGGCCCCTGTATGTGAGGCGATGGGAAGTCATTACGCAGCTACGGTGAAGCACTGCACTGCATGCTGCGTCGCCGTTAAGGCCACGGCAAGTAAACCTTACACTACTGAGGCTGGGACACTAAAGCTATGCGCTGCCCCCTTACCACCTCTTGCACCCTTACCCATCCACCCCGCCTGCCCCACCCTGCCCTCCCGCAGCGCAACCAAGCGCGCGTCTGCACCTTCTTCGCGCGCGGGCAGTGCACCCGCGGCGCGGAGTGCCCCTACCGCCACGAGATGCCCCCCTCCAACACCGAGCTGGCCAACCAGAACTACAAGGACCGCTACTACGGCGTCAACGACCCGGTGGCCAACAAGATGCTGCGTCGGGCGGATGAGATGAACAAACTCACACCGCCGGAAGACACGTGAGTGGGGTGGGCTCCTAGGGCGTTTGGATGGTCATGGCGGTCCACCTCTTATCGTGGGGTGCATTAGTATGCCATATGGTTTCCTGGGCAGGTTAAGGACGTGTGAGACGGCGGATGCCGTTCACAAGAGGGAAATGCTTCGTGCTGCTGCTGCTGCTGCCACATCTTGGCGCACGAGCAACAAGGTCTGTTGACCGCGTCTAACGGTGTCCCTTCCTCCCGTCCTCCTCCTCCTCAGCTCCATCACCACGCTGTACCTGGGCGGGCTGGACCCCGCCATCAGCGAGGACGACATCCGGGACGCATTCTACGCATTCGGGGAGCTGGCGGGCGTAAGAAAGGTAGGGTGCCAGCGCTGCCAGGCGGGTCCCTTGCTGTGAATGCGGGCTCTCCCTAAGGCGCTTGGGTCACCATTAAGCAGCAGCTGGGTTGACGAGCAGCTGGGTTGACGGTTTTGCCCTTCCGACCCACATTTCTTCCGGTAGTCTGCATCACTTTGCTTTGCACCCCACCTCGCCCTCAACCCCTCCCCCCCAACCCGCACCACCCATCATGTGCCTCCCCCGTCTCGCCCAGGTGGACGTCAAGAACTGCGCCTTCGTGACCTACACCACCCGCTCGGCCGCGGAGAAGGCCGCGGAGGAGCTCACGGGGGCGCCCACCATCAAGGGCATCCGCTGCAAGCTCATGTGGGGCCGCCCGCCGCCCGCACCGGGCGGCAACCGCCCCGCAGCCGCAGACCCCATGCAGCCCTCCACCAGCGGCCGCCCTGCCCCCGGACCCGTGCCCCCGCACGTGATGGCGGCGATGGGCGGCGCCGCACCCGCCCCCGCGCCCTCCGGACCCAACTTCTTCAACCTGCCGCCGCCCGGCGCCTACTACCCCAGCATGGACCCGCAGGCCATGGGCTCGCGGATAGCCTCCTCGGCGCAGCAGCAGCAACAACAACAGCAGCAGCCGTACCCGGGCGGGCCACCCAAGCGGCCAGGTCAAGATGGCGGCGGTGGGGGCGAGGGACCGGACGTGAAGCGGAGCCGGGGACCCGGTGGGCCGCCGCCGCCCATGCCGCCGTACGGCGCCCCGCCACCGTACGGTGCACCGCCGCCAGGATACCACGCGGGTATGATGCGTCCGCCACCGCCGTACGGCGCACCGCCGCCGGGGATGTACGGCGCGCCTCCGCCCGGGGCACCGCCGCCGCGGCCGATGCCGCCACCTGCGGCAGCGCCGCCGGCTGCTGGGTACTAGGCATGTGCTAGGTCTCTAGGCATTTGCTGATAGGGCTGCTGATAGGGCTTAGGATATGGAGGGAGGGAATGTGGCGCTTGGCGTAAGGGTAGCGACGTCTTGTATGACATACACGCTAGGGAGCTGAGACCTGACGGGACTGTAACAGGGCCTCTCAGGGCCGTCCCTGCATGGTCAGCTGCTAGCAAACAATTACTTGTCGGTGTAAATACGTCGTGGGACGCGGACGTGACCCCGTTGGCAGGGTTTGCATGGGTTGCTTGCACCGTTGACCTGCATGGCCGTACTGGCGGTGGTTGGGAGTGCCGCGCAGCTTGTGCGTTCGGCGACAGAAATGGCATTACGTTACCTGGCTTGTAGACAGATAGTCGGACGGATGCGAGATTGCGCTGCTCGTTACGTTTACAAGGACTGCGGACGGCTACATTACCTGTGGATGCGGGTTGTACTGTAAGGATGATCGAATGCTCTTGTAACGGCGTTGTGCACGGCAACTCGGACGGTGAAGGCAGTGCACGCACAGAGATGTGGCGAGGAGGTATGCAAGGTTTAAGCGGTTGTAATGTGCGTGACTCGTCACCCCGAGTGTCGTTCGTTCTTTCACTCGGGGATTAAACTTAGAACTTGCACGGATTCCATAATCCAAACAGCAAATTCAAAAAATTGATGCATACGAAAGAAGTCGAGCACAGCTTTGCCAAAAGGCGCTACGAGGCGCATGACACTACGTGGGGCGCCTTGCTATTAGTAAGATGGCAATGCTAAAAGAAAGCCAGTAAGGAAATACCGCGAGCCGAGCCAAGAATATGAGATAGGAACTACAACTGGTGCAGATGCTGTATATCAACAAAACAAATATGAGATCAGTACGGCCAACAGCAGCTGTGCCAAGATCTGCACCTGTAGCTGCTGCCTGCTGCTGCTACACCATCCGTCACCAGATCATGTTATACACCCTCTTAATCTACATCGCCACCTGCTCTATCTGCTTTACTCGATACTAAATCGTACACATCGGCCCCCGCCCTCCTGCGTGCGTGCCCCCAATCAGCAACCCCCAGCCTCCAAGCAGTCCTCAAGCATGGGCGAAGGCGGCCACCAAGCCTGCGTACCTGCAGCCGCTGCCTTCCCTCCACCCTGCAGTGCTTGTAAACCCCCCCACCTCTACAGCTGCGACTGCTGCCGCAGCAGCGACGCCGCAGACGGCACCCGCTGCCCCATCCCCCCCTGTCCCTCCCGCCCCTCCACCACCTCCACCACCATGCTGGATGCGCCGCCGCCGCCGTTGCACACCGCCACGCAGCCCAGCCGCCCCCCGCGGCACCGCAGCACGTTGAGCAGCGTCACCAGGATGCGCGCCCCGCTGGCGCCGATGGGGTGGCCCAGCGCCACACTGCCGCCGTGCACGTTGACCCTGCGCAGTGGTGGGTGCGGTGCGGGGGGAGACACGTGAGGAGGGGCATCAGGAGGCAAAGGATGGCATAGGAGGGAGATGTAGCACCCCACTCTGCCCCTTCGCGCTCCACCTCCCCTCTCACCTGTCCGCCGGCAGCCCCAGCAGCTGTCTGTTGACCACGTCCACCACACTGAACGCCTCGTTCACCTCCCACCAATCCACCTCCCCCACCGCCGCCACCCCGGCGGCCCGCAGCGCCCGAGGTACCACCAGAGCGGGAGCGGTGGTGAACCACTCGGGGGCCTGGGCGGCGTCTGCGAAGCCGCGAATGACGGCCAGGAGAGGCAGGCCCAGCCGCTGTGGGGGGCGGCGGGAGTGGAGCGGGAGCGGCGGAGCAGCAGCATGTCACAGCTCCCAGCGCACGTCAACGCACTCGGAGCTTTCGAGTGTTGCAGGAAAGCAAGATAGCCTGGCCAGCCCCACCCTCGCTCTGATGCAATGCACGGCCGAGCCTTAAATTGTTAAATAACATGGTTAGCTTGTCCTTTCGACCTCCCTCGCCCTCCTCGCCCTCCCTCCCCCGCCCTCCTCCCCACCTGCACCGCCTCATAGCTCGCCACAACCAGGGCCGCCGCGCCGTCAGTCATGGGAGACGCGTTGCCCGCCGTCACAGTGCCGCCGCCGTCGCGCCGGAAGTACGGCTTCAGTGCCGGCAGCCGTACCGGGTCCATCTTGGATAAGGTCTCGTCCTCCCAAATGTACGGCACCCCGCCGGCGGCGCCGCCAGGGCCCCCGGCGGCGGCGACTGACGCCGCCGCGGCCGCCGCCACTGTTGACAGCAGCGAATGCGGTGTACCGCTGGCGGCGGCGCCACCGGGTGTGCCAATCGTCGCTCCGCCGGGGTTGGCCGCCGCCGGCGGGGTGGCGCGGTCGGAAATGCCATGCTTGGGGAGTGGCACGATCTCCGCTGCCGTGAAGCCCGCTGCGGCCGCCGCCACTGCGCGCTGGTGGCTCTGAAGGGCGTGCTCGTCCTGAGCCGGGCAGGGTGGTGCATGTGAGCTTGCAAGGGTGCATGTGATGAGCAGGGTGATGCGGTGATCGACACACAAGGCACACACACGGTCAGTTTTCTTAACACACGGCCAGTTATTTTAACACACGGCGCATGACAGCGGGGCCAATGCGGGCCATTACGCTGCCCGAGCAGGAGTAGGAAGCAGGGGATCATGCGCTAACGTCAATACAAAAGGTACGGTAAGGGACGCCCTACTCCCGCCCTAACTGCCCCTCCCCTATCCCCCCACAGATACAGCTCGTTAGTTGCCTGGTCGGTTTCCTTGTCTATACCCCAAACAGACACACTGCCGTCACCCGCCCCCGCACCTGCTGCCTGCGCCCGATTCCGAACCTCTCCGCGCACAGCTCCGCGCAGCTGCCCATGTGGATGTCGGAGTAGGGGTCACACAGACCGTCCCTCACCAGACCGTCAACCAGGGAGCCGTCGCCTGGGGGGGTGGCGGGGGGCACGGGGCGGGAGGCGGGCCGGGATAAAGGAAGCCCCATGTACCGACTCATGCAGCGAGGAGGGCGGGGGCCGGAAGGGGGAGGAACACAGGACAGCCCGGTGGTGGAACCGTTCAGCGGAACTCTGAACGCTGTTGTGGAGTGCTGTTTTTTATTCCCGAGGGGAATTTTATTCCCTCGAGCAAGGGTGTTGTTGCTGCTTCACAAGGCTGTCCAGGCTGTAGGTCTTTCGCCCACATGGCCCCGCCCCGCCCTGGCTCACCCATCCTAATCCCCCTGCGTGCCCCGGGCAGGTAGTGCGGCGCGTTGCTCATGCTCTCCATGCCGCCCGCCACCACCACGTCGGCGGAGCCTGCGGAGGTGCGGAGGTGTGGGGGATGCGGGGCCCCCGCGGGGGAAAAAAAAGAAATTCCAAAGTGTGGTGTGATAATGAAGGGGGAAGGGGGAGCAGGGGGGTAAAAAATATATATATGATGATGAGGGGGGTGGGGTCAGGTCAGGGTGGGACTGGCTCGGTACGACAGGGATGGGCTGGGTTTGCCTGGCACGACAGGGTGGTCAGGGTCCCTCCCCCGCCCCCTCCCCCCCTTCCTCACCCGCCATCACCGCCTGCGCCGCCAGCATGACCGCCTTCAGTCCGCTGCTGCACACCTTGTTGACCAGGGTGGCAGGGGTGGAGGGCGGCAGACCTGCACCCAGCGCCGCCTGCGTGGCGGGCGCCTGCCCCAGGTTGGCTGCCAGCACGTTGCCCAGCAGCACCTCGTCCACCTGGCCGGGATGCAGGCGGGCGCGGTCCAGAGCGGCTGCAGCGGCCGGGAGGGAGGGGGTGGGAGGGAGGGGGAGGGTGGGAGAGGGAGGAGGGAGGCCAAAACATAGGAAACCCCAGGTCGGGGAAAAGCGATGGGGATAGGAGCCGGCAGGGGCCACAGAACGAGGGCGGGAGGAGGAGCGGGAGGAGGAAGGGGGAGCGGGAGGTGTTCAAAAGATGAGGGGTATGCGAGATGCCCTGTTGTTGTCATTTATTAAAGTGGATTATTGGTTTTTTCTGGGAATGGTAACGGGCGAACGTCGGGGTGCAGCCATGCCCAAGGCTGAAGGGAGACGGTAAGCAAATTCCAGCCTTTACAGGTTTAAGTCGCCCAATCTCTGTATATAGGGTAGCCCAAAGGCTCAACAGCATGTGCATCACCGGTGCTGTGAGTTACTCCTGCATTTTGTTCGATGCCCATCTGACGTCATGGCATCGCAGCGCCCTTCGTCAAGTATCGGTACGTAGGGAATCGCAAATGCACCCATATGGTTATACCTACCTCGTATCGCAAATGCTCCGAGCTCTGTAGCCGTATAAGCTGCTAGAGAGCCTTGAAACGCACCCAACGGAGTCCTAACCGCACTTACTATGCAAGGCGTCCGAGGGGTAAGTTCTACAGAAGTGCTAGACATTTTTTTAAAGCTGAGTGGTACGCGTTTATTTTTAAGCTTAGTAAAGCGGAAGCAGGCTATCCTCACAAAGCTGTCGCCGGGCTCTTGCAAAAGCCCAACCGTTTCCTGAAGCGATAAAGTAGGGTATCTTATATACAATGAAGTCGCCTATATTGAAAACATTTCGTTTTCTTCGATCATCAGTGCCTTCCAAGCGTTGCGCTGGCCCTAGGGAACCACGTCAGCTGCCGTGCGCCCGGATGCGAATCGTCGGCATTGGACTTTCTACATCGAGGAGAGCGAAAGCTGCAGTCAATCACAAAAATGGTTATATTTCATGGTGTTTGTCCCATAAGTGATAGGCACTAAAGTTTCCTTGGCTGCAGCCAAGGGGCGGGGCAGCCGGTGGCTTGCGATTGGCTGCTGGCGCATGGCTGCCCCTGGGGCTCTGTACGCTGCAGCTGGAGGGGGCCATGTGGGCAGCTGGAGGTGATGAGTGAGCGGGATATCCTCTCCGTTGCTGCAGTCAGCCCCACCCCCGACTGGCGCTGTGACTAGATGCTGTAACGCGGGGAAGGGGGGGGGCGCTGCCCCGAGCACAGCCTCGACTGCACAGTGACCACCGGAGGGCGGCTAATGCGTGCGAGGTTTGGGCCTGAAGACGCGGTACCGGTAGGTCAGCGCATGCACCTTGGTAAGGCGCGTGCTGGGGAGTCGCGCTCAGCTATCATCCCCCTTTCCTCGTGTCGACATCTTCCTGTTTGGGCTTACGCGTGTCTTGACTGGTTGCGGCTTTGTCATTGGGCGGTCAGATACTTCACTTACATGATTGCATGCGGACTATGATATGAGAACAGTGGGTTTGGCACGCTGGCAGGTGCAGTGCTCTCATGTAGCCGCTGTCCTAGGCTGGCTTCAAACAGCTGGACGATAAACCCCTGGAAACCCCTCTACCCATTAAGTTTCAAGTCGCTTTTCCATCGCCCGGGGCACGTATGTCACGTTGCATATTATGTAACAGCAGTCCTCGTCAGCCTATACAGCAGCCACCGAAGCAACCCAGCGGCTAAACACCAAAATGTGGCCCACTGCTGCCGAAAGTACCACCCTTCCACAACTCGTGTCCTTGCACGTTGCCAACTCTGCCGCAGGAAGCCGTGACATCAGAACTCCTCTTTATCCCCCTCACCGACTAAGACCTACACTGAGACCACTGATGTATGCCTACCACACGTGCCTGCAATGCATTGTAACATACATCATAGCTTCATGACACTTAGCTGCCGACAGTTTGCTAACAATAGCTGCAGGTGGCTATGCACGCTGTGATGCAGGCATGAAGCCTTACACAGAAGGCTCACATTGTTGCATACGAGCATGCAGGAAACGCCGACTGCATGTTACTAAACTACACGGGTCAATGAGGTCCTTAACACCTCCGTGATCGCATGGAGATGCCATCCCGTGACACTACTCCTAGACTCCAAGAAACCATCATGCACACGGGAAGGCAGCCATCACACTCCCATACCCATCCTTTAAGCATGCAGTACATTGTACATATCGCCAGATGCATTGAACACACCAGTCAACACGCCATAGCAAGAACAATAGGCTGCAGGCTACACCATCACATCAAAGGATCGCAGGCAATCCATCCACTCCCGCCCCCCTGCCCAGCCCCTCACAAGCTGAGCGCCTCCGCCTCCTCCCCCCTGCCCAGCTCCCGCAGCAGCTCCCGCAGCGTTTCCAGCGTCATGCGTGCGTGCGGGTGCGCCGGCCCCAGCGCCGTACGGCACACCTCCAGCGCCTGCCTGTACAGCTCCTCCGCCGCCTCGCGCTGCCCCCGCTCCCGCACCACCGCCGCTAGCCCCACCAGCGCGAACGCCACCTGCCGGTGCCCCGACCCCACACTGTCGCGGTAGGCGGCCAGCGCGGCGCGGAACAGCGCCTCTGCCTCCGCCAGCCGGCCCTGCTCGTGCAGGCAGCCGGCCAGGTTTGACGCGGCCTGCGCGGTCAGGTTGTGCGAGGCGCCCACACTGCCCTGGTGAGCCTCGTACACCTGCCTGCGGAGGGGGAAGCAGGAGGAGCAGGGGGGAGGCAAGGCATGGGCATGCTGCTCGGCACCCGAGCTCCTTGCATGGGATATCCCCAACCCCACCCGCTAGCTACCAGCTTGCGTTACCCCACCCCTCCTCTTCCCCCTCACGCTCCCCCCCCCACCTCCCCACCTGTACATCCCCTCCGCCTCCTCGTGCTGCCCCTCCGCCGACAGCTGCATGGCCAGGTGCGTGAGTGTGGCGGTGGTCAGCGGGTGCGCAGGCCCCAGCAGCTCCCGCCGCGCAGCCAGCGCCTCGCGGAACAGCGGCACCGCCTCCGCGCCCCGCCCCTGACCCTGCAGGCAGCTGGCCGCAAGGTGCAGCGCGGCCGCGCACTCCACACTGCCCCGCCCCCCAGCCACCTCCGCCAGCCCCACCGCCCGCTGCGCCAGCTCCGCCGACTCGCAGTACTCGCCGCCGTACATGAGCGCCTCGCAGCGCACCAGCAGCGCCGCCGCGGCCGCCAGCCGCTCCTCCCGCTCCGGCTCCCGGCCGCCCGCCTCCGCCTGCTGCAGGGGCGCCTGCGTCACCTCCACCAGCCGCTGCGTGAGGGCCAGGTAGGTGGGGCTCATCCATGTCTTGCCCACCGCGTACAGGAAGTCGCCGTGGCTGAGGGTGGCCAGCAGCTGCGTCTCACGGAGCAGCTGGGGGCTCAGCGCCAGCGGACTGCTGCCGGGGAGCAGCGGCCGGGCGCCTGCCGCTCCCTCCTCCTCGGCCCCCGCCACGTCTGCCAGGAACTGCTCCACGTCCGCCCAGTTCTCCGCCACCTCCGCCACCATCAGCTTCAGCGCGCCGTCCGCGTGCAGCCGCTGCCAGCGGGCCAGCAGCGCAGCCACGTAGCGCGCGAAGCGCTCCCGCACGCCCCGCTGCAGCTGCGCGGGCGCCTCCTGCTGCAGCAGGGATCGCGCCACCCCGCGCACGTGCATGTGCATGGCGAAGCTGTCGTCCCCGTGCTGCAGCAGCACGCTGTAGCGGTGCAGGCTGGCCAGATGCGCGCGCACCTCGTGCAGCGAGGCGCTGTCGCCGCCCAGCAGGCTGCAGGCGGAGGCGGCCGTGAAGGAGCCCGTGAAGGCGGCCACCTGCAGCGCCACCTTCTTCACACCCGCGTGCAGCGACCGAAGAACCATCTCCACGAACATGAGTGTGGGGTCACTGCTGCTGTTGCTGCCGTCGTCTCCCGCCGCCGCCCGCTCCGCCACCGCCTGCTGCACGTCCTCCAGCGTCAGCCGCCCCGCCACCAGCGCCTCCGACACCAGCCGCAGCGCCAGGGGCACGCAGCCGCACGCCTCCGCCACCCCGCCGGCCTCCTGCCCGCTCAGCACGCCCTGCGCCAGCCGCAACACCAGCTCGGCAGCGGTGCCGGGTCCCAGCGGCTGGATGCGGTGCGTGTGCGGCGGCGGCATGTGCTGCACGTGCACCTCCCCCCGCGACGTCAGCAGCAGCTGCACTCGGCTGTGGCACATGAGCAGCGCCGCCAGCACCTCCGCCAGCGCCGCGCCGCCGTCCGCCGCCGCGGGGTCCTCCGCGTTGTCCACCAGCACCAGCAGCCGCCCGCCCGCCGGGTCGCCGTCGCACAGCTTGGCCAGCGCGGCCGCCAGCGCCTCCGTGTCGCCCTGGCTGCTGGTGACGCCCGCCGCCGCCCGCAGCTTGAGCAGCAGCGCGTCCCGGCTGAACGCCCCGCGGCAGTCCACGTACAGCACCCCGGCGGTGGCGTGGCTGCCCCGCCACAGCCGCCAAGCCACGTCCACCGCCAAGCAGGTCTTGCCCATGCCGCCCTCCGCAACCACCGCCGCCACGCGGCTGCCCAGCTTGCTCAGCCACTGCTGCAGCTCCTGCGCCTCGGGACCGCGCCCGCCGTACTGCTCGTACACCTTGTCCAGAGGCGGAAGCTGGCAGGGGGCGCTGCTGGAGCTGGAGGCCTCCTTCATGGTTGCGTCTTACAGAGGCGTATTATGGTTAATGGTTTGGGCTCGGCAGGCACTCCGGTTGCCGAAGTGCAGTGAAATGCAATAGGTACACCCTCGCAATTGCCTAGCCGCGTAATCACTGATAGCAAAGCCAAATTTTGCTTAGCATGAAGAGGAATTGCAGGGCCTTGACAGCTTTTGAAGGTTGTGGCCAGAAGTAGACGCCAATGATTGCATTTGCTCTAGACTGAAAACCAAAGCTTAGTTAGTTTTCCTTAATTTAGCGCACGTTCCCACACCGCTTCTTAAGCGACATCCTTCGTGCAGTCAATTAGGGTGAACGAATTACAACGAGCAGCTGCATGTAGTACAGCTTCGGTAGATTTCCCAGAAAACAGTAAACAGACGGCCGGCCCCAAGTATGTTAAATGAAAGGCATATGTATGATGATGGTCTACTAGTACGTTGTAAGCGCATACATGCCGAATGAGGTTACGCCCCCTCAATAATAACAATGGTTCAAGTTGTGCCTTATCGTTGCAGCCTATACGTCAGCAACCTGCAGCAACAGTAAACATACCTTTGTTTGCTTGCCAATGTGAACAGCTTTTTGATACCTGTATGTGCCATACAGGCCAGCATGCGAGCCATGCAAGCGGTTGCCCCATAGGCAAGCCATGTTGTCGTGAACTCATTTGAAGAGGATAATACCTGTCATTTCGAGAAATTTGATTCGTTCAAAGATAGCCTTTTGTCGGAGCTTCGTAGTTAATTACACGAAGCAAGCAGCAGGACAGTAGCAGCAGGTAGTGATGCCGTTTTGTATTTTTATTGTGTAATCATACATGACTATACAGCTTGAGTAGAGGTCCTGCAGAGAATGGAATCCCTGCATGAATACCGGTATTTATTCGTCCCGGTTTATTCAGGTCCGACATGTTCCCGCGCACAAAGGGAAGTAAATTGCAACAGCAATGGAAATATCAAAACGATTTGCACAGCAGAACTGCGCTGCGGCTCCCTTGCGCCCGGTTACAATGTGGCATGCCAGCGGGATCTGACGACAAGAAACACCTCATAGCCTAATTTTGAGTATTAGTATCATTTTGAAACTACATGTAGCCCTTGGTGCGCAAAAACAAAACACGCTAACTTGCTTGCCAACAGTTATGAAAGGGTACGGAAAAGATCTTATCGCTTAATAAATGTCCTGCAATTATACTTGGCATCGTTAAGTGCCAATAGTTTCCAAGCAGGGGTCCCTCTTGATCGTGGTCGAAGAGGGAAACCTTGTTGTGCGGCTTGCTACATTCCCCTTGCCTCACAGGCCTTCGTAGGCCTTCCACCTGGGGCCGTCACAAATGGCGGTCACATACGACAGCGTTCGGCAGCTTCAGACCCACATTGGCGAGGCGGAGTTCTCCCGCGTAAGTGCGACACATTTTCTAGGTATATTTGGCTTTTTTATAGACCTTGCCTTTTGTGTTAATGCCACTAAGGGATGCCAGACATGACCGCATTACCCTGTTTTCTCGACGTATCTTAGCGTCTAAGAAGTTCGTGCGGAGTCTATGTGGGCATGGTGCCGTTACATTTCCGGCTTAGGGTTCTCCAGCAATACTTTCTTGTGAAGTCAGCGCTCCTGTTACTCGTTTGTTTCTTTGTGCATATTGATGAATCTGGCGGCAGGGGACCCTAGGAACATTTCGGCAGCACATGTACCATTAAAAGCTAACTTTCATGATCGCGGCCCCATCTGTTGCAGGCGGTCAAGACTCTCGATGAGTTGGATGTCCCAGAGGTGTACACTCCCGCAGCCGAAGTGAAGACCATTGAGGCGTTGCTAGGCGTGACGCCGGGCGCTTTCGACGGGGTAAGCTATACCCACTTGCACTATCATCTCCACTGTCAATCTGCAACGGTCTAAGCAAATGACGATATCTGGTGGAGGAATCAGCTAGATCCGCTTCGGTCCTAATGTGTGCCATCACATGCATTAAATTACTCCCAACTTCAGGACACCGGTGCTTTATGGAGTACCTTCGTATCCGTCTCGCTGATTTGTGACACCGTTTGCGAAGACTCCAATGAGCCTTACGGCTGCCGTTTTGCCTGACATCCTGCTGCTGTCTCCTCCTGTTGCACCCCCCCTTAAATAGTACGCCTTTCGGATGAAGGCCTCTAAGAACAGCGGGTGCAAGGGCTGCGGGCGCCAGATGAACTGGCTGGACGTCTGCCACACCGCGCTCAAGGTGCCGGGCCACACCCCCGAGTTCATCATGGAGACGTTTGAGGGCGCGCACGGGCTCGTCCTCGCCCCGCCTTTCCGGATGCTGACCTGCCACAGCTGCAACACGGTTCAGGACTGCAAGCGGGAGCGTATTGTGCGGGGCTACAACTGCAAGGGCTACGTGTGCATGGGCGGCTAAGTTAGGCCTTTCGGCGCCATCTGAGGCGAGCGGCTTTCACCCGAGGAATGAGATAGCAATAATCGCACGTTCATTTATGAAGTTATCCAACAACATTTATACGTCGTTCTGAACATGAGCGCGTGGTGTTTGGGCCAGTCAAATAGGAGCGTGTACAGTTGTAAGGAAGAGTAGTTCGGCAAGCCCTAACAAGTAGTCACAATCCAATAATGGTTGCTTCTGATGGTGGCCTTGTTTAACGTCACTGGCGTAGCGAGTAAGGTCGGCTGGGAAGTTGCCGATGTTCGTACAGTTATCATGTATGGCTTGGTATTCCGCATAGCCATGTTCATTCCTCTTGGCCGCGTCCTCCTGATGCTGGCAATAAGCTTTCCGTGGGTGACCCTACCACATCTTCTTTTGCCTGTACTTTATTGTGTAAACACAAGTATACAACCCTGGTGAGACACACACATGGACTCGCGGCCAGTATTCTTCACACACATGGACCTTTGATCAGGGCGATTCGCCACTTGCTCTGCCTCCAAGCCGCCTCCGAACACCCTGGGAGTTAACCATGCCCAAAAGCTGCAGCCCAGTAATGCAGCAACTACGGGCTAGGGGCAAGTGACGCTGGGGTGGGTATGTGGGCGCCGGCGCCCTCACCTCACCAGCTAGGGCCCGCCGCATGCAGGTGTCAGCTCCTCAGCAGGCAGGGCACAATGCCAGCCCTTCCAAGGGTCCTCGCAGCGGGATGGGGTTAGGCATGCAGCCCCCAGGGCCAGTACGTCTTGCTTTGCTCAGACGTGGCTGCTAGGTTTCCCCCTGTGTAGCAGGGCACACCCGCCCCACCCTGCACCCTACACCCTGCATGCTCCTGAACACTGACGAAACATGATCATTGCCGGCAGGGCTTCCAGACCCAAAGAGGAAGGGGTTGCTCAGCTGTACATGCATGGGGGCCAGGGATAGTGGATAGGCGCAGTAGTGGTGACGGAGGCTCGATTCGTTCGGGAAGGGTGTAGGCTAGGACATGGCCAGACCCGCGGTGTTTGCACTGCGGTTTATGTATGGCAAATGAACATTGGCGACAAGTGAGGTCGTTACATGTAAATGCGCGCGGTGTGGCAGCAGGTTGGTTGCGTACTGTACGGCGAACGATTACTTTTTCCGATGCGTCTTCGGCGAAGGCCACACGCTATGAACGGGATAATACATAGAGAGAGTGTCTTATTCCGTATGTTATATATTTTTACGATTTGCAATAATGTAGGTGGCTAGTTGCTATGACATCCACCATGGCATTATAAATCTAAATTGGAGCGCCCCATTAGAGAGACCGGGCCGTATGCCCATTGTTTTATTTTCTGTAGAGCTAACAAGGTTGTTGACATAAGGATATCCTTGTTCTCGGCAGCAGTCGTTGTCCGCCTGCAACATGGGTTGTGGACAGAGTACCCCCGTCTCTCAGGTTAAGGATCGCCCACTGCCAGCTGAAGGGAATGAAAACGGCATCGCAAAACATACACAAAATGCCAATAAGGAAGTCCTGAAGGTACGACGAGCTGTCACCTTTAGGTTTTCTTTGGCACGCACTCAAGCCTCACGCACGCGCTGTTTGTGCTTTCACGCAGAAAGTGGCCATCGCTGGCTTTGACAACATCATCCATGTGATCACTGACATCAAGGACCTACTGCCACCTCCGGGTGAGAGTTAGGGTGCAATGACCATCATAGTTATGCCACCAAGGGGTAGTCGGGCCTCAGTATACCCCACGCAACACGTCTTCAGTACCCATGGGCGCATGCTACGGCGTTTTGTACGGCATCGGCAGCCACGCTGTCTGCCTGCCAGCCGTACAGTAAAGCACGGCTGCTGGCTCACCCCATGCACCCTACCTGCTGTGCCCGCAGGCGGCCCTGCTGCCGCAGTGCTGCTGGACGTGGTGTCCATCATTCAGAAGGCCATCGCGCACCGGAAGAACCTGGCCGACCTGGCTGAGCGGGCCGCCAACCTCATGAAGATCATCCAGCTCAACCAGGAGGCGCTGCAGGTGGGTGCTGCAGGTGCTGCTGCTGCTGTTCAGTGCATGCAGCAGGCGTGCAGTAGTGTCGGGTTTCCGTCACGTCTATTCCTGCTGGCATAACCGCTGAGCCTATTCCTTGGAAGGCCCGGTCAGGACTCAGGAGTAATCCCACACCAGCATATCCCACTTTAACATGCACAGACACGAACACCGTCACGCACCCCCGGCCTACGCCTGTGTGCCCGTCACTACTCGCCCGCAGGCCAAGAACAGCTACAAATCCGTCCTTAGCTCCTTCACCGACTGCCTGGAGCGCATCCGGCAGTACGCACTGGAGTACAGCGGCAGCGGCTGGCTGATGCGGCTGTGGTGCTGCCTCAGCGACAGTGAGGAATACGACTCGCTGGTTTCGGAGCTGCAGACCATCGTGGCCGACGCGACCTTCATGGCCGCGGCGGACGGCAGCAGCCAGGCGGCGGCGGCACGCAGGGAGATTGAAGAGTTGGCGGCGCTGGTCAAGGCGCAGGCTAGCTACCAGGTGGGGGGGGTCAGAGATATACCAGAACCACAGGGTAGGGCAAAGCAATTGGGATAGAGTGAAGCAGGTGGGGTGGGGAACTGAGGGGTGTGCTGTGGTTGATGTGCAGCCGGTGTTGCAGGGGCCGTACTGGTATAGTCTTGCGATTTATGCATGTGGCGTAATGTGGTAAATAAGGTCTTCGGGAATGCGCTGGGCCATATTCACACACAGACGAACCTTGGAATGCTTCAGCAGCGGCTGCCTACAAGCGGTACATGCCACGCATGCGGCACGTGCCCGCCACACTATTGCCATGCAACCCGCACACCCCAACCCCCTCATCACGCAGGATGAGTCGGGCGAGCTGCGGGCGCTGGTGGCGGAGCTGGGGGGTCCGGGCGAGGTGGTCAAGGACCGCGCCAAGATGGAGCGCGTGCGGCAGCAGCTGGGGGCGGGCAGCCAGCTCACCCTGACCATGGTGGGGCGGGGGGAAAATTATATAAGAAATGCAAACAACTAAGTCCCAATCTGGTCCCAATCATGGTGGGGCGGGGGGGGGGAGCGGCGAGTAGGGTGCGTTGTCTACCGCATGCATTCCGCCTACCACTTCAATAATCCCCTCCGTTGCCGTTTTATGCCCATAAATGCCCTTCCCCACCACAACCCCGCTCCGCTCCTGCCGCAGCTGGGCCAGGCCATCGAGATCCTGAACGCCAACAACGAGGAGGGGCCGCACTCCAACATCCGCAACTCCATCCTGCGCGTCTTCTGGCGCAAGGTCATTAGGTTCGAACTGCGCATTCCATGGTGAGCAGTGCACGGGGAGGGTACGGCAGCTCACAAACCCGCTCCCAACATACAAGTTTGTATACAAAGGCTTGGGTGTCACTGCTCACACCTGCAGCTTGCATCACCCGGGCTACACATGTCTCTTGAGGTGCATCATAACACGCGGGGGTGCCCCCACACTGCACTGGTCCTGGCCTGTCACCTGCCCCCTGTCAACTGCCCAAGTGCTCACGATATCCCACACATGTGCACTCGCAACCCCCGTACGTACACGTGCTGACTCACACCTCTGCACCCTCATGCATGTGCCGCCTCTCACACGTCCACAGGGGTGAGTTCTGGCAGGTGTTCCCCGAGCGGCTGGCGGACGTGCCGGTGCCGCCCGCGCAGGTCGCCCAGCTTCAGAGCCTGCTGGGCAGCACCAGCGCGCATCAGCTGTTCAAGCTGCAGATCGAGGACTTCGAGGACCCCGGCTCGCTCAGCGTGTTCGAGCTGCGGCGGGTGCCCGAGCAAAACGACATCGTCGTGTGTGTCAAGGTGAACAGTACGGCGTATCGGCATTAAAGAGGCTGAGTGGGGACACTGTATACTTGGGATATTAGGGCGGGCGGGGGCAAACACGATGGCTCAAACGATGGCTCGCCCTGTCGCAACCAACGTGGCTTCCCATGTGATACTCTGTAGCTTGCTGGTTCTTTTTAGGGTTTTACCTAAACGTCCGGGCGATGCCATTTGTAGCGCATGTTTAGTATCTCGCTAGCTAGCCTTACCCATCAGGATGGCAATGTTTAGGTAGAACCATGGGGTAACACAACTCTGAGTCGCTCCAACATGACCCCAGAAAATCATCGAGGAGGCCTCCAGCTCCAGCAGCGCCCCCTGCCAGCTTCCGCCTCTGGACAAGGTGTACGAGCAGTACGGCGGGCGCGGTCCCGAGGCGCAGGAGCTGCAGCAGTGGCTGAGCAAGCCGGGCAGCCGCGTGGCGGCGGTGGTTGCGGAGGGCGGCATGGGCAAGACCTGCTTGGCGGTGGACGTGGCTTGGCGGCTGTGGCGGGGCAGCCACGCCACCGCCGGGGTGCTGTACGTGGACTGCCGCGGGGCGTTCAGCCGGGACGCGCTGCTGCTCAAGCTGCGGGCGGCGGCGGGCGTCACCAGCAGCCAGGGCGACACGGAGGCGCTGGCGGCCGCGCTGGCCAAGCTGTGCGACGGCGACCCGGCGGGCGGGCGGCTGCTGGTGCTGGTGGACAACGCGGAGGACCCTGCGGCGGCGGACGGCGGCGAGGCGCTGGCGGAGGTGCTGGCGGCGTTGCTCATGTGCCACAGCCGAGTGCAGCTGCTGCTAACGTCGCGGGGGGAGGTGCGCGTGCAGCACATGCCGCCGCCGCACACGCACCGCATCCAGCCGCTAGGCCCCGGCACCGCTGCCGAGCTGGTGCTGCGGCTGGCGCAGGGCGTGCTGACCGGGCAGGAGGCCGGCGGGGTGGCGGAGGCGTGCGGCTGCGTGCCCCTGGCGCTGCGGCTGGTGTCGGAGGCGCTGGTGGCGGGGCGGCTGACGCTGGAGGACGTGCAGCAGGCGGTGGCGGAGCGGGCGGCGGCGGGAGGCGACGGCAGCAGCAGCAGCGACCCCACCCTCATGTTCGTGGAGATGGTTCTTCGGTCGCTGCACGCGGGGGTGAAGAAGGTGGCGCTGCAGGTGGCCGCCTTCACGGGCTCCTTCACGGCCGCCTCCGCCTGCAGCCTGCTGGGCGGCGACAGCGCCTCGCTGCACGAGGTGCGCGCGCAGCTGACCAGCCTGCACCGCTACAGCGTGCTGCTGCAGCACGGGGACGACAGCTTCGCCATGCACATGCACGTGCGCGGTGCGGCGCGCGCACTGCTGCAGCAGGAGGCGCCCGCGCAGCTGCAGCGGGGCGTGCGGGAGCGCTTCGCGCGCTACGTGGCAGCGCTGCTGGCTCGCTGGCAGCGGCTGCACGCGGACGGCGCGCTGAAGTTGATGGTGGCGGAGGTGGCGGAGAACTGGGCGGACGTGGAGCAGTTCCTGGCAGACGTGGCGGGGGGCGAGGAGGAGGGTGCGGCAGGCGCCCGGCCGCTGCTCCCCGGCAGCAGTCCGCTGGCGCTGAGCCCCCAGCTGCTCCGTGAGACGCAGCTGCTGGCCACCCTCAGCCACGGCGACTTCCTGTACGCGGTGGGCAAGACGTGGATGAGCCCCACCTACCTAGCCCTCACGCAGCGGCTGGTGGAGGTGACGCAGGCGCCCCTGCAGCAGGCGGAGGCGGGCGGCCGGGAGCCGGAGCGGGAGGAGCGGCTGGCGGCCGCGGCGGCGCTGCTGGTGCGCTGCGAGGCGCTCATGTACGGCGGCGAGTACTGCGAGTCGGCGGAGCTGGCGCAGCGGGCGGTGGGGCTGGCGGAGGTGGCTGGGGGGCGGGGCAGTGTGGAGTGCGCGGCCGCGCTGCACCTTGCGGGCAGCTGCCTGCAGGGTCAGGGGCGGGGCGCGGAGGCGGTGCCGCTGTTCCGCGAGGCGCTGGCTGCGCGGCGGGAGCTGCTGGGGCCCGCGCACCCGCTGACCACCGCCACGCTCACGCACCTGGCCATGCAGCTTTCGGCGGAGGGGCAGCACGAGGAGGCGGAGGGGATGTACAGGTGGGTAGCGGGGCGGGCGAGCGTGGGGTGGGGTGATGCCGGTATTGTAGCAAGCTGGCTGTTAGCGGGTGAGGTTGCAGAGCAGCGGGCCCATGCCTTGCCTCCCCCCTGCTCCTCCTGCTCCCCCCTCCGCAGGCAGGTGTACGAGGCTCACCAGGGCAGTGTGGGCGCCTCGCACAACCTGACCGCGCAGGCCGCGTCAAACCTGGCCGGCTGCCTGCACGAGCAGGGCCGGCTGGCGGAGGCAGAGGCGCTGTTCCGCGCCGCGCTGGCCGCCTACCGCGACAGTGTGGGGTCGGGGCACCGGCAGGTGGCGTTCGCGCTGGTGGGGCTAGCGGCGGTGGTGCGGGAGCGGGGGCAGCGCGAGGCGGCGGAGGAGCTGTACAGGCAGGCGCTGGAGGTGTGCCGTACGGCGCTGGGGCCGGCGCACCCGCACGCGCGCATGACGCTGGAGACGCTGCGGGAGCTGCTGCGGGAGCTGGGCAAGGGGGAGGAGGCGGAGGCGCTCAGCTTGTGAGGGGGTGGGCAGGGGGAAGGAGGCGGAGGCGCTCAGCTTGTGAGGGGGGGTGGGGGTGGGGGTGGGGGGCGGGAGTGGATGGAGGGCCTGCGGTCCTTTGATGTGATGCAGCGTACTATCCTTGCTATGACATGTTTAATGGTATGCATGCATGCTGCTTAAGAATCAAGTTAAGTATGCGGGTGTGGATGGAACGATGATCCATTTTGTGCGATTGAAGTGTTGCTTTGGTACGTGAGCAGGAGTTCTCCGGGCCACCTTTATTTTTGGTTGCGTGAGAGACATGACTTGATCACATTATGCATTATGCACAGTGTTTTTTTTCCGAGCGATATATCGCTTTTTGAGCGATAAATAATTGGTCCTAGGGCCGTGAGAAAGCGATAAGGTGTCTGTGCCCAGGGTATCTCATCGCTCACACCCCCCGTGCCAGACCCTCTACATGCTAGGGATTTGGGTCCAGGAGGGCACTGGGACCATTGAGAAGCGCCTCCGTATTGGGGTTTAGGGGGCTATGGGCACGTGTGACCCCAGGAGGCCGCCTTATGAAGCGATAAGCCCCGAAACCCCTCGGATAGGCTGGTTGGGAAAGCGATAAGCGATTGTCCAGGCCCGATTTCTATCGCTCTAGCAGTGATAAAAAATATCCCCTCGAAAACGAAGGAAACGCTGATTATGCACCGCCGCACACACAGCCTACTGGCATTCCGCCTATCCCTCACTCCGGCTGCAGACCAACCAAAGAGCCGCCATGTTTTACGATGTTGCACCGAATGCTGTGGTTGCCTACTGAATCATGTAGTAATTTGAGACTGTGCGGGATACAGTAATAGGGTGTAGTGCTCGAGTAGAGCTCGGGACTACCCAGGCGGAAGGGGACGTTCCTGGCTTGCCGTCAGGTCGTGGCGGAGGGGTGATTAAGGGTTTACAAAAGCTGTGGAAAGGCACGGCTGCTCGACTGTCCAAGCAGAGGTCCGAGCCATGCTAGTGACCGCTAGCTAGAGTTGTGCCGGTGTGACTGGCAGTGTGACTGGCAGCAGGAGGGGTTTAGCCGCGACCACCTGGCCGGTGTGACTGCCAGCAAGGGAGGGGCCGACAGTCGGTGCTGCTGACCAGCTGGAGTCGGCCGATGGAAGTACGGCACTGGTATGCCTGACAGGAGGCGGGTGGCAGGAGGTGGGTGGCAGGGGAGGTGCGTTGGGGCCCCGTGTGTGTTCGTGCTTGCGTGGCTTTGGAACAGCAGCAAACTAGACCCAGTTGGTGGGAGAGGTGCAGTCGGCTTCTTGGTTTCCGCATATGGGCAGTCCTCCTCGCCTCATGACGGTGTGTTGGGGACTTACTTGATCTGCACCAGAGCGGAATGTTTTGGACGTGGAGCTCACGCGCGGTTGTTTTGGACATGACCTGGACACGTATTTCTGGACGTTGAACTCACGCTCGGTTCAGCTACGATGCAAAGGAAGAGTCTAGCAGGTTGACGTGTAAGTATGTGGCCTGCAAAACAAGAGTGTTAAGTTCAGGAAAGCGGGCCCGAACGACATGCGTAACCTGAGCCGGGGGTCTGGCTTTAGCCTGCCGGCCTCACACAGCCGTGAGGCCAACACGATCAACTCTGCAACGTTGGGCTTAAACTTCTATAGCACTTACGGGCTTAGCTGTGCATTGTGATCACCTAACGTACTACCAGTCAGCTGCCGTGCAGACGGATGTGAATCGTCGGCGCCTCACTAATACTACGGTAATCGCTCCTTCACAACACACTCGAAGGCATCGTGTATTCACCCATACACAGCGGTTTTACACTTGAAGCGTTCAGCACATTGCCCCGTGTAATCGCACCCTTTTGCTTTCAACGCTTTGATATTGGCCTACAAACGATATTTCAGCTCTTATAAAAAGCCTTCCTTAAGAGAATTTATTATTACAACTTCCTATCCTGCCCAACTGCTGTCTTGGCCCATTTCAGCGTCTAGGTCCACCACCGCACAAGAATGGGCAAAAAGAAAGCTTTTATCGATAAAAAGAAAGCTGTAACTTATAACCTTGTCTACCGTGACCCAGCCGAAGACCCGGAGGGCGAGGATGGCGGCCAGCGTACTCTGGCGCCTATCGGAGGCCAGCGAGGGGCGCAAGAAGACTATTACGAACAGTATGACGATGAAGAATCGTTGTACGAGTCCGAATACAGCATGGCAATGTCCAGGTGCGTCGGCTCTCACTCTGGGCGGCGGCTGGGCGGGTGGGCCTCCCCGACCCTGAAGCCTCAAGCTTCCACACCGCCGAGTCGTGGGGACACTGGATGCCAGCCCCGGCGGCACTGGGGCCCCCTAGTGGGCTTCCAACGGCCGTCACTCCCGTTCCCCTCCCTGCGGGTCGGGTGTTGAACTCACCTGTTTTGTCTCGTTACCCCTCCCTCTCCCTCTCCCTGTCTCCCTCCTTCCCTCTGCCTCCCCCCCTCCAGGAGCGCCGCCGCCCACCACGACGAGTCGTACACCCTGCCTCCCGAGCGCCGTCGCGAGCTGGTGTCGCTGGGCTTCCCGGACGACGGATACGACTACCTGCGACATATGCGGGACCTGGGCAGGGGGCGGCCGGCGGCGGGAGGGGGCCGGGTGGGTGGGGGAGGGGGGGCAGGAGGCGTGAGGCGTGAGGCGTGAGGGCGGAGGCTGCAGCGGCAGCAGCCCACTTGGGGCGTGTTGGTTGCTCGTTGTTCGCTCGTTGCTTGCACTAAGGTCTTGCCCTCCTTGCCCTTCTTTGCAACGAACGCCACCCCCAGGAGGGCGGAGTGGAGACCATTCCCGAGGACCAGGAGCTGGAGGGCTTTGAGGAGGAGGGTGATGAGGAGGGGGGAGACAGCGAGGAGGAGGATTTCACCATTTACGACGAACTGCTGCCACCGCAACAGCAGCAGCAGCCAGGCCCCGGGGCCGCGGGCGCCTCTACCTCAGCCGCTGCTGCTGCTGCTGCCACAAAGCTCAACGCAGCAGCGCTAGCAGCTGCCGAGGCCGCCGCCGCCGCAGCAGCAGCAGCCGGCCCCAGCACGTCCACCTCCTCCGCTGCGGCTGCAGCAGCAGCAGCAGGCCGTGCCGCCTCCGCTGCTGCTACAGGACCCGGCCCCGGCAGCGCTCGCGTCGGCGGCATGCAACACCGCAGCGGCGGCAGCGGCGCGGCAGCCTCCGTTCGCGTGGGCGGGGGCACTGTTGCCGGCAGCGTGCGCGGGGGGGCCGCTCGCAGTGTTGCCAGCACCAGTCGCACGGACGGCTCGGGTCTGGGTCCCTCCGTGTTCGTGCGGGCTACTCGGCTGGTGGCCCCCAGGGAGGACGTGCGAGTGGTGGACGCGCGCAGGTGGGGGGCGGGGGGGAGGGAGGGAGGGGGGGGGTTGGGAGCGGGGATGGGGTCAGAGGAGGAAGGAAACGGGAGGGCGGGGATAGGGGTGGGTTGCGGGCGGGGGTGCCGCGGGGTTAGGGAGGAGGGTCCCGAAAGAGGGCGGTTGCAGGGGGGGTGCGGCTTTGTTGGGGTCTAGGAGGGGGCTGCAGCTTCTAGAGCGCTGTGTGGGGAGGAGGGAGATGCACCTCCAAGATTAGTGGGGCTCTCGGTGGGGCTCTCGGAAGGAAGAGGTTGCGTTGCGTTGCGCTGTGTTGTGTTGCGCCCGCCTGTGCTGTTGTGCCGCTCAGGCTGGCTGGCTTGTTGCAAACGATGATGACGCCTCATCACAGGGTCACAGTTAGTTGTTTCCTCTTCTGCCTCCACCCGCTCAGGCTGCAGGTGCGACCCAAGGGTCACGACGAGGCGGCTGCCGCGGAGGCGATGCCCGAGATCAGCGCGCAAACACAGCCCACGGAGCTGCGCGGCCACCGGGGGAGGCTGTACCAGGTGGGGGGTGGGTGGGGGGGAGGGGGGGGGGGGAAGGTGGGGGGGAGGGGGGGGGGGGTAAAAATAAGGAAAACTGACGAACTGGATGACGACGCTTCACCATGGGGGGTGAGGGGGTGGGGATTGGCAAGGACCATATTCCCCGATAACAGGCCGCGGAGGCAGGGAGGGGGCTGGGAGGGGGGGATCGGAGGGGTTGGGGAAGGGGCATGCGGCATCATGGGCGGGGTTTGACAGCGCGACGGGCGGGCATCAGCGACGTGAACCTGCGCGGCAGGGAGTAGCTGGGGGAGGTGGCAGGTGGCAGGTGGCACTTGATGTTGGTTCACACACGGTTTGCTAGCAGCACACACACCGACCAACATCGGCCCGTTTTCTTACCACACGTATACACGGTGCCAGCTTCCTAAACACACGTGAATACACAGGTCCAGGTTTGGTTACCTCTGTTTTGCCTGTACTCGCGGTTCACATGCGAACCTCTCCCCACTGCTTGCTCTTGTTTCCGCTCAACTACACCCACCCACGCAGGACCTGGATGAGGTGGAGAAGTGCATGGCTGCCCTGGAGAACGGCAACGACCCGGACCGGGCGGAGCGGGTGGAGGGAGACGAGTGGGCGGACTGGTTGGACGAGTTCGTGGCGGGGGGCGGGGACGAGGAGGGCGCGGCGGGGGCGGCTGCAGGGCCGTCGGGTGGTGAGGAGGAGGGAGATGATGATGAGGAGGAGGAGGGTGGGGGAGAGAGCGAGGAGCCGGAGGAGGACGAGGAGCAGGATGAGTGGCGGATGCGGCACCGCCGGCAGCAGCAGCAGCAGGGGCAGCCGCTGCAGGGGCAGGAGGCGGCGGCAGCAGCGGGAACTGCGGCAGCAGCGGTGGGACCTGGTTCCGTACGTGGCGGTGGTGACGGCGGGGGGGTGGCGGCTGCCTCGGTGGTGTCTAGCTTCTGGCGGCCGGAGCGGCGGGACCGCAAGCAGGTGCGGGGGGGGGGTAACGTGTGGGGCTGGGTGGGTGGGGGAGTGGCGTGTTGGGAAACACACACACACTGCTGCTGCGTGTTGCTGTGCAGTGTGTGTGTTTTCGCACGTCATGACGTCAAGACCGCGTGTCATGAGGGCCATGACGCCCGTCACCGCGAGCTGCCTGCCCGGTCTTGTCGCACCTGCACCCCCCTCACCCCCCCCTCCGCTCGCCTGCTGTCAGGGTTTCGAGGCGCTCGACGCGCAGTTCGAGCGGTTGGCGGTGGAGTACGACGACGAGGAGATCGGAGCGCTGGAGGACGAGGAAGATCCGCGGTACGGCAACCATCATGATGACGATGATAATGATGGGGAGGAGGAGGAGATTGAGGAGGAGGCGGGGGCGGCAGCCGCTCGTCGCGGGGCCCAACAGAAGGGCCGCGCGGCTGCTGCTGCCGCGGGCACGTGTGAGCTGTCTGACTTCGCCGACGTGCTGGATGAATTCCTGGCTGAGCACCGGTCGACGGAGGAGCTGGAGGCGGAGGGGTTGAAGCTGAAGGTGAGGGAGGAAGGCAAGGAGAAGAGGAAGGAGAATAAAATAAAGTGGCGAATTGATGGTGAGGGAGGCAGGCAGCAGCGGGGGCAAGAAGGGGATGGATGTTGATGGGTTCGATGGTCTGACGGGGCCTGGAAACAGTGTTCATGCAAGCGTTCGAGCGTAGTTACCGGTACTTTGCAGTTACCGGTATTATGAAGCCGTCTTCCGTTGTCAGCTCATAACGACCGCACCCCACTTCGTCCGACCGCACCCCGCCTCCCCGCCTCCCGCCCGCAGCCCGCGGACGATGTTGTGGCGCAGGCCACCCGCCCCGACCCGCAGGCCCTGGCTGCCACCCGGGCTCGCATGCACCGGCAGCTGGCGGCGGAGGAGCGGGCGGCGGCGGCGGCGGCAGCAGCGGGCCGGGAGGACGGCGGCTGGGAGGTAACGGGCGACGCGGGGGAGCGGCGGAGCACGCTGGTGGTGGCGGAGGCGGAGCGGTGGGACTGCGAGTCCATCCTGTCACTGACGTCAAATCTGGAGCACCACCCAGCGAAGATTGTGGAGCCGCAGCGGCGCAGCGGCGGGCGGGGCGGCGGGCTGATCCGGTTGTCGGCGAAGACGGGGATGCCGGTGCTGGCGGCGGCGGCTGGGGGTGTGGGAGGGGCGGCGGCGGTCATTCCGGAGGAGGAGGAGGAGCAGGAGGAGGAGCGGAGTGCGAGGGGGAGTGAGAGCGATGAGGGTAAGGGGCGATGGCGAGCAAGGAGGGTGCGAGCGCTGGAAGCCTGAAACCGTGATTTTGTTTGCGCGTTGCCTGATGCGCCTGGGGTGTCAGGGGGGTCCGTGCGACATGATCTTCTTTAACTGATTGACGAAGGCAGCTGTGCGGATTGAAAGGAGGCAGCTGTGCGAGCCTGCCCGTGTGTCCCGTGTTTAGCCTGCCATGACCTTCCGTGCTTGGCTTCCACTTTACTGCGTCCCCACTCGCCGGGACATGGGATTGGGTTTTCAGGCTTCACTAATCATTCTCGCCCCCCCCCGGCCCCCCCGGCACACAACCCCCCAGGCGCCAGTGTGCTGGACCCGGCGCTGCTGCAGCGGCGGAAGGGCGAGACGGCGGAGGAGCGCAAGGCACGTAAGGCGGCGGTGAAGGAGGCGCGGAAGGCGCAGAGGACAGCGAAGAAGGAGGTGAGGGTAGGGGCCGCCGGGAGGCATCATCAGGCTTCTGATTTCGGTGCTTATCTACTGCAGTTGTTGTTGATGTGTTGCAGATGCCTGCACCCCGCTGTCACGCTCACACGCTGAAGCTGCTATCGCCATTCTTGCTGTGCACGCAGATGAAGAACCTGTTCCGGCAGCAGGCCTCCAAGGCGCAGAAGCAGTCCGCGGGGCGGTCGCAAGCGGCCGGTTCGACCTACGTCATCCCCTAGGCCCATGCGTGGCCTGCAGATTAGGACACTGAAGGCGCGGACAGACAGCCCTGATTGGTTGTGGCATATGGGTATAGCTTGGTGGGTTGTCTGCGGGGGACTTTGCACACGGAGGTGCCAGGAATGCAAGGTTTGTGCGGGAGCGATTGAGTTGCGTGTATGTTGGCGGTGGTGCGGGCGCAATCGGGTGGCGCTGCCTAACTGTGGGACAATTCACGAGCGCCGAAGGGGCGGAAAGGGTACCGTATTACCATTATTGGAATGTCAGGCCGGCGTGAGTTATCTGGGGCCGTGCAGGTCCTCCGAACGTGATGTTTGGGCACAGGTGCTGGGTTCCCTCGCGGCTGCGTTTGCATGCTAAGCAGCTGAGAATCTCCATTTTGGTACCGGTGTACTATCTCCCGACAGGGTCCACTGTAGGACACTGGATGAAGTGCACCAAGAAGTTGTAAAAGAAACATGTGTTGGCTATCATGTGGAAGGTGGTCTTGGATAGCGCCGTGCATGTCCGCAGTGCAAACTGATGTCGCGGCTCTCTCTGCGGAGGGGATGCGAGGTTATGCTAGACTTTCCTAAGGAATCTATAGCTTTGTGCGCAAGTGGCAGACGCACAGACCATACATATGGGGCCTCCCGCGCTCTGCGCTTGTATGAGTACGGCAACCGTAACAAGGCTTGAACTCTGGTTCGTGCGTGCAGCAGCTCGGAAGCTAGACTGACAGCGTAATCTTGTGTGGTCGTATGCTGCACTCATACTCGGTCGGGCTACGTGAACAGTTCAGCCACTGGTCGCAGCGTCGTCATTACAAATCGACGACGCAAGTTGAACGCATTCGTCGCTATCACAAAGTATTCTACTCCTTATAGGTCAATTTTTAGACGCTTATTCATCTTTTAACAAAGAAACTGGCCTGTAACCAAGACCGACAGCTTGACGGGGGTGCAGGCAGCAACCGCCATGGCGCATACGCGCCCTTTCGCGCTGGTTTCACTCCTTTTGTTAGCAGTTGTCAATGTTAATGCAGTGGCAAGGCTTCATATTGACTTCCATAAGGTGTGCAAGACCGAACTTGAATGACTACTGCTCTCCAGCGCATACCTGTAGAAAGCGGAGGATAAGGCCAAACGCCAACGGAAATGACTTGCACACGAATGCCAGTCATTTCGCTGAAGGGCTCTCTTTCGGCGCTCTTTGTCCACAGGACGCTGAGTCGGCGACAGCTGCCCAGACCACGCTAAGAACTAAAGGCCGCAGGCTTCATGGTAATAGGGGATATATTCGCTTTATCCGCTCCAGTAGACGCCCTAGTCCTTGCCTCTTTACTCGAAGGCTGTGTTGCAGAGCCACCAGCATGTCATTTGCAACACCCGAATGCTCTTTGTCCCGCAGATGACTCAAGTGACAACGTTTGTTACGAAGGCTGCTTCGCAGCCCCCATTAGCAACCCCTCAGCGCAGCCCTTCCCGCTCAACTTGACGGCGGTCGCTGCGAATGGCTCCCAGCCCATGTCCCTGCTGGACTGCTACACAGCCGCTCTCCAAGCCAACCTGACGTTCTTTGCCGTCGGCGGCGTCTACGGCTGCTACGGCGGCAACGAAATGATGACCGGCTGGGCCCTAGACTCCTGTCCGCTGGAGTGCGTCCCCGGGGGAAGCGGCGTCTGCGGTGATGTGGGCAAGGCCTCCGTCTTCAGCATGGGCTTGTGCCGTAAGTACTGCGGGCGCTTGCAAACCGTTGTGACCGTTACCGATTAAGATCTGTACTTCAAATCCCTACCTTATTTTAAGACCATGCGAATTGGCTTGCCACGCCTATGGTTTCCTGCTTAGGCTGCCACCGTTCAACCCAAGGCCCTCTCAACCCAAGGCCCACTCAACCCACAAGTCTTGATTTGTGGATACCTGGGCCCACTTCCCCTGCTTTCTTCGAGCTCACACCGGATTCACTCTCTCACCTACACGCCCCCCACCACGCTGCTGCAGAGTACCTGGGCGGTCCATGCGCCCCCGATGAGAGCCTGCCGCCGCCGCCCAAGGCGCCCTCACCGCCGCCCCCGGGTGAGTCCCGCCACCTCCCTCCGTTGCCTCCCAATCCGTTCTTCCTTGGCTGACAATCCGGTCCACCGCCACAGGGGTGCAGGGGCTTGTTGCTGTGAGGGGATGCGCCCAGATGTGCCCTGCAATTACATACTTTTTGATCTTTTGTTCCGACACGTTGCGGCCCCTCCCCTCAGGCCAACCCCCGCGCAAGCCCTCCCCTCCACCGCCTCGCAAGCAGCCCTCCGTCCCCACCAACGTCGACCCCGAGGCCTCCCCGCCCAGCGATATCGTGGAGGTGTACTCCCCTCCTCCCCCTCCGCCCTCCTCACCGCCACCACCCCCGCCACCATCCCCCCCACCACCATCCCCGCCGCCACCACCCCCACCGCCGTCGCCATCTCCGCCACCGCCACCCTCGCCGCCGCCAGGTAAGCCCATGCAGCTGCCTGCCGGATGTTTCCCTCTCCCACACGCACCTCGGCCAGGGTTGCTTCTACCGTCCACGACTGCAGATCGCGCACTGCTGCCCTCTTGCCCGCTCGCTCATCACGCCGCGGAACATGAACTCCCCTGAACACCTAAACCCAGAGCACCTCCTCTAAACCGCAACCTTCATGCTCCCGCGCACCTGCCAAGTGTCTATCCTGTCGTGCCCCCCCCCCCGTGTCCCCCCCTTCATGCCCTTTCCAGCTGGCAAGACCTACCACTGCAAGGCCGGTGTGGCGCTGCTGGGCACTCCGCTGCCGGGCCTGGACCGCGTGAAGCTCAACCCCGCGCACTCGGACGCGGTCAACACGGCCGAGTGTCAGAGCATCTGCACGCAGGAGCCCGACTGCATGGGCTACTACTACAAGGTGAGGTGTGTGGGGGGGGGGGCTGGGACAGCATGGGGGGCTTTCATGCCGCCGGGTAATGAGGTAACTACCGGTATGTCTTGTCGGCGACTTGCGGCAGTATGGTTAGGGAAGGGCGTGATTGCCCCATTGCTCCGATCGCCATCCTGCCAATCATACCAGCCCTGAGCTGCTGCTGCCTACCCGTGTCCTGCGCCCTCGCTGTAGCCCGTTTCAGCCCGTTGCGACGTTAACCCCACAAACTGCCCCCCCCCCAGACCACCACCTGGTGCTACCTGATGTCGGAGGTGGTGTCCTTCACCAAGGCCTACAGCTCTGCCGTACAGGCGTGCAAGGTGCTGTGAGGGTTGAGAGGATGCGCATGAGATGCATAGCGGTGTGCGTTCCGCGCCGCGTATGATGAGCAGGGTACTTTTTGCATGTTAAGACTATTTATAGGATGCGCCAGCGCGCCATCCGTGCGAAGCATTCTTGCATGCGTGTATGCGCCAGTGGGGCATGTAGATCATTATCAGCGATCATTACTGTAATTTCAGGGCTTAGTTATTTAAGAGACCAAATTGGATTGAGGCAGGTTGATCACGTTGGCAGGCAGTTTGCAAGGCTAGTTGAGTTTCAACTCATGCTCATGACCCATGGGTCGCTTTCGTTGTAATAACACCATCTGCTTCCGTACTCTACACTTACAAAGCGGGAATTACCGCTAAAATCTTACTTGACGATTCCATATTACATGACACGCACAGACATGTACTGGATGTGCCACTCTTCCACCCGCAACATACAAGCACACACAAGGATATCCAGCTAGCCGGACGGGTTGTAGCCTCAGGACACTGGACCCACCCAGGCTGCAAGGACAAGAGGCAAAACCTCCGCACCCATCGCCATCCTGTACTGAAATGATCCATCATCGCACGCACGCTTATAATGACTTTGCGTTTACTGCGCAAGCTGCGCCTTAGCAATGAGAATGATGCCAAGACCCCACTGCCTCTCTTGCGTAGTCAACCCTGTATATACCCTATACAGCTCTACACTGCAAAGTCGTGCGTCGAAGCGCCCCTTAACTAAAGACACACGCAGCTACATCCCTGCACTCTTGTACGACAGCTTTACGACGGCTACGCAGTTTGCGACAAGAAGCTGCAGCATCCCTTTGGCCCGTCCTGTGCAGCACGCAAGTTACGAGCTATAACGACAGACGCCTTCGGACCCAGAAGCGCTCTTAACGTCTTAAGTATACAAACTCACTCATTCTCACAGCATTCCTTCCAAACTTATTTAGGAAAAAGGTTTATTCCTTCCAAACTTATTTAGGAAAAAGGTTTATGACGAAGGTACAGCATTCCAGCAGTCCGGTTCGCACGGGTTAACAGCAGTGAACTCATGAACAGTGCAAACATGGTTCTAACCCTGTAAACGTCCGTACCAGCACGAAACCAGGACATCACGCTATTGCATGCATGGAATCACAAGCCAACTGTCAGTGCCACTCATGCCCTAACAAAACACATCCCAAAGCATTAACAAAGGCAAGACGATAGCATCAGCGATATTTCAGTTAGCGCATTCACCATATGTAGGCATCATAATTCAATATGCAAAATTGGACATTACTGACGACGAGAAAAGAATACCTAGAAAGCTGTAGCAAGTAACATGATACATAATAACATTCGCATGTTAGCAAATCCCCAACCATCACAAACGACAATTCACGTGCACCTCGGGTCGTCCTAGCTCCTCAGGAGGACCCACCAAGTGCTGAAAATGACGCGACTCTTCTACGGAGCCCTGCCCCAATCAGTTGCTGCTCTTGCTGCTACCGCTGTGGCTGCGCCTGTGTTTGTGTTTGTGCTGGATGTGCATGGGCGGCTGGGCGTACTGCTGCGGCTGGAGGCCCGGCACGGCTGGGTACAGCTGGAGCGGCGGGGGAGGTGCAACGCCGTACGGTTGCATGACACCCGGGGGGGCCGGGTAGGCCTGAGCCGGAGGGTAGGGTTGCTGGACGGGGTAGGGTTGCTGGACGGGGTAGGGCTGCTGGACGGGGTAGGGCTGCGCCGGAGGAGGGTAGTACTGCGGCGGCGCGGCGGGTGGTGGCGGCGCCAGCATAATTGGCTGCTGGGGCGGCGCTGCGGGGTGTTGCGGGTGGCCTGGCTTCTTGGCCTCCTTGCCGCCTGCGGTGCGAGGGGACATGGGGGTGTCGGTCAGGGCCTGCCATTAGGGCTAGCCTTCCCGTTTCTAGGGTAGCAGGACAGCGTCCTATCTAAAGAGGAAAGCCCCCTGCTCGGGATGTTCTCTTTCCCTTTCTGATAGCCATTAGTATAGAGCCTAGGGCTTGCATGCCGTGGCCTGTTTCACTTGACACTCACCCATTGTGACCCCCCGGATGGTGAGCTCCCGGTGCTCTTGGCACATAGCGCAGGCGGCGCAAAAGCAGGTCGTCAGGCAGTCTGCGTAGAAAAATGTAATACGGGAGGGGAAAGAGTTTAGGGAAGGGAGAGGGCGATAGGCCCTGCGGAGGATGGCAGGATGTGTGGTGTGTAGGGTTGCAGGAGGCACTGGTCGTGTGTCGTCTGCGAAATTGTTGCGTTACCTTGACAGCCGTCACCGGCGATGTTGTACTTGTTGCGAATATAAGAGCGTGCGCCCATATGCAAGCAGCAGCACAACCCCAATTCCAGCATGAGGAAGTAGCAGAAGCATGCGCCGCAGCAGCTCCCGCCGCAGCATACTGACTGCGATCATGGACACAAAGAGTAGGTTACATTTTGACTAGATGTGCGTGCGCGTTGAGAAATGCGAGCTAAACTCTAAACCTTTTGGCTTCACAATTAGGAGGCCACGGTGGCAATGTGGCCCTACCTGGTCCGGCATCCTTTCCACGTTTTGCCCATATTGGCAGCATGGGCACCAGTATGCGTAGCCTGCGAACATATGGCCAGCCGGAATTGTCCATGCCCTTCCAACACAGCAAAATAATGCCGGCGATAGCTTAGTATGTGACAGAACTTACAGCATGTTCCACAGCCACCTGGCTCAGCACAACATTCGCAAAGTCCTGTGCTCCACGCTCCCTGGGCAGCTGGCTTCATGTTTTCAAAATATTCTTTGCGTTGGAACGTATCGAGATGAAGTTCAAAATACTGTAATAATAGTAAGAAGAAGTAAGTTTGACGTAGGTGAAGGTTGCCTGCGACCATCATTCTTCCTCGCTGTGTCCCTACATGGATCGCGCCGTACAATGCTGGTTTTACCTCGCAGACTGCAGACTGCTTCTTATGTATGTCGAAAGCAAGGATATAGACTAGCTACCCCGGAAAGGGAGGTAACGTTTATATGAAAGGCTTCAGGCTTAAAACATGGTGCCGGTCCACCTGTGAAATGCAGGGTTGTGTAGCTTCAAAGTGCGTTCGAGCGCAAGCGTATCCGCATGGCAAATATGGCCCATTCACTTAAAGCTGAACCCTGGCTTGCACGTGCGCCGCGTTGCCGCCCCCCAGGCTACCCCACGCTGCTCCCTAGGCTCGTCCACAAGGTACTGCCCGCCACCGAGCCGACCCGTATAGAGGTTCAAGAGAGATGCCCCCAAAGACGAGTGGATGGGGGCAAAAGGGTAAGAGGGCACTCCACTTGGGCATATCCCTTCCCTCCTGCTCATGTCATGTGCACCAGCGGTGGCGATCTGGCGCTGCATAGCTGCATAGTGCTCTGACTGTCATTAAGATCTCCTGAAGCCCACCTATTGAAAACCCGACAGACAGGTATAACAATTATCTCTCCAGCCTTAATGCAAGCGGGGGTTGGCAGCATTACGGCTGAAGTCTGCGGCGTGTTACAAATACCCATATACGGTATAACGCGTGGTGTGCCGCGATTAAGGGAAGGCAGCGCGGTATCTCATTGCGCCGGCAATCTGAGGTCCTATCTACGGCATAGTTGTCGATAGTCCTCATAAACCTCTATGTGCCTTACCAGCTCTTGCAATAGCAAAAGACACTGGATTACAATATCATAGCAATATGCTCATGCCACAGTACGTTTAGCTTGAACCAGCAGTCACCCACATACTTGCGCATGACAGTTAAGCCGAAAGCAGTGCAAGCTTGCAAGTTTAACATTGCGACGTAAGACCATCCTAACCTAAGCAACCTGAGCTGGGCGATACGTGGAGGGCGGCCTGCTTGCACCGCCTACTTAGCTCGGGTGGCCTTATCACGAGTCCTTTGGCGCCTGCATAACAGGTTAGCAACAATAGTGCCTAGCAACTGGCTGATCATATTCACACTGAGGAGCTTGAGGCTTAATTTTACGGAGGTCATTGCCGATACGCATGCACACCCACATTGAGGCCGCGTCGGGTGAAATCGAGTGACTACCGGCTGTGTTAACAAATAATCAATTACCTGAAAGTAACTAACGCCAAATGTTACTTGATTGCTGCAGGGCAGGGTCGCCATGGGAATCACAAAGGAACAGCAAACCCAAAAGCTATTGACGCTTAAAGCGCTTGAAGATGCGAAAGGGAGGGTAAGCAGCTCGAGGGGCACCTGCTTTCATTAAGGGGCTGGGTGGCGCAGCCGGGTAAGGGCCTTGTGGCCAAGTGAAGCTCGGTGTGGCCGTATGCCTCTGCTTCATGCTAGAGAGACAGCCCCAGTGCAATCGGAATAGCCGATATGATGGATCCATCGCGGCCTCCCAACCTACTGGCTTGCTCCTTCATCTGCAGAGCCGGCACCCCCGCTCACCGGCTGTGTTCCGCGAAACCGCGCTGGACACCCACAAAACCCTGGCCTCCGACTTCGATGGACCCGACTACATCATGCCTAGGAGGGACTACCCCACACGCATCGGTTCAGGTACGGCAACGCACCGCCCTCCCTCCCTTCGGTTGGTTTGCTCTCTTTTTACTCTCCTCCACCTCCCGTTCCTCCCACACCCCAAGCCCATCCTTCCCCTTCTCCCTCATCCTCATCCTCCCCTCCCCCCCGCTTCTCCCCCCCGCTTCTCCCCCCCACGCAGCCACCGTCCTCGAAGCCAACCGCCAGAAGAAGGCCGCCCTGGAGGCCCTCCTCCGCACCTCCCAGTTCTCCGCGCCCGGCGAGGTGCGCAGCGTCTTCGTGCCCACCGCGCAGCAGCTGCCGGTGTGTCTGGCGGCGGGCGAGCGGCGCGCCAACGTGGCGGCCAGCGAGTGGGCGCTGCTGGACACGCTGGGGGTGACCATGTTTGACCGGGAGCGCGAGCGCGAGGAGCGGGCGGTGCGGGTGCTGCAACGGCAGCAGCGAGTGGCGCTGGACGGGCAGATGGCGGCGCTGCAGCAGACGAGGGTGAGGCGGGGGGGGGGCGGGGGGAGGGTTGGGATAAAAAGTGAAAACTGACGAACTGACGAGGGGATGGGGAAGGAGGGGAGGAGGAGGAGGAGGAGCTGGCATGGGGCTGCGGATAAGTGGGAAAGAGGATGTGGGTTGCAGATGATGTAGTACAATGGGGATTTGAATGGAGGAGTGAGGGGCGACTAGCAGGACACCTCTCCTTTTCTTCTTCCCCTCTCCATCTCGACCCTCCCCCTCCCCCCTTTCCCCCCCTCCCCTCCCCTGCAGCGCGAGGCCGAGGCCGCCAAGGCTGCCGAGCGGCAGGCGGTGCTGAGCGGCGTGTTCGAGCACCACGCGCGCACCCGGCAGCGGCTGGACTCGCAGCGGGTGGCCAACATGCAGCTGAGGAAGGAGCGGGAGGGCATGGTGAGGGAGGGGGGGCCCAGGGAGTGGGTCGACTGTTGGGGGAGGGAAAGGGAGGAGGAGGAAGGTGTCCGCTGCACCAGGGTGTATACATGTTACGGGGGCGGGGCCAAGGGACGGGTTAGCTGCAACACGAACCCGCATCATCCTGCTATCCTCCCTTGCACCCACCTCACCTCATCTCCCCCTCCCCCTCCCCACGCCCCACCCTCTCCCACCAGCTGGCGGAGGCTCGTGCCGTCCGCGAGGCCTCCGTGGCCGCCCGGCGCGAGGAGGAGGCCCGGCTGGTGGCGCAGGAGCGCGCCAAGCTGGATGCGGACCGCGCGGCGGCCGCTGAGCGGGCTGCTGCGCTGCGGGAGCGGGTGGCGCGGGACATGATGGAAAACGAGGTGCAGCTGGTGAAGCGGCGGCAGGCGGAGGCGGCGCAGAAGGCGGCGGATGCGGAGACATCCAAGCGCATGGCGGAGTGAGCGGGGAGGGAGGGGGGAAAGGAGGGAGGGAAGGAGGGAGGGAGGGGTGATGTGGGCTGTGCTTCTGTGCTCGCTACCCACCTGCGATTACATGGTGGTGCATCTCCTGTGTTTTTCAGTTGGACGTCCCGCCTTCCGCTGACAGGCCTCCTCGCTCTCCCTCCCCCTTGCGTTGTAATTCTGCCCTCCCCCTCCCCCCTCCCCCCAGGATGATGTTGTCCCAGGAGCGGGCTCGCGAGGGGGTGGCGGAGGCCATCCAGGCCAAGGTGATGGCGCGGGCGGGGCGGGCGGGCACCAAGGCGCTGGACGACAAGCGGGAGCGGATCGAGCGGGAGGTGAGGGGCCGGGGGGTGCGGGGTGAGGGGGTCCGTGGATCAGGTCAGGGGTTAACTGAGCTGCGAGGACACACTGACCGGGCGCATTAGTGAGGTTGGGAGAGGAAGGGAAGGGCCTGCTACTGGATGAGACTTTGCGGATGTGGGTTCTGATGAGTTCTGATGGGACGTGCACGAGCACACTGTCCCTGTGCAGCCCCCGCCGCACCTCAACTGCGCCGTAGCACCGCTGCGTCTCGCATGGGGTCCCCGTTGTAGCCCACCCATACCTCCACCTCCACCATCCCTCCCAACTTCCCTGGCATGTACCAGTCTTGTTCTTATCCTTGTTTCCCTCCCACCTCCTACCTGCCCCGAATGCGCTCACTGCATGAGTCGGGATATGGGATTGGGACTCGTTGTTTCACATTCTTAATTCCCCCCTCCCCACCCCGCCCCTTAGGACCGGCTGATCGCGGAGGCCACCCGGGAAGCGGAGCGGCGCGAGGCGGAGCGCGAGGCGGCTGATGCGGCCAAGCGGGCCCGGCAGAAGGCGGAGATGTTCGCTGTGAATGAGGAGCTCAAGCGGGCCAAAGCGGAGAGGGAGGCGGCGGCTAGGGAGGCGGAGCAGCGGGCGAGGGTGAGATGGGCGGGGTGGAGTGGAGGGGAGGAGGGGGGAGAAGAAGACCCGACTGGGGTGAATGGTAATGGCAAACTAGGTGACAAGCACACGTGCATCCTCGCGGCCCACTGTACCTAATCCCGCCCTCTCCCTCCCACCCTCGTCAGTTCCCATTTCCTCTCCCTCCCTCCCTCCCTCCCTCCCTCCCTCCCCCCCCACCCTCCCTCCCACCCTCCCCCCCTCACTCCGGTAGGGAACGCTCACCCACATTGCTTTATGGCACCCTGCCTCTTCCTAACGATTGTTTATGTCCCAACTTGTGGGTTCCTAATGGTTCGGTATGATCCTTGACCCTCCCCCCTGCCCGCCCCCCAGGCCGCTGCGGAGATCCGTTCCGCCGCCGAGCGCGCCGAGGCGGAGCGGCGGCAGCTGGAGAGCCGCGAGCGCGCCGCCCTGACGAAGCGCATCGTGGCCAGCCAGGCGGAGGAGGCGCGCATCCAGGCCAAGTACGCGGACATTTTCATGACCGAGCAGGAGCGCAAGCTGAACCGCGAGCTGCTGGACGAGGCATTCATCACGGTGGGGGAGCCGCGGCAGCTGTCTGTCATCATCAAGTAGAGCGGGGGTGGAGAAAGGAAACCCGCATGGGATGCAGGGGGGTGACGGGGAAGGGGCCCTGGGGGTACAGGCTTCAGCCGGGGGGTGGGTGGGGGTTAAGAGGGGCGGTGGGGGGGAAGCGAAGTGTGCGGGATGGGTGCGGCGGGTGCAGGGACGCGTGTGGGGGGTAAGGAGTCCGCACCACCCCCCTAACTGGCTGTGGGGGGTGGTGCGGACGTAGCGGACGTGTAGTGAAGGGGGAAGTGCGCTAGGAGGACGTACAGCAGCAGGGGTGGGAGCGGTGGTGTATTCATGTGGTTAGTATACATGGACATCTATAGATAGGTTCTTTTAGGCTTGCGAAGGAGGTTATAGAGGTTCCCCCCTCCTGCGAAAAGGAGGAAAGCACCTCAACTGGATGAGGGCTTCTCGTCTACATCTTTGTCGTAGCTGAAACGCCTGGGTCAGGGAAGGAGAAACGCCTACCTTGTGGATAAATCTTGTCCTTACCAGGGGTTTGGCTTTTGGATTGGATCGAACTGATGAGTGCAGACCGCCACTTTCAAGCGCGGTGTGAGCATCTGACACCACCTGACGTGGCATGTTGACCAACTGCATTAGCTGTCGTTGTGCGTAACCAGGAGGCTGCGTGTGACTTCAGCCGTTCTGACTCTCTGTATGCTTTCGACGCAATTAACGTTTCCGTGACGCGCGCTGTGCAGTACCCGGCAGGGTTGGAGCGGGGCGTTACCTCACTAGATGACCTTGTGATGCTGACCAGTAGGAACGCGACGGTGCTTGCATGGTGGGGGGTGGACCCATACGGGTGTGCTGCATGGACGGTCGCATGTCGGGCAGCTCTAGTCCGACCCATGTCGGGACCCGAACCGAGCCGGACGGCAGCTGAGGGGGCAGGCTGGGGCAGGTGTAACTCTTAAAACCCTGTTGGGGCACCAGCCATGGTCTTCGCCTTTTCATACCATATATAACGGCCACTCGGTTATCGGGCTTCTTGCCATCATCATCATCATCATCGCCGTCATTCTTATGCATCATCGCACAAGGGGACGAGCTTCGCCCTTCCTTCATGGCAATCCCTCTGGCTGCGTGCGCCCAAGACGGCGGCACGCCTTTCACGTAAAACACCCAGACTCAACACCACACCCGCAGCTCCCCGTTCAGTTTGACAACCCAGGAAACTGATACGTAGCAACGGAGGCGATTTTCATATCTCTTTTTGGGTTCACATTCACCCCTCACATGTGGTTCCACATTCATCCCCCAAAACACCGCGCCTGCTAGGGAGTATAGAGTGTCAAGGCAACGCGCAAATACACGCAACTGCCCCGGCCAGCCACAGTCCCCCCTAGCCATACGAATCCACAGCACAAACCCTCCGTCTTTAGCCCTAGCATGCGTTTTGTGGTAATGGCCTCATTACACGCTTGGATCTGCAAACAACAGAAGCGTGCGGGGGCCCCACCAAGCAGCCGCCGTTGCTGGGAAGCAACGCGGATTACTGTTCAGCGGAAGGGCCGATGAAGCAGTTGCCAACGTTGCTAGACACACTAGTAAAGAATATATCGTACGGCACCATTAGTAAGACACCGGGACTCCTTCGTTACTTCCGTTGCTGCCCCCAATGAACGCACAAGCCCGCATAATTTGCACAATCGGGCCAACTTGTTTGAACAGCAGCAATAGTAGCATCCATGCATTGCATTATTATATTTCCGAGCAATATGTCATCGGCAAAGCAAAGTTGACCCCGTTCCCTAATCAGGCTCTCTTTATGCGTTTCCTAGCAGCTGCATTACTAATATAGCCCGTAATCGGGCGCGAGGGTTCGACTGACCCTAACCAATCAATTGCCTTCCATCACAGCCCCCCCCCGCACACACAGGGTATTGCCATACCGGTAATGCCACCTCCCATTCCCGTTAACAGTGTAAAGACCCTCCCTCAAATCGTTACTAGACCCCACGCGCGCTCACAAACAAGAGCGTGCAATGCTCCCATGGAGGGGTTAAGAGGCGGCTCTCGCAACCCCCCTCTTACTGCAACCCACCTGCCCAGCAGGCAACACCCCAACACCTCTGCACCCGCGTATGCCCCTCTCTCCCCCTCACTCCACCTGTCGAACGTTGAAGCCTCTCCTTGTGTCTTTCCCTTCATATCGTGTTCTCCAGGACTCCCCGCCACCCTGTTCCCTGTCCTGAGTGATTGTCCTCCACTCGAAAAGGAGCTCCAACGACCGCAACGCCAAATGCTACCCGCACCCTCCCTGCCTGCAGAACCCAAATTCCCTGTCTCCCCCTCGGATGGGTCCGGTCCAATGCAGCAACCCACCCATGGTGAAGCCCCCTCGTCATACACAGCTTGTCACACACAGCTCCCCTCAGTTTCCCCTCTCCCCCCTCCCCTCCCCCCGAATGCGCTCACTGCATGAGTCGGGATATGGGATTGGGACTCGTTGTTTCACTTATTTAATTTTTTCTCCCCTCCCCCCCCCCTAGAACCCGGGTCTGCTGTTCTGCGTGGCCCTCTGCAGGAACTCCGGGTACGCGGGGCCCCCGTGCTCCATGTTGTCTATCCCCGCCAGCTCCGTCACCTGGTCCACCCGCAGCAGCTGCAGCCGCTTCAGCAGGGAGAAGGCGGCAAGCGCCCACACACCCGTCCAGGCGAGGGTGACGGTCAGGCCTGACGTGCAGGGCAGGAAAGGGAATACCGCATGTGTTGGAAGTGCAGCGTGGGAGGAGAAGGGGAGGAGGGAGCTGATTGGGCGGCGGTGGGGGAGGAGGAATGGGGGGGAGTGAGTGGGCTTGTTGAGGCCTGCATGCGGCATTGTTCAACACCCTCTCGGCTGGCTCCCATTGGGGGGTGGGCTAGCTTCCGAGCCCACCCCCCAACCTCACCCATCCACCCACCCCCCGGCTCCCCGGCCGTCATACCCGTATGTCCCCGGCCATGCGTTTCACCGAAGGGCTCAATTGACCCCCCTCACCACCACTTCCCCTACCCCTAACCCCCCCTCCCCCCCCGCCCCCGCTCCCCCACCCACCCAGCAGCTGCATGCCCAGCTGCACGCCCCCGTTCTGTCCGTACACCACCCCCCCGCAGCTCCGCCCCAGCATCGCCTCCACGTACGCCGGCCGCGCCAGGAAGCCGCTGAGCACCAGCCCCAGCAGCCCCGACCCCGCGTGGATGGCGGAGCTGTCAAGCGGGTCGTCGATACCCGCTCGCAGCAGCAGGCGCGAGGAGGCGACGTAGAGCAGGCCCGCCAGGGTACCCGTGATGACGGCGGCCCAGGGCGTGAAGAAGCCCACGTTGGCGGTGGAGGCGGAGAGTCCGGACATGAGGCCGTTGCAGCAGATGGCGAGGTCAAAGGTACCTGCTGGGGGGGGAGGGAGGGGGAGGAGAAGGGGTAAGTTCGAAGAAGCCGCGGTGAAACACGGACCGGGACCTTGGTGCGGGCTTAAAGAGGAAACTGACGAGCTGTGCCGGTGTGAGTGAGGGTGGCAGTGAGCCCGGGTGTCCAAGAACTCCATGAGATAGCTGTGTAGGGCAGGTGCCTCCGAAGAACCCATGCAAGCAATGGCTCTCCCCCCTCTCCCGTTGCTGCACGTATCTTTCATTTCCCCCCCCTTCCCCCCCCTTCCCCCCCCTCACCCGACTGCAGACTGGCCACCACCAGCGCCGTCACCCCGGCCGCCGAGGCGCACAGTGTCATGTTGAGCGCCACGCGGCTCACGGCGGCGGAGGCGAGCGAGCCGCCGTCCGCCATGTAGATGTAGGTGGAGCCGCAATTGAAGCCGAACCTGGGGAAGGTGGGGGGGAGGTGGGGGGGGAGAGGAGAGGGGGAGGGAGGTGGGGGGGAGGGAGGGGGGGTGAGGGGGGGTGAGGGGGGTGAAAGGAAGGAGCCGCATGACATGGTGCAGGGATGGTGCTGGGTTGGGAAGGTGGGAAGGTGGGAGGCAGCGCAGGGTGGGAGCGAAGTTGACGGTTGCGGGGACCTCGGAACAGGTTGGTGTCTCTATTGCCCCTCCCTCCCTCCCTCCCTCCCTCCCTCCCTCCCTCCCCGTCCCCCCCTCCCCCCGCTGCCTCACCACCCGAACCACAGCATGAGGCTGCCCAGGCTGACGGACGACACGTCGTGTCCGGGCAGCTCCTTCAGCACCCCGTCCTCGAAGCGGCCCATGCGCGGACCGCACAGCGCGGCGCCGATCAGCCCCGTCAGACCGCCTGAGCGGGGGGGTGGGGGGGCAGGGCGGGGTGGGGGGGGCAGAAGGACAACTTACCATGTTGTGAATGAGGGCGGTAGTGGTCAGATGAGGGGGGGTGAGGTGAGGAGGGGGGTACCCGACCCATCATACTGTGGGCGGAAGGAGTAGCGGGAAAGGTGCGCAAGCCGGGATGTGTGATGTTGGGGAGAGGAAGGCACTTTGTATTGTGGCACCTTGCCGCCTCCTATCCCCAATGCTTTTCCCCAACCCCTGGTTTCCTATGGTTTGGCATGGTCTTGACCCCCTCCCCCCCCCTGCACCCCCCCTGCACCCACCCACGACATGCACCACCGCCCCGCCCGCGAAGTCCAGGAAGCGGCACTCCCCCAGCGCCCCCCCCGAGGCGGAGTTCAGCCACGAGTCGGGCGCCCAAACCCAGTGAGCTACCACCGGGTGAACTAGCGTGCTCAGGAGCGCCTGGGGGGGGAGGGAGGAGGGGGGGATATGGAGAGGCGCTGTCAGGGTGGACACAGGCTAAGTAGACATGACCCGTGGGACACCCATACACACATATACACACGCAGCAGCAGCAGCAGGGTGGGGTGGGGTGTGTGTGTGCTGCAGCCAGGAGCTCCAGCCGTGCGCCCCCCTCCGGTCCCCCCCCGGTCCCCACCGTGTACGCCGGGTATACGAAGAGGTGCGTGCGCTCCGCCAGGCAGCCCGAGGCGATGGTGACGGAGGAGAGGCAGAAGGTCCAGGTGAAGAACCAGGGCTTGGAGCCGGGGTCCTCGCCGTCGCTGAAGAAGTGGGACACGCTGGGGGATGAGGTGGGGGAGGGAGGGTAGGAAGGCAGGGAGGGAGGGAGGGAGGGAGGGAGGGAGGTGATGCACATGCACATGCGCATACCCCTACCCCGGCTCCGGGGCCCCACTAACCCCCCTGCTGCAACCAAAAGGAAGGAGAGAACCCGCCTCCCAGCCCACACACAAACGTATACACCAGTTTCCTCACCCTCCCCCCCAGCCCCCTCAACCCCCCAACCCCACCCCCCTCACCCCAGTATTCCTCCCGCCGACTTGCCGTACGCGAAAGCATACCCCACCGCCCACCAGCACAGCGCACACAGCATAATGTTCACCAGATTCTGCGGGGGCGGGGGGGAGGGGAGGGCAGCAGCATCGGGACCTGTACGACAAGGGGGGAAGAAGAATACCCAATGTGTGTTTGGGGGGGGGGCTGCATGGAGCACGGCAGGCAGCTGTGTTTTGCCATGTCACGTGCCGTACCTTGAGCAGGATATTGCGGACGTTCTTCGCGCGGCCCTGCCCAGTTTCCGCCGCCACGAAACCAATTTGCATGAAGACTGCGGGATAATTCAAGGTGTTTAGATGGTTTGGGGGAGGGGGGAGATGAATAAAGGGGCTGCGGGTCGCTTGGACCGTACGGCAAATGCAAGGATGGGCGTGAGGTGCAGGTGGAGTCATTAGCATGCGGCCATAAGCTTTGGGTTTGGTTGTTACCATGAATTCAGCAATATGCTAGTTGTGTGAGCTGCTCCCTTGCATGTTACAGTCAGCCGTTGTCAACCCATCCCCATCGATGCCTTGACTTACAAATGAGGAAGCTGGAAGCGTGACAGATCCCAGTGCGTGACGATGGTTGAGGAGGTCCCGTGCGGAGGTTGCAGAGAAACATGCGCTCGTAAGTTACGTCGATTTGGAGGCCGGTGGTAAGGCGATTCATGGCCGACAAGCCAAGCGTGCTGCAAAACTCACCCATTTAGGAGAATGAAGTCCTGCGAGCTAAAGGTTGCAGAAGTCCCCTGGTCCGTAACCGTGTCCTGTAAGAGTGCGCGTCCCGCCTGCTGAGAACTTGTCAAGCTATCCTCGTCGGCCAGCGCGTGCCTCGTGGGCCACAGGAGGACAGCGCTCGCGATTACTATATACAATCCATGCCATGACACTAATAGCATAGCGTCTTTAGGGACCCAATTTTGTGGCTGCGCTTTTGGCCGTTCGTAGGTAGTTCGGTGCCGTTTTAGACTAATGTTGTTGCATCGTCGTCAAAGCCAGCCGGAAAAATGCAATTACTTAAGAAAGAATATTGTTTGCCTGTCTTACTGAGGCATGCCTTGTACAGCTGCAATTCTGTCACATGTGTACTATAGGCTCATGTGACTGATCTTCGTCGTCAAAGCCAGCCGGAAAAATGCAATTACTTAAGAAAGAATATTGTTTGCCTGTCTTACTGAGGCATGCCTTGTACAGCTGCAATTCTGTCACATGTGTACTATAGGCTCATGTGACTGATCTAATCCTGCAAGCAGCCTTGGCGCCCTCAGCTATCATCGTTTAACTTGTTGTTTGCCTAGGCAATTACAGGCACAGACCTTTGACTGGCCGCATTGACTTAGTCATGCTCCTTGTTGTGCATCGCCTGCACCATCGCCTTCATGTAGAGCATTAATACACACGTGCTTAGCAGACACTAGCACCCATACCGTTTCAATTAAGCGTTAACTTTCCGGCAAGGTTGCGCACTCAGAGCACTAACCAGCAATGTTTTCATAGGCTTGTTGAGAAAATTCCAATCTAAATGCGATTTACTACAACATAGGAAGCTTAACAGGGGAAAGAACGTAGGAAGTGCATTTCGTTGACGTTTCTTCGCTTACCAAATTCATCACGGTTCTGAAGTATGCTAACTGCTAAGTCAGCTTAACTCGCATGCAAGACGATGGTGATTTTGCCCAGGCGGGGGGCACTTGGACGGGAGCTATCCATCCGAAGGTGAGGGTTCCCAACACTTCAATCGACGATGCAACGTTGGCTACTTTTCCAACCTATTGTTTCTAATGTATTCAGGCTATTCCCAGTGCTCTGAAATTACAACAAGAAGCCATCAGCAAGCTTCAGCGGACTCTTCGGCAGGAGCTGGCAAAGTTGCAGGCACGTACACCTTATTTGCGATAACATTTTGTGCAGTATGCCTTGTGCCACGAGCGGGTTTGGCTTCATATGCCCTTCTCTGTGCCCCGGCCATCCAACCGCCCCATCTCTCCCACTGGAGCTTACCCCTGCACCAGAATCCCGAAACCCCAATACATCCCGCCCTGACCACCCCGTCCCCACACCTAATCCCAACCAATGAATAGCGCAATTTGACAAGAGGCGCGGTCTGTGCAAAGTCCAATTGTCCCCGCCAATGTCCCCAGGGCATCCATCCATGTCGCCTCTCACCAGTCGCCACTAACCCCCTCCCCACCCCCCACCCCCGCCTCCCCCTCTCCTCCGCCCCGCAGGCCGAGGAGGCCATCCTGAAGCTCATGATCAAGCGCGAGCGCAAGCGACTCGCCCGGCAGGCCCGCCGGCGGGGGCGGGAGCAACCGGAGCAGCAGCAGCAGCAACAAGAAGAGTAACAAGCTAGCCTGGCACCCGGGGCGCTTGCTCCCTTGGTTTGGATGAGCGGAGGCGTCAGCCTGCCATGGAGGTATTATCCGTCTGTATAACGGTTCATGAATGTTAATAGTGGAGTTAGGGTTCTTGGCTGTTGCGAGGTGTGGGCCCTGTGACAGCGCCCCAAGGGACATACGCAGGAGCTACAAGCGCCTGGGGGGTCAACGACCACACCAGACCATAGGAAGCCACAGGTTAGGGCAAGGTGCAATGGGGATGGGAGGTGGCCTAGGGGCGGAGGTCGCTAGGGGAGTAGCCGCATGAGGTGAGGGAGTGGGGGGTTCAGGCGGCGGCCGCCTGGGATTTGATGTACCGAGCCGCAAGGGAAATACTGTCCCTAACCGTGGTTCACCGGAGGGTGAAGGCGTCCCATGTGTCGCGAAGTACTGTAGGCTCGTAACCAACAAGGGTGGTGACGCTGATGAGCAGTAGGGTGCTTGGTGGTTCGCCTGCTTGGCGCTGATGAGGCGTGGTGGGGTGGGGTGATGGAGAAGGGAAGGAACAGCGGGAGGAGGCTGGGGCAGGGGAGGCAAGGGAGCAACTGAGGCACGAGGGTGGTCCGAAGCCCTTGGATAAAGGATGATGGAGCTCTGCATGCCTCCGGGACCCTATGTACCTTGTCTTGGTGTGTTCTGGCCGCGCAATGAAAGCATCCGACAGCCAGCAACTGTGTGGAGCTGCTGAGCTGACAGAAATAACAGAGGGGTTGAAAAGGAGGTTGATGTGGGGATGGAGGGGAGAGGGTGCAACCTGTGTGTTGCATCTCAACTGGCAACCTCTTTTGGTTGTTAATTGTTTGCGACTTCAGAAAGTCCACCGCTGCTTACAGGCGGCAGCAGCGCTGGCATACCCATATCCGCGGAGGAAGGTGCGGCTGCAGGTTGGGTACGAAGCGGTGGCTGAGCTGCAGCCGCAGGCAGCATTGCCATCCCGGGCACTTGTTGCAACTGCAAGGCAGCGTCTCTCAGGTATGTCGCCATGTACAGCGCATTGGACAACGCCACAAGGGTCCGAGTATGGTAGGCCCTGGCGTCGCGGTGTCAGTCACCACATTATGTAGCCCATCAAGTAGCGTCAGGACATGAAGCCGTCGCTCCTCACGCTCGGCTTGAGTGAGCGGCGTGAGACCTGCCGGGTGGGCTGCGTGAAGCAGTAGTCAAAGCGGCAGCCGCTGGCGATGCTGGGTTCATCTTCCGTTGCTGACACGCTGGGGTGCAGTCAGAACCAGATGCCATGGCGCTACCGCGCTTGCCTGTTCCGGTGAGCACTACAGCGGCTGCGGGGCGCCCAGGGGCTTCCTCCGGAGCAGCAGCGATGGCAAGAACCGGGTTTGCAGCTGCATCAGCGGCAGCGGCAGCGGCGACCCCAGTATCGGGTGTCTCGGCCGGAACCTGGCCCGTCCCTGAGGCTCCCTGTGGCCCCACCGCTGCATCCACCTGACCCTCACCGCTGGGCGGCAGCTCCTGCGCAACAGGCAGTTCAGCAGCAGCAGCAGCACCCAGGGCTTCGTCAGGCGGGGAGCCAAACAGCGACGCCAGCGCCTGCAGAGCTACAGCCAACTTGGGGCCCTCCTGACGCTGCGGCTGCTGCCCTTCCTCCTGACGCTGCGGCTGCTGCTGCTGCTCCGTCGGTTACAGTGCTCCCGCTGCCGGCCCTTCCTGACGTGTTACATGGGGCTGTCCCTGCTGCACGCCTGGCGACAAATCTTGCAGCTCTCGGTCCAGCGTCCGGGCCGCCTCCTGCGCTGAGGACTGCCCCGGGCCCGGGGCCTGCTCCGGCTTCCTGGACGAAAGCCTGGAAGGTTGCACCAGTTCCGCTGATGCAGCCAGCACCTCTGCCAGCACCTCCGCCAGCACATCAGGAGATACGCCTCGGCAGCGCTCGCGAGGAAGTTGCTGCGGCGGCAGTGGCAGCAGGGCAAGAGGCGGCGATGGCAGGTCGTGCAGCGGCATCTGTGCGGGCTGCCCGGGCATAGGTGGATGCCCTGGCGGCAGTACTCCAGAGGCCTGGGGAGGTAGCAGGGCGGCAGTACTCCAGAGGCCTGGGGAGGTAGCAGGGCGGCAGTACTCCAGAGGCCTGGAGAGGTAGCAGGGCGGCAGTACTCCAGAGGCCTGGAGAGGTAGCAGGGCGGCAGTACTCCAGAGGCCTGGAGAGGTGGCAGGGCGGCAGTACTCCAGAGGCCTGGAGAGGTAGCAGGGCGGCAGTACTCCAGAGGCCTGGAGAGGTAGCAGGGCGGCAGTACTCCAGAGGCCTGGGGAGGTAGCAGGGCGGCAGCCCCTCCGCCGGTTGAGGACTCGGGGCCAGCAGTACCTGTAGCGGATGGATGGGCAGGTCGGGTGAGCGATTGCTGGCTTGGTGCCACACAGTGAGCGGGCATTTGGGAACCGCCTTGTTGGCAGGAACCATAGGCTCACACTGTAAGCAAAGAAACGCGTCGGCGACAACATTCCAATGGCTTTACGGTTAAAGTTTGCTTGCCCCGCAGCTACGCTTGCTTAGCTTCAGGAGGCTTCGGGGGTGGGTTACTATAGCGGCATTGAGAAGGGGGTTGCTGGTAATGTGAAATCACAACTCGGGCGTTGCAGAAGCTACGCCATGGGGCCGTAACTGCGTGATAACGCATGTCAGAACAACACACATATAGGAGCAGGGGCTAAGTGGGTTGAGTGTTGTGTTTATTGCGGCTGTGGCGGCGGCGAGCAGGGCATCTGTGACCCATGGGTCATCTCGGCCTCACCTCTTCCCTTGTCTGGCCAGATGGGGCATATGGCTTTCTTGGTCAGCCATACTGAGTGAACAAGGAGCGGGATGGCGGGAGGGGCTGGCATCGAAGAGTTCGCAGTTAGCATCCAAGTAAATGAAGCACAGGGGCAGACAAGCTTTCATTCAGCGTGACAGGGGCCGTCTGCGCGTCACGCCCGCAGAAGAAGCTGTCATAGCAAAGCTAGTTGATCCAACTGCAGCTTGCGCGATTTACTCTTAGGTTCGCTGCTGTCTGCATCAATTTAGGGGTTCGGGTCAGTACGGCACTTCGGCTATCTTTGCGAATTGTCCACGAGAGTTCACCGGATTTTGACTGTTGGCTTCAGGAAGATAAAAGTTATCCATAACCGTTGGCGGTGGCTGCTATGTGCCTGTGTGCGACCTCCGAACTGCTCCCAGCGGCCTCAACGCTCTGCTTACAGTCCTCACGAGCCGCGCTGCTGACGTGGAGCCCAAGCAAGCAAGCAACGCTGTCATCGTTGGCAGCAGCGGCAGCCCGGGTAATGCCGTAACCTTAGTGAATCCTTGGCAGTCGCTGACGCAGCAGACACCGTCGGTGACAACAATGATGATGACAAGGTTTGGCGACAATGGTCAACCAAGGCTGGCGCCGCCTGCGGCGGTTACATGCTGCGGCTGTCAGCAGCTCCGGCGGCGGCGGCGCTCGGATACCATCATCCTCATCATCATCTTTGTCGCTTGCACCCAAATTCCACAGGCGAGATGTACTGGTTCGTTACAAGTGGGCGGTGTACCAGTTGCTTAATCTGAAGCCCAGGGGAGCGTCAGAAGGCGGGAGCTTCTGGGGTTGTGGGAGGTGCTGGGGGGCCGCAGCATGCTTCGCTTCCTGCTGGAGTGGCCGCACTTGTACGTGCAGAAGGTGGGGAAGCAGGGGTGGTAGGAGTGGTGGGAAAGCAGGGGTGGTAAGAAAGCAACAGGCGAGATGTGTTTTGCAAGCAGGGGGCTGCTGCGCATGCATGCATGCCCATGGCCCCGCCCACCCGTGTTACCGCTTGCCGTGATTGCAGCACCCGCCATCATCACCCCACCATCACACTCTTACCTCACCCTTATGCCCTACGCGTCCCTCCTCTAACCACAAGCCAGTCACCGTACAGCTATCGTACCCTCCCCGCAGGCCAACAAGCGTTTTACAACCAACACCGCCGCCCTCTACATGAAAGTCCTGGTAGATTCCAACAACTTCCAGAACCACCCTAGCCTCAGCAGCGGAGCCGCCTGGGATGCCGGCGAGGATGAAGGCAACGACAACGATGACAGCGAGGGCCGCATTGATGGGCGCCGCCGTGCGTTTATTGCTGGCGGCATTAAACCCCCGGGCCCTGGGCTGCAGCGCTGCAGTCCCAAGGAGCTGCTTGGGGACCCCAGCACGGGTTGGCACAGATGATGCTGGTTCCCTGCTGCAATGCGATACTGGTATGCACATCCTCTCCTGCCACAATGCACTTGCACATCTCTCTACCTAGCCACACATGCTCACGCACTTGCATGCAATACACATACTCGCGGCCAGTTTTCATATCGCACTCTCAGTTTTCTTAAGACACTCCTTAGGGGGTGCTCCAAATGCACCCCCTGACGCGGGCCCCCTACTTCCTCATTGTTCCCCGCCCGGTAAGGTCACACTGGTCCACAGCAGCTTCCCCGCCCCCCCCCCCCCACATGATGCAACCCACCATGACGACGCCTTATCACACGGTTCTTTAGTCATTTCCTCTTCACCCTCCTCACATGAACCCCGTGGGCGGCAGGTACCTCTCCCGCTCCTTCCTCCCTCCCCCTCTCTCCCCGCCCCCTCTCTCCCCGCCCCCTCTCTCCCCTCCCCCTCTTTCCCCTCCCCCTCCCCCTGCCCCCCCTGCCGCCCCCATCCCCCCGCCGCTGTTGTACATCTCGTCCGACGCCCGCGCCACCGCCAGCCTCCGCTGCATGGAGGAGTGAGCGGCCTCCAGCTCTCCGAACACCCGCCGACCCGCCTCGCACTCGGACAGCTGGCGGGACAGGGAGGCGCAGCGGGACTCCAGGGCGGGCAGCGCGGCGCGCAGGTGCTCCGCCTCGCTGGCCTGGGGGGGGGGGAGAGGGTTGGTTCGGGCGATGGAAGGAGTGAAGAGGAAGAAGGGGGGGGGAGCAGGGTTCAGTGTTATCCTCCATGCGCCTGGACGCTCCAAGACCTGCCTCCCTCCTCGTTACACTGCCCAACGGCTGTGCGGCTGTGTTGTTGTCCCCATCCCCTCCCCCCGGCCCCCCCTTGCCCCCCAGGGTTGGTAGGGAGCCTCTTCCCTTTCGCCCCCCGCCCCCACCCCCGTCCTCCCCCCTGGTGGCCCCACCAGCGGTGTGAGTCGGTCCAGCTGGGCGGAAAGTGCGGCGATGCTCGCCTCCTTCGTGCCCAGCTCGCCGCGAATGGCGGACACCTCTGAAGGGGAGGGGAGGAGGGGGGAGTAGGGGGGGAGGGAGAGGTTCTGGATATGCGGGTGGGAGGCGGACTCCAGGCACTACAAACAGGGGCACACCGGCAGAGGCGACAGTCCGCCCCTTTCCCCCTAACACCTATCTAACGTTCAGATGGACGACCCCACCCCACCCCACCCCACCCTGCAGCAGCAGCTGGTAGTCCCGAGTGGCCTGACGTAGCGCCCCCTCCAGCTGAGACAGCCGGGCGGCGGAGGCAGCACTAGCACCGCTGCTGCCATTACCGCTGCTATTACTGTTGCTATTGTTATTGCTGTTGTTGTCAGGGGCTGCCGCTGCCGCTGCTGCCGCCGCCAGCGCCTCCGCCAGCTGCTTCTGAGCCGCCCGCAGCGCCACCTGCAGCTGGTACCTGGGGGCAGGGCAGGGGGAAAAGGGGAACTTGGAACAACGGGAGTCCATATCCAGAGCAGAAGAGGCGTGTGAGGGGAGAGGCGGCAGACGCCTGGCGGGGCAGGTGGGTGGCAGGGAAGACAAAGCCGCGCCTGCCCGCACCTGTCCTCCAGCACGTCGTTCAGCTCCCCCTGGCACTCCCTGAGGGCCGCCTCCAGCCCCCCTCGCGCCGCTGCCAGGTCGGCCAGCTGGGCGGTCAGGTCCTGCAGGGGAGGGAGGGGGGAGGGGGGAGGGGATTAGGGAGGGGGGAGGAGGGAGGGAAGGGGAGATGGGAGAGGGGATTGGGGAAACGGAGCCGTGAGGAAACGAGATTGACCGTTACCAGGGGAGGCCGAGGAGCGGGCGGGCGGGTGTGTGTTACGGCACACGGCAACTGGCAGCTGTGTGGCTGACGCCCCCAAGCCATTACCCACCGCGACTTGTTTCCGCAGCCCCGCTACCTCCTCAGCCAGCGCCGCCGCTGCTTCTGCTGCAGCTGCTGCGCCTTCCTGCGGACGCACGCCTTCCGCGGCCGCTGCTGTGCCTTCCGCCGCCGCTGCGGACACCGGATCAGCGGGTGAGAGCGCGGCTGCCCCTGCTGTCGTCCCCCCTGCCACCGCAGCGTTCCGCAGCTCCCCGATGCTGTCCCGCAGTCCGCCCAGCAGCCCCTCCAGAGCCTGGCGACTGCCGCGGAGGGCGTCCAGCTGCCCGGGGGGGAGGGGGAGTGGGGGCGAGGGGTGGGGGGCAAGGGAGGGGACAAACAGAAAGAGAAGCACCATCTAGGGTGGGCTCAATCTGGGGTCGTGCGGGGTTCCTCTTCGCGGCCAGTTATTAGTTCACGCACCTGCTCTTGAAGCACGGCCCGCTCCGCTTCGTTCAAACCCGCTGCCGCCGCCGTACCGCCGCACGCAGCGCCAGAGTCCGTGTCGTACTGCTGCGGTGCTGCCGCCGCCCCCGTGAGCTGAGTCCCCCCTCCTCCGCCACCTGCTCCTCCTCCATTGCCGCCCGAGGGCGAAGGGGGCGCTGCGGCTGCCGCTGCGTGTATGACGATGCTGCCGGCGGGGGTGGGCGGGTGCAGCAGGAGGGGGTGCGGGGGGTGGGAGGCGCCCAGGCGGGGCAGCTGGCCCTCCACGTCACGAATGCGGTTGCGCAGCCTGTCGAGCTCCTGAGAGGATGGGGGGAAATAGGGCAGGAGCTCGGCAAGCAAACTGTGCAGGGATGCCCAAGTCTCGGAACAGCGGGCTCCAGGGTGTGACGCGCAGCTCTCCAGAGTAGGAGGGAGTCAGGAGTGGGTGGGCTTTGGGACGACATGCCTTGTGCCCGCTTCGGGATGTGGGGTTCAACAGGGCGCTACCGTGCGTCATGCGAGGGGGTGCTGAGCCAAGGAGGGGACACGCCCGCTGATAGCTGGCCCGCTGGCTCCCACGCGTCATTCGTCATAAGCACATAACACCACAAGCAGGATCAAGCGAGGAAGGGACGAGCCACCGCCGGCCCCGTGCACCCCACCCACCCCACTCCACTCCACCCTACCTCCTCCATCTTCTCCCGTATCCGTGCGGCCGCCTGCACCGCCGCCGCCTCCGCGCCCATACGCGCCACCTGCCCCCGCAGCGCCGCCACCTCTCCCGCTGCCGCCGCCCCTGCCGCCTCCGCCTCCGCCAGCCTCCTCCCCAGCTCCTCACATCGCCGGCTGCTCCGTCCCGCCGCCTCCGTCGCCTCCGTCACCTGACGATGTAACGCCTCTGCCTCCGCCTCCGCGGCTCGTGTACGGCGGTCCAGGGTGGCGGCGGCCTCCGCTGCCTGCTGCCGGGCCCGGGTGTCCGCCTCCTGGAGCTGGTTTCGGAGCTCGGCTAGCTGGGCCTGCATGGCAGGGCGGGGGGGGGTGTCGTCGACATGCATGCATGCATGTGTCATGAGTTGGGTGCGGAGGGGGGTGCGAGGTGCGGGGGGGTGCAGGAGGTTGGGTTTGCGGACCCGCACGTGGGTTGCGACAACACGGCACACAATCCGGCACCGCCCCCGCTGCCGCCCCCCGGAGGCACCTGCAGCCCCGCCTTCTCCGCCGCCACCGCCGCCTGACACTCGCTGCGCAACTCCCGCTCCTGCTCCCTCAGGCGGTTCCGGAGCTGCTGCAGCTGCTGCTGCTCCCCTCGCAGCTGCAGCTGTACGGCATCCCGCTCCGAAACCACAGCCTGCGGTTCCGGAAATGTACGGCAGCTACCGGTATCCCTTTGTGTGCGCATACGAATGCGGCTTTATGTGTTTTTCGGTGGCAGAAGACCTTCCCCCTTGCCTTACCCAACACTCCCCCTTGCAATACCCAATCACCGTAACGCTCACCCTCAGCTGCCCTTCCAGCCTCTCCGCCGCCTCCGTCGCCTCCGCCAGCCTCCTCCGCCCCTCCTCCTCCGCCTGCTCCACCCGTCGCCTCAGCTCCTCCACCCCTCCCTGCAGCTCCGCCTCCCTGCCCCCCGCCGCCCTCCGGCACTCCTCCAGCTCCCTCCCCCACTCCGCCTCCCTCTCCGCTAGCACCCGCCGCGCCCCCGCCTCCGCCTCCTGCTGCCCCCTCCTCGACGCCTCCTCCGCCTCCTTCAACCTCCGAGACCACTCCGCCTCCTTCTCCGCTAGCGTCTGTGCGGCTGCTGCCAGCGCCCGCGCCGCCTCGGCTTCCTTATCTGCAAGACGGCGTTGCAGCGCGCTCTCAGCCGCACTGAGCGCGCGTGTGCTGTCGGCGCGGGCTTGCGCGGCTTCGGCCTCCTTGTCTGTCAGCTGCCGGCGGCAGAGTTGCAGCGCGGTGGTGGCGGTGGCGAGCTGGGCTCGGAGGTCGGCGGCGGCGGCGGTCTGGAGAGAGGGGCGGGGGCGGCGGTGGTGGGACGGGTTGGGGTGGGGTGGGGTGGGGTGGGACGGAAGCAAGTGCAGGCGTCAGACAGGGTGCGTGGGTGTTGTGGGGGCGACCACAGGAAAGCGTACCAGCGACTCAGGCTGGACTAGCCGCGCTTGACTGGGGCGGCGGAGGACCCCCATGCCGCCCCCACATTAACGGTAGCCCACACTCGCTAACATCTGCAGCGCCCCTTACATAGATCCCCACCCCCACCTGCTCCCCCAGCTCCCGACGGAGCTGCTCCGCCGCCTCCGCCGCCCGCCCAGCCGCCTCCGTCGCCGCCGCCTCCGCCGCCGCCAGCTGATCCCGCAACGCCGCCGCCGCCGCCTCGCCGTCAGCCCGCGCCGCCGCCACCTCCTCCGTCAACTGCACGCACGAGGCCCAGGTCAGGTCAGGTCGAGTCAGGTCAGTGCTTCGCCTCAGGGGAGCCGGACTCGCAAGAGAGACAGCTGCCCGGTTGCGGCGCATTCGTCCCGGCCCTCCCCTTGCTCCTCTGCTCCTCCCCACCCCCTCCCTTCCTCCCTATCCTCCTGTAAGTCATCGTCCCTCCCCTTTCCAACCTCATCGTTCCCCCTCCCTCCCTCCCCCCCACCTGCTCCACCCGCTCCTCCAGCTGCCCCCGCTCCCCCCGCATTCGCCCCAGCTGCTCCTCCGCCGCCGCCCGCACCGCCGCGCCCCCCTCCAGCTGCCCACGCAGCTCCCCCTCGCGGGACACCCACTCCGCCAGAGCAGCGGCGTGGGCCGCCCGCTCCGACCTGTGGCCGGGGGGAGGGAGGGCGGTGCAAAGGGGGAGAGGGGGTAATGAAGCAGGTATGCCCACCCCATGTAGCGGCCCCCTTCTCATGCACACCCCCATGCACCCCATGCAGCAGCCCCCGCCCCTCACGGCCATCCCCCCCACTCACTCCAGCTCCTTCCTCGCCTCCGCTAGCTCCCCCTGCAGCTGCTGCTGCGCCCCCCGCAGCGCCTCAGCAGCGGAGGCGGCGGCAAGAGCCTGGGGGGCAGCAGCAGGGGAGGAAGAAGGGAGGGAGGGAGGGAGGGAGGGAGGGAGGGGCGAGGTGAATGAAGCAGTGAGGGAGTTGGGAGGGCTGGCGGTGCGAGGGGAGGGTGCGGTCGACATGCGTGAGCTGGGGGGTAACGTCACTGAGCTGCATGCTACCATGCTACCGCAGCTAGCGAGGTCGCACACACGGGCTCTCGCCACCTCGCCTCCCAGGGCCCCTCACCTGAAACCCCCAGCCCCACCCTGACGCCATTCCCACCCCACCCCGCGCCCCCCACCTCCGCCTCCTTGTCCCCCCGCAGCCCCTCCTGCGCCGCCGCCGCCTCCGCCAGCTGCCCACTCAGCGCCGCCGCGCGGCCCTCCAGGAAAGCCACTCGGGCCCTACGCGGGTGATGCGAGGTGGGTGGGGGGGGAGAGGTGGGGTGGCGAGGGGCATGGGAGGGGGCACGGGAGGGGCGTTGCGGTTTCGTTGCACGAGGTGCATGCACACCGGTAACCCTGGTCGCCACGTTCTTCTTCGCGCGGCCAGTTTTCCTAACACGCCCGACGTGCCAAACCTCGCGCCCAGCCTTGCATACGGTAGCACCCCCCACTCCCACTCCCCCCCCCCACACACACCCCAGAGGCCAGTTATCTTAACACACCCCGCCGCACCTCGCCTCCTCTAGCTCCCCAGCCGCCGCCTCCCCCTGCCGCGCCCTCGCCTCCTGCTCAGCCGCCAGCGCCGCCGCCGCCTCTTCCGCCTGCCGTGACGCCTCCGTCGCCTCCTTCCTCGCCACCTCCAGCTGCTGCGAGGCGGCGTCCAGCTGCTCCTGAAGCGACCCCAGCTGGTCCTGCAGGTGGGGGGGAGGAGGGGGGTGAAGAGGGCGAAGGGGGCAGGCCTTACTCAACTGACCGCCACCAATGGTGGACAGACCGGAAGGTGATGATGGGGCGGGCAACGGAGGACATGAAGGTGATAGGAAGCGAAGTAGGGAGAGGGGCCCCCGGAGGAGGAGGGCACGCAGCACGGAGTGGGGAAGAGAGGCAGGAGAAGGCAGGGAACAAGGGCCGCGGGAGGGAAAGCAAGCACTGCAGTCCAGCCCCCTACCCCGCCTCCTCCCTTTGCACAACTCCCGCTCATCTCCCTCCCTCCCTCCCCCCTCCCCGTACCCTCAGCTCCTGCATGCCCGCCTCCGCCGCCTGTTGCTGCCTGCGCGCCTCCTCCCGCGCCGCCTCCTCCCGCCGCCCCGCCTCCGCCGCCTCCTCCTTCGCCGCCGCCAGCCTCCCTTCCGCCCCCTCCGCCCGCTCCACCTGCGACCGCCACAGCGCCTCAGCGGTCAACACGCGCGTGCCGGTGCTCGTGAACGCCCACACCCACCAGCCCCCACCGCTGCTGTTGCGGCTGCTGCTGTTGCCCCCGCTGCCGCTGTTGGCTCCCGGTGCGGTTGAGAAGGGCAGCAGCAGCCCCTTCACATAGCCCCCCTGCTCGCCCAGACTGAACAGGGGCTGGGGGGTGGAGGAGGTTGTGGAGGAGGTGGTGGTGGTGGGGATGCGGGCGTCATGGGCTACGATGGTTTTGTCGCCCGAGCCGCTCCACATCTGCATGGGAGGGATGGGACGAGGGGTGGGGTAGGGGTTGAGGGCGAGGGGAGGGGGTGTAGGAGGTGGCAACCAGGGGCAAGCGGGGGCGAGCGAGGAGAGGTATGGCACGAGGAGGGCCGCCACCACCTGTACCCGACCAACACACACCTCCGTGCAGCACAACAAGATAACCCCGCCTGCGCCTGCATCATGTCTCCCCACCCCGTCTGCGCCTTCCCTTACCCTCGCCCCCTTACCCTCTCCTTCCTTTTTCCCCCCTACCACCGCCCCCCCACCCCACCTGCGCCCCCACCGCCGCCAGCGCCAGCACCGGCCCCGCATGAGCCCCCCGGATGCTCCGCAGCAGTGCCCCGTCAGCGCGCCGCAGCACACAGATGCGCCCGTCCTCCATGCCCACCCACACGCACTCGCCGGAGGCGGCCAGGCTCTTCACTGGGACGGGAGGCGGGGTTCGGGGATGGGGGAGGGACGGTGCGGGAGGCGGGTCAAGGGGCGGGTCGGGAAGCAGCGCGAAGCACAACACAGGGGGCGAAAGGCACATGGCGAGGGGCGAGACACATAGCCCCTTTTGCACAAGTGCTAAGGAAAGAGAATCCCTTCCCGTGGTATAGCTGGGAGAGATACGCAGCTACCCCTCCCGTCTTCACCCACGTCCTTTCACCTCCCTCCCTGACACCCATGTCTCCCTCCCCCGCCCCCCTCCTCTCACCCTTCCCTCCCTCCACTCGGATGGACCGCCCCTCCGCCTCGTTGATCTGCCCGCGACCCGCCGGGTCGGGCCAGCAAAACACAGTGCCGTCAGCGGAGCCCGTCCACACCACCCCTCCAACCCCGCCCTCCTCCCCCTCCTTAGCTCCTGCTGCTGACACAGCTGAGGCGGGGCGCGAGGCGGAAGACTGCCTCCCCCCTCCGCCTGCACCTGCTCCTGCCCCCCCGCTGCTCCCCCCCGGCGGCAGCAGCAGCGGGGTGACCAGCACGCACTCCACCGCCCCGTGGTGGTACTTGGCGGCCGCGATGGGAGCGCCGCTGGGCTGCCAGCTCTTGGCCTGGTGGGGGGGGGGCAGCGGAGGGAGGAGGGGGAGGAGTAGAAAACATGCCATGTTCTTGAGCGCATTCGGCAAGGTTCCACAACGGAGGGGAGGGGCGCTAGGGAACGCCAGGCGGCCCCCGCATGGCCCCCGATGCCCCAATGCCTCCTGCCGTGCTGTCGTTTCGCCCTCCTCCTACCCATGTTTCGTTACGTTCCCATGGGAGGGGCTTCCCGCCGGCAGGGTCCCTCCCTCCCTCGTCCCCCCTGCCCTCTCCTCGCCCTCCCCTCCCCTCCGCACCCACATTGAAGTCCACCCCCCCGGTGATGACGTAGGCGTCCCCCGGGCCCGCAGCCACACACAGCACCTCGCCCTGGTGCGCGGAGAAGGTCTGGGGGCAGGGGGGCAGGGGCAGTAGGGGCAGGGGGGCAGGGGAAGGGGAAGGAAGAAGAGTCATGCAGGGAGGAAGCGGGGCAGGGAGGGGGTTTGAGAGGCGCGGGAAGCGCTCGAGGCTTCGGCGAACCGCGCCCATGGCAGGAGAGGCTCAGGTAAAAGACAATGAGGGGCGGACGGGTGACCGCCCCTTTCACCTCCCCTCCTTCCGGACCCCTCCCCCCCCGGGCCCCCCCCACCTTGCCCCGCTGCTCCCCGGTCACCGCGTCGTACAGCGCCGCCCTGCCGTCCCCCGTGCAGGCCCACACGGCACCGCCCACCAGCGCGATCGCGTGGACCAGCCCGGGCAGCGAGCCGGCGGGGATCAGCTCGGTGCAGCTGCGGGTTGGGAGGGGGGGAGAGGGGTTATGTGTATGGGGTTGGAATAGAAGGAGGCCAGCCACTGGTGCTTGTTGCCGGATTACCGGTATGTGAGGGGGTGAGGGGACCTCACCTGCCGGTAGCAGCCTCCCACCGCCTGATTCCGGCCCTGCTGGTGGTGTAGATGTGGGCGCCGTGGGCACATGCGCACTTCACCTGGCCGCCCTCCCGCTCGCCGAATTGGTGGATGGTGGCCCAGTTGAAGGCTCCGGATGGCACACCGATGGCCGACCCCGGGTCCTGGGCTCGCAAGCCTTTGGTCGATGGACCCAAGTCCGCCATGGATTACGCGTATGGTGTCGCTGTTTATTATCGGGGTTGGCACCCGTGCGGTTTCATGGCAAAGGGGCCAGGTGTATCCGCGGTACTGTTCGACTCCTTAGCATTGCCTCTGAAAGTGCGGTTTGTACGCCCTTGGTACTTAACATTTGCATGGTATTGTATAGAAGCTTGGGTCGGCTGAGAACCGGTGGCCCGCAGTTGTCAAAGAGCAACACATGGCAGTTTAACCTAAGTTTTACAGGCCCTCAATGTAACCGTTAGCTCAGGGACATAAAATGGGCTCTTGCGCTAAACAATTCTCACTATGCCAGCCCTGGGCTCTTGGTCTTTTACGTTTCAATATGTAAGACTTGAATTGACCAATGAACAGGATTTCATTAGCACTTGATGCAGACGATGACCTAGGTGCTTGGTTGCTGCACTGCAATCCGCTTCACGTAGCTCTGCAAGCCACGTACGGTGTTTCAGTGCGGTTTGTACGACTGAACCATGTGAAAGGGATGTTTCTACACGGTTGGTCTTGCCATAACACATCGCGCCAGATGACTCGAACGACAAGGATGCCATCCTAGCTTGACATATGTCCCTAAACCCTAGAAAACGACGTCAATTGCTTGAATGTGTATGCTATGGCATCCACTCTTTTTGCGCTGTCGCTTAGGCAAAGGCTACACGACAACCAGAGGATACTTCTGGAGTTAGTCCTCGCGCTCGTTGTTGTCCAGCTGCTAGCACCGACTGTTGTTGCATCGCGCGCGCTTTCAAGGAGGCTTGGGAACGATTACGGCGTATCGGGCTCGTCAAATTCAGCATCTGGTAGGTGTCATTGATATAGGGTTGTGGTGTGTTGCCTTCTAGCTCGCAGGTCAGTGCCAGCATAGGGGCACAGGTGAAGCCATATGGTTACCTCCCGTGGCTACTGCATAGATTGACCTCGTGCCTCCGTATGGCTGGTTTGTGTTGTGCTGTAGACGTTCGACTGGAGCTATGCGAGTGCGAGCCAGCTGCGGGTTTTCCACACGGGCTAGGCTGCGAAAAGGAAGGATGGTTTGTATCTAACTTTGAATATCAAGGTTACTGGATGGGCGGAAACGCCGTGGTACCGTTAAGTCGCGCAATTTGCTGTCGACCATGCCTTCCTGGGGAGCTCCCTAAGCCAGTCCACCTCGGGAACAGCACGGCAAAGCCCTTGGCAGTCGTCTCCATAGGCTGTCATGCGTCTACTGGCAAGCAGTTCAGGGCTCTAAACTGCGAGGAAACGGGCAACAGCTTTGTGACAGGTACGATGTTGCAATGACCGGGGTGGTGGGATAACCACCATAGAGCCTTACCATCGCGAGGCTACCGAAGTCCCGTTCATGTGCTGTCTTCGACCTACCCTCGACACACGCCGTGTCTCGCCTGCAGGCTTCTCCCAGGCGGAACGTGCGAGTTCCGTGTATCCGCGTGACGAGTACTTTCCGGTGGGGCAGGCGGAGTGCTGCACCCCGGCAGTGCTGCTCTCTTCCGGCGAGGTGCGTCCGTCTCCGCCTACCCTATCTGGACGCCGAACGGAGCGCTGCTGGGTCACTATGTCACTGCTGCCGCTGATGGATGGATTGTCGGAGACATGTGCATATGGAACATTACAATTGACATCGCTACCTGTCGTACTCGCGCACCCTAAAGTTCTCCTGATTACCCTCTCTTTTTTCTTTTTGTCTCACCTGTCTTGTCACGAAAGGTCTGGCAGCTCAAGCGCTGCGACTGCACCACCAGCTCCACAAAGGACTGCGGCGGCACCAGCACCAACCGCCTGCTGTGGGGCTTCGCGCAGTGGAGGTGCGGAGGCCGCTTGTAGCGTGAACCCCCCGCCGTTGTCGGCACGCACGCATCCCTTCCATTCCCATCGATTCCTTCCATGACCCATTATGCCAACCAATTATTCGCCGTCGTGACGCACCTATGCACGCAACCATGCATACACCCTGCCTGCACAGTTCCCCCACCCACCACCCGCCACCACCACCGCCCCCAGGATCACCAGCGGCGGCGAGTACATCCCCGTGGCCCCCCTGGAGTGCTGCGGCCTGTGCGTGGGCGCCAAGATCCCCGACAAGCGCAACTGCGAGGACCTCAACTTCTGCTCCAACAACGGCATCTGCACGCTGGGCGCCTGCGACTGCTTCGAGGGCTACGGCGGCGCGGACTGTTCGGAGTACGCGGGCGGCGGCGGGGAGGGCGACGGACTGCCCTGGTGGGGCGCGCTGCTGGTGATGACGGGCAGCGTCATGTTCGTGAGCGCCTCCTCGATCGCGTTGAGGTACGCGGTGCAGGTGCTGCGGGCGCATGCGGCGGGAGAGAGGAGAGGAGGAGGAGGCGGAGCGGGAGCAGGTGGGTGGCGTGAGGGATGTGAGGGGTTGCAGGTGATGAGGATGTGGATAGGGGTAGGGACGGGTTCTTTGTTGGTGCATGGCACATGGGTACTTCATGGGTAGTTCATTGCACCTTACCTTTCCGTGTCCTGTTGTTGCATGCTGAGGAGGTGTTGGGGGGTGTGTGGCTGCGACAACATGTGTGTGTGTGTGGCTGCGGCTGCGACACCCTGCACAGGCGGCGCCAGCTCCGCCGACCGCTCCGGTCCGCTGCGGCCGCTGCTGCTGGCCGATCTAGACGAGGAGGGCAGCGCGGGCAGTCACGACACGGACGAACAAGACCTCTCGGGCTTTGCCGACACAGACAGCTGCGGAGCAGGGGGCGGCGGAGGCGGGGGCGGGAGTGCAGCACTGCGCCCCTTTGGGCGGAGCCATCCGCCGCACTCCTTGCACCCCTCGGGGCAGTCGGGCAGCGGGGCGGGAGGGAACGGCAGGGGCGGGCGCGGCGGCGGGGGCGGAGGAGGAAGGGGCAGTGGGTTAGCGGCTGTGTCGCCGGTGACGTCATCGCTTTCGAATTCCGAGGCGATTATATTCCAGATGGATGACGTATCGCAGCAGACGCCGTCGACGGTTGTACGGAATCCGGAACCTATTTCGGAGCAGCCTGAAGGTGAGTGGGCTTGGGTGTATTTAAGAAAGAAGGGGAGGTGCTGTATACGACAAAGAAGGGAAGGTTTGTGGGAGTGGATGGTAGCGATGTGGCTGGGAATCCACGCTGTGTTGACGCTTCTGCTGCATTGCCCTAACTGCGTGACGTATCGCTTGCCTCCGCAGCCTCCTGCTACCCTGAAACCCCACCCCATACCTCCCTGCAGCCGAGCACGCGGCTCAGCTTGCGGAGATGCAGACGGGTGGTCCGCGGGCCCCCTCCGCAGCAGCAGCAGCAGCGCCGCACCTCCCCGCACCTCACACCCGCCTGGGCGCCGCCGTTGCTGCCACCACCGCTGTGTCCATACCACCAGACGCCGAGGCAGCAGCAGCAGCGGCAGCAGCAGCAGCGGCAGCAGCAGCAGCGGCAGCAGCGGCACCGGAGGCTCAGGCGCTGCTCCGTCGTAGCTTGACAGGAGGCGGCGGCGGCGGAAATGACCTGGCTGCTGTTGCCGAGGGTACTGCTGTGGGTGCTGCTATCACCACCGGCCCCATGGTGTTGCCGCCGGCCCTCGTACCTCCGGTTGCCACCACGGGGCCAGCAGCCGCCGGCGCTGCTGCGGCTGCGGTCACCGCTGCTGCTGCTACCGCAGTGCTGCATCGGCAGGGCTCGGGCAACCTGTACCTGTCAGGAAGCACCGAGCTGGGTGCGGGAGATGTGGGCGGCGGGAGGCGGGTGAGCCTGGGAGGTGGTATCGTGCGCACGGCTAGCGGGCGCTTAGCGCAGGCTGCGGCAGCTGCCGAAGCAGCGCCGGTGGCTATGGGGCCGCTGCCGGCGCCGGCGGTGTTGCTTGCTGAGTTGCTAGGAGCTGGTACTGGCGGCGGCGCAGTAGCAGCTGCAGCAGCAGCCCCTGCGGCGGGTGCGGGTGGTGACGGCGGCGGAGAAGGAGGAGGAGAAGGTCTTGGAGGCGAAGGCGGTAGCGGCGGCCAGGCGACGCTGGCATTGCCCCATGTGTTGCAGTCGTTATCTTCGTTGTCGCGGTCGAACTATTCGTTACAGAACGGCTGGTTGGACGAGCAGCTGACGGCGGAACGGCACCCACCGGACGGCGAGCTGTTGCATGTTGCCTGGTCGGATGCGGGGAGTGTTGCCAGCATGCAGCTGGGGTGAGTGGGGGCCGGGCGGGCAGTCCGGGCTTGTGCCGCTGCTAGTGCTGCTTGGGAACTGGAGCATGGTGCGGAAGCAAAGGGGCTAGGGGGCGCGTTTGGGTTCAATCCCTGCCCTTCCAACGCAATGTGCTGGGGAATCTGCTATAGTACCGTATCTAGCCATGCGGCCCCGGCTCCGCTGCTGCTGCTACTGCTTCTGCTACCGCTACTCCTGCAATCCTCTGCTCCTCTCCCTCTCCCTCCCGTTTCCGCTCCCAGGTCGGACCACCAGGATGACGAGGACGCGCTGCCCGACAGCGTCAGTCGGGTGCCCTCCCGCGCGCAGCTGCTGCTGCTGGACCCCGCGCAGCTGGACTTGCCGGCCGGGGCAGCGGCGGCAGCGGAAGCAGCTCAAGAGGAGGTAACAGCCTTAGAAGCATCTGCAGCAGCAGGAGCTCCTCTTCCGCTCGGCGAGGCAGCAGCCGCACCCGGCTCTCAAGCGGGCTGCTCCACCAACTGGGGTGACGACCCGCTCTCCTCGCTCGACTGGTCGCATGCGGCTCACTCGCAGACCCGAGGACCCGTCGCACAGCTCCCAGCTGCAACACATGCAGGGGGCCTCACCGCTACTGCTGCTGAGGGTGCTGCCGCTGCTGCTGCTGCTGCTGCTGCTGCTACGGATCCTGGATGCTACTACCTTGCAAGGCCTGTAATGGATCCTCTGTTGCTACCAGCAGCAGCAGGTGCTTCAGCCGCCACCGCGGGTGCTGCCGCCGTCGAGAGCCGCCACCTCCGGCCACGTACCGCGAGTGTGGGGCTGCCGGCGACGGCGGCAGCAGCAGCGGCGACAGCAGTGCATTACGGTCGGGATGGGGACCTGCCTGCATCTCCTGCGCACGGCGTGGGTGGTGGTGTGGGCAGCGGTGTGGGTAGTGGCCACACGCTGGCCAGTGCCGCTACGGGCAGTGAGGTACGTGAGGCCCCGCATGAGCTACTGCTGCAACAGCAGGAGCTACTGCAGTTGCATGGGCAGCACTCGCATGGCCAGCAGCAGGAGCAGCTGGTGCTACTGCCCATGCAGCTTGTTGCAACAGACGCGGACTCAGAGGCGGCGGTGTCCTTGGTTTCGGGGCCCTCGGCCGCGGGCGCGTCGATGGTGCACCATCCGGATTACGGGAGCGATTACGGGTCTGAAGCGGCGGGAGGAGCAGGCGGGGTGGTGATGGCGCATGCAGGCGGCGGGGGCCCTACGGACATCTCTGTTGGATGGGGTGAGGGGGTGGCTGCGGGTGCAGGTGTTAGTGGGACCGGTGGGGCCGCAGGTACGAGTGGTGCTGGTGGTGGGTTTGGTGGGCGTACGGCGGGCTTTGCGGGCGCCACCTGTGCCATTTGCATGGAGAAGCCCATTCAGGTCGCGCTGGTGCCGTGCGGGCATGCGAACGTGTGCCGGCGGTGCAGCAGGCGGCTGCTGAGGTGCCCGTTCTGCAGGAAGGAGATCCTGCGGCGTCAGCGGCTGTTCTATAGCTCGTAGGAGTGGGAGGAGGAGGAGGAGGAGAAAGCCGCTGAGGAGCTGATTGAGGTCGGGAAGATAGCGGCAGCAGCAGGAGACGTTATGGGGAAGAAAGGGAGCATGTGCAATGGCTTGCTTGCGGGAGAGGCGAGGGGCAGCTTGGGCGCATAAGCACACGCCGTTCTGCAAAGGTGCGTATGACAATTATTTGGGGGGTCGTATTGTTGCATGGGTGGCTCGGGCCCTGGGTCTCTCGCAGCAGATGCATGTTTATTGGCCCCCCTCGTTGCAAGCAACCTGCACGCAGGGCTATTTCTGCCAAGAGGAAACTACGTGTTGCATGCGGGGTAGGGAATAGGAGGTGGAAGGCCGGCGCAAGTAGGGCACGTGTTTGCCGTGTTGTGTTGAAGAGCTTTTGTATAACAGTTGGTTTGGCAGGTGCCAGCATTGGAAGTGAGGATCGGGTTGCAGATGCAGTTGTACGAGGACATGGAAACTACGGCTTGAAAACTGCTATGCCATTTGCGTCAGAACCTTCATTCACATCTTGTGCCTTACCATGCCGTTCGGCGAGGACTCGTGGTAATTGTTTTGTTAATGCACTTGTCTGCTCTGCCTGCATACCAAGGGTTCAAGTGCCGTGTGTTAACAGAACTGGTCGCGAGTCGCAAGTGCTGTGTGTTAAGAATACTGGCCGCCAGTAGGAACGTACTGAACGTGCTGTGCGTGTGTTCCAAGAGTGAACTGCAGGGGGGTAGCAGTAGTGCAGAGCAGCAGCGGTAGTAGGCGAGCTGAGGGAGGGAGCGTGTAGCATGGGGATTGACGTCTTCTTAGGAAGTGCACGCAACAGCCAATAGCGAGAGGAGTGGCGAGGAGTGTTAAGAGGCATGGTTGTTACGGAGCTGCGGCATGCGGTCATCGCGTCATTGTGTGTTAAGAGAACTGGCCGTGTGTGTGTCGTAGGGTAAGCAGTGATGTCGGCCTTAATTGTGCAGGACTGCTGTCCAGGTCCTGTTGGGCCAGGGTGGGGGAGTGACAGGAGATATGCCATAAAGGCCCCGTCTGGCAGGCACTTGTCATAACGGCTCGTGGTACCGGTATTTCCTGTTGGTTCTGTCTGGTTAGGTTAGGCAAGCATCATCCTCTCGAGACAGTGTGCATTCCTACTCCCATTTGCTCAGGTGCTGCAGTTGTGGGATTTCAGTCCAGTCGCTCAGGGAGGAGGGCTCTGTTGCACGTTTGCATTAAAGGTTGCGTAAGGTGCTCGAGTCTTTGCAGGCAGTTGCGTTTTTGCGAGCAGTTGAGGTGTCGTTACGTAGTCTAGACCTGGTTTTCGCACCGTACACGCAGCGTGTGGCTCTTATTTGATGAGATCTTACAAGGTGCAGCACAGTATCACTTATCGTCTTCCGTAACCCTTAATTGCAGTGTACCTCTGTTTGTACTACTTTTCAAAAATTTGAATCTCCGTACAGCCCTTACAGCATATTTGATTACCGGGCAGCATCTTGCACTCCCCATCCCGCTCTCCCGCGGTTGCCAAACCAGCCTAGGATCCTGCCTACCGCGTGCACCACCGCAACACGCAACAGCCTTGCAAGGGTTCTCTCGCGACCGCACTATCATTAGCTACACAATGCCCCTAATCGGCCTGCAATATAAGTACATGACATTGTCTCTCACGCTCAGGCTTGGCACGTAGCCTGGTCACCGATTTTCCTCGTGACACTTCACTCTTTGCTTGACTATCGTACCTGCTCTCGCCTTGCAACACCTCCAACGCTACGACTCCTCTTGCCCCCTCTTGCCTAATTTATACAGCTCAACGTGCATCGCACATACATGCAGATATGCCACTATGGAGGTAACAGCCAACAATGCGCAGTTGGTCTTCTGTATACCGGTAGAAACCAACCCTGGAATAGCTATAACCCAAGCCAACCCTGATCGTGACACGCGATTGCCGAAATGCCCCGTGCAATCCGGTCATGTGGCGAAGTATCCCCAGGTCACCTACAGCTCAAAGCCAAGGCCGTTCCCTGTGGTCACTCCAATTAACTCCAGTAGTCCCTTGCCGAAGATGCCCTCCACAGCCAAGAGGGCAAAGAATCCAATCATCGCCGCTCGGCTGTTGAGTCGCTCCGCAAAGTCCACGAAACCAGTCCTTGGGGGCGGCACTTCGGGTTGCTTTGGTGGCACAGTCACTCCAGTTGGAAGCTTTACCGCTTGTGTCCGCACTACCAGTGCGCGAGGTACGCGGTTTGTACTTCTGTTAGCGATAGTTCCAGGGCGACCGGCGGTAGACAGCGAAGCCTTGAAGCAAAGCGAAGTCGCCATGGAACGTCTGGTCAGGGATAACCCACAACAATACACCCAATATTAAAGATTGAAACTTAGCGCTATGCTTCAAGTAAGCAAACGTTGAAGTCAGAGAACTTATCACTGTTGCCGCTGCTCATCGCATTGCCACACAAGTAGTATCCGTACAACCGGAGTTGAGCTCGATAGACGAACCTGGAAATTTGTGTCCTATACAATGCATGAAAGGCTAGGCGCGTTTACAGTTTTGGGAGGAAATGAGTAGCAGGAATGTGGGTGGCAATGGGAATGCCCCTGAAGAAGTTGGTGGACTCCCAAGTGCGCCGACTCTTGACCAAGTCTACGCTGCTATAATGTCACGTAAGGTAAGGCTTTTCTTTGCATCATTTTACTCTAGAACTCTTCTGCGCGTATTCATGACTTGCATCATATTTGGGCCATGTAAAACTCCATCGCCGATGGCGCTTACAACGTAAAGCATATTTTGCAGCCAAGTGCCGACTCATCGATGTCGTCTCAGCTACACAACCCTTCTTGCATGCTCGTCCCCAACCACTTTGACCTCCACAGAACAACGTACAAGAGCTTCCAGGTGCGTTGGACGCAGCAGCCTCGGAGGCAGCAGCTCGTTTCCATTCCGGTCTGGGCGGCAGCCTGCGCACCAACACCCTCGAGCAATTGCTGCTGCAAGGCCTGGCTCCGGGCGCGGACGATTCCGCGCTCGGCGGCCCGCTATCCGTCATGCGGTCCAACACCATGGAAGGCATCCTGCGTGACGCCATGTCGGGCGGGCGGGAGCTGCAGGACCTCATGGGTGACTGGAACCATCAACAGCAGCAACAACAGCGCCAGCAGCAGCTGCAGCAGCAGCTGTCGGGTTCAGAGGTGCGCGACTGGGCGCTGCTTCCTTGCTCGTTGCTTGCTGCAGCTGCTAACGCCGATGGAAGGCTGATACCTGCATCCTAACCAGTCCTCCTTTTCAAACACCTGCCTCGCCCCTCCTTTTCTCCATGGGCCCTCTCAACCCTCCGCCCTCTCCGCAACCCTCCGCCCTTCTTTCCACTCCCCTCTTACCTTCCCCCTCTCGCCCTTCCCCCTTCCCCAGAACAAGTTCGTGGAGGGGCTGCTGAGCGACATGGAAGCCATCGACGCGGCGCCCCCGGACGTGCACACCCTGCGCCGTACCTTCACCCTGGAGCGGCTGCTGTCGGGGGGCGAGTCGGAGTCGGCCGGCTCGCTGCTGCGGGCCGGCAGCCCCGCCCTGCCCAACCAGCTGCAGCAGCAGCACCAGCTGCTGCTACTGCAGCAGGCGCAACAGCAGCAGCAGCAGGCGCTGCTGCCACAGCGACAGCACAGCGGTGCAGCAGGCGCAGTAGCTGGTGGTGGTGGAGGGGATGCTGCGGCGGGCGGGGGCGATGGAGGAGCGGCGGCACAGGGGATGCGGGCGAGTGGGGCACGCAGCACCGAAAGGCTGCAGGTGAGCGCGCGCGGGTGTGTGTGTACCGGTCTCATGTTCTCTGAAAGGACGCAGCCAAAGGGAGGGAGTTAGGGTATCTGGTGCGACCCCATGGCGGCTCCGCAATGCAGGTGTCCCGACCTTAGGGGGGGCACGCCTACATGATGACCCCGCATACGTGTCCGCACTGAGCTGATCTGTAAAACAAAACTGTCCCTGCAGGCTAGTACCTTGCTTTCCTCTTCTACATGGCGGAGGTGCTGCTCCTGCTCTCTTGCTTGTAAGCGGTCCAAACCCCGCCCTGCTTGCACCCTCTCCCGCATCCCCGTCTTCCCCCCCTTTCTTCTCACTGTCACGCCATCTCCATGTCCCCACCCGCCGCCCCGCCACTACCACGCAGCGTCAGGAGTCGCTCCACCGCCTGGCCGCCTCCTCCGGTCCCGGCCAGCTGCCACGACCCGGCAGCAGCGGCGGACCCATGGGTCCACCGGCGACCCGTGGACCCCCTGCCGGCGGCTCCTTACTCCGCGCCGCCACAGGCTCCGGCCGTTACGGCGCCGCCGCCTCTGCTGCTATTGCGGAGGATGACGGTGCGGTGTCTCGTAGCCCCAAGCGACTCAAGCAACACCACCACCTTCCCGTGGCGGTCCATTTGAAGTCCGAAGCGGCAGCAGGAGGCGGTGGTGGTGGTGGCGGCATGGCTGCGGCTCCGCAGCGCTCCTGGTCTCAGAGCCTGCTGGACCTGGCGAAGGCTGCGGCGGCACTGGACGGCTGTGACCTGGATGAGGTGGAGGGCGGTCATGGTGCTGCTTCTGCTGCTGGCGGCAAGGAGGGAGAGGGGCGGGACAGGCAGCTGACCCAGCCGCAGCAACGGCGGGGAGCTGAGGTGGAGGGTGGTGCGGGGGAGCGGGGGCGGCGGAAGGAGGCGGTTGCGGAGAGGTTGGGGAATGTGCCAGCGGACACACCCATACCGCTGCCGCCGCAGTGCACTGCAGTCCCCTCAGCTGCTGCTGCTGCTGCAGGCGTGGAGTGCGGGCCGGCGGCTGGGGAACAGCAGCAGGGGGGCAGCCAAAACGATGGGGGCGCGGAGCTCCCTGGCGGTGTCGGCGGCAAGCCCAGCAGTCCGCTCCCGGCCTCAGTCAGCCCTGCTGCTGCCGCCACTGCAGCAACCGGGGCGGCTGCAGGGGGGGCTGTTGCTGCTGCTGCGGCGGGTATTGCTGGGGTTGCTGGAGCCAGCGGCGGCGGTGGCGAGGGCGGTGCAGGCGAGGAGGCGCCCGAGGGTGCTGCCGCCGCCGCCGCGGTGCAGCTGCTCCGGTCGCTGTCCGGACCGCTCCTGCTGAAGCCGCCTGCGGGGTCGCAGGGGGCGATGGGAGGGGGAGCGGGGGAGGAGCGGGGACGGGCGCAAGCAGCACGAGGGGGAGCTGCGGGGGGTGGTGGGGAGGAGGCGGCAGTGGCGGCCTCATCGCCGGACTGCAGCGATTGGAAGCTGGTGAGCAGGGGGAGGGAGGGAGGGGGGTGTGCGGAGGGAAGGGAGGGAGAGGTTGAAGGGAAGTGGTATTTCGCGCCGGGCTGGGGTGCTTTGCGCGTTTGCGTTATCCCACCCGTCCCATGCCTTTCTTCTGTCCTCACTTGCATCCGTTCGTCAGGGACTTGCAGCACCGGTCGCCGCTATCAACACCAGCCTCGTCTTATCCCCGTCCCTCTCCTTTTCCTGCCTTCCCCCCTCCAAACCCCTCCACCCCTCTCCGCCCGCCAGCTCCAGCAGCTGCGGTCCGAGGCCGCCCGCCTGTCCGCCTTCAACTCGGCGCTGCAGGAGCAGCAGGAGGCGGTGCTGCGGCAGGTGGAGGTGCTGCAGGCGCGCAACACGCGGATGAAGCAGACGCTGCTGGAGGTGAGGGGGAGGAGTCGGGGGGGCGGCAGGTTGGAAGGAGGTGGTACAAGGGGGTCTGCTTTCGTTTACGCGCACCCCTCACCCAGTCTGTGTTGGCTTTAGAAAGTCACGAAAGTAAGGTTTCTTCTTCTCCACTCCCCCTCCTTGCCGTCCGCCCCCCCCCTCTCCTTCTTTTCCCCCTCCAGGCCTGCCACGCCAAGGGCATCCACGCGGACATGGAGCTGCTGCACGTGAGCCTGCAGCACCACCGCGCGCAGCCGCTGCCGGAGGCCCAGGCGGCGCAGTTGGCGGCGGCGCTGCTGGGGCGGCACGGGGGCGACCTGGCGGCGACGGTGCAGCAGATGCTGGCTCTGGCGTTGGGGCCGGGAGGGGGGGCGGGTGGGCTGGAGGGCGGGGGAGGGGTGGCGGCTGGGGGACTGGGGGAGCGGGTTGGGGAGGCGGGGCAGCAGGCTGGGTTATGAGGTTCGGTTGGTGGTGATGAGAAAGTGATCGTGATGTTGACATAATGTATGTATATATAGCGGTGTTACGATGGGGGTGGTGAAAGGAAGGAAGGGCGCTTGGGAGAAGTGACAGGTCCGGGCTCTGCTGGGACTGCGGTCCTGGCAAAAAAGCTGCGTTGGCGTTGGTAGTTATCCAGCTAGCCGTTGTACGGCAAGCGACTTGCAACGCGGGTTACGTAAGCCGAGAGCACAAGCAATAGTGGGTTATTGTTTTGCTTTATTGTATTCTGAGTTTCTCGTCAACTCGCCTTGCGTTTCGGTCGGATATTTGGCCTGATTCCAGCTGATTCCGTAAGAAAAATGGACCCGGTGGTGGCCCTCCAGCGCTGGCTAGTCTTTGTAGCATGTCTCAGAATGCTTGCTGGTAAGCATTGCAAACATTGTTACTCCTGCATCTATTGGGGTAGTCGCTTGACGAGCCCTGGCGCGTGTTGCCTCAGTCTTCATTGGGATCTTTGCTCCAAACAAGCTTAAGAGCCAGGTGTTTAACAGGCGGCCCGACCTAGGTAAGCTTGGCTGGGCATTCGTAAAGATTAAAGGCGACGTAAAATAGAACTGATGTCTCATGTACCCGCGCCTGCAGTGAGCGGCCTCCTTGGGCGCCTCTTTGCAGCCTGGACCATCATGACCTGCGCGCTATGCCTTGCATGCGCCCGCGACCCATCAAACCAGACAGTATACGGTAAACCGCTGCGATAGCACGTTCAATGCAAGCACGATGTAACTCAATGTTTTTGTTTGTGCAGGCACCACCCTTTTCTCCTTTGCGGTTGCGCTCGCCTTCTTTCTCTCGGAGCTATTTATTTACAAGACCATGACGATACGTGGTGCATTCATGCCTTTTTTTATTGCCTGTAAGTATTGCCATTTATGTTTTTAGAGGATACAATTGTGTTTCCCTATGACATTGACACTTTTCCCTATCCGATCACTCCAATTGCAGCCGTGTCGACAACTTGGCTCGCCGCTGGCTGGAACTTCTACACTGTCGCGCCTTGAGGTCGAGCAATTCCGTGATGAACTATCGGTTTATTCTCATTGTAACGTGCAAAGTAAGAGACGTTTATCGGCTGGCAATCTTCTGAGCCATCGTAACGCCTACGCAGCCCCGTCAGCAGAACCCCACTTGTCCCTGGCCCTCCGTTTATGTGCCAAGCGGGCTGTCTTAACCATAGGAGGAGTAGTTAACTTCACTAATAGCCACGGTTATTCGGCGACAAGGGGTCCGACGGAATATATCAACGACGTCAGGCTTTGAAAGCAGAAAGGGTCTGTCGACGGGCCAGCTCAAGCATCACGAGAATTATATTGCATTTGAATAGAGCAAGGGAGTTTGTATCTCTGCAGTCTTTCCATGTTGGCTCGTACTGGAAATGTACAACCTTATCGACTAGAGATGAAAGCGGGGCTGCAACAGTAGGGATCACGTAGTGAACTCGAATAAACTGGGGTAGGAATCATGTCTACACTTCATGCTCAGCGCCGCGCTGCGGCAACTTCGCAGCGATCGGATGCAAAGAGCATCCCTAGCTTCTCAGGCGTGGCCTTTCGTGGAGCATGTGTGACACGTCCTGCCTCCGTCCGCAATGCTCGCTCCACAGCTGTCAGGTAGTTAGGGGGGGAGCTAGGGGTTAGTATCGGCCATGTCATGGGGGGTTGATGCCCTGATTGGACGCTGCAACTTTGCGCCATGCAGGTCTCGACGCGTTTCCCAGGTGAAGGCGGTTATTGAGGCGCCCCAGCTGCGGTATGAGCCGGCGACGAAGGCTCGCACTAGTACCGTGCTGTGTAAGTTATTGTCCGGTTCTTGGGTTCCTTTGTTCAGCTATAAATCCATGGCCGGGCCGCAACACACAATGCAGAAAATGCTTCTGTACAGATCGGAGATATTTTTCGCGTTCCGCTGCAAGGACCCGACTCGGGCATGCCCGAGCATCTGACTTTAGTTCGCGCAGCCTTGTTCCGTGATACATGATCTTTCTCCCGAAAGTATCAAATTTTCTGGGCCACACATTTTGCTTATCAGCCATCCAGATCTGTGTACTGGGGTTTATGCACAGGGCCACATGGCGGGGTCATGGCCTGCTGACTGCTGCTCTTCATATGGATACCTGGAGTGTGGGCTGCGTTGCCATCCCTCTTCCATTCACAACAGTTGAAAACACTGGGATGGGAAGGGACGAGTCCCCTCGTCCCTTCCCCCACCCAACCCGCTCCCAACCACCGTCTTCCGGGCTCCTCTGCTCCCCCCCCAGCCTCCTCCCCTGCATGCCACGTTGCTAACCCCCCACCCCCCTGCATGCACCCTCCATACCCTCCCCCGCACCCCCTGCCGTCCGGATCCCCCTCCCGCCACTAACAATGCCTAACACGAGGAAGCCTGCAGTCCCGCCTGCTCGTCACCGCCCCACCCTCCGCTCCTCCTTTCCTCACCCGCAATTACTGCGACACCACCCGCCCCACCGAACAAGCCACCAAGCCACCTCCTCCCCGTGGCTCGCTGTCGCCACGCGCCTGCCCGCATACCTCCTTTTGTTGGCTAATTTCTCCCTTCTCAACTCTCCCTCTCTCCTCCCTCCCTCTCTTCCCCTCCCTCCCTCCCTCCCTCCTCCCACCCTCCCCCAGCCATCATCCTGGGAGGTGGCGCCGGCACGCGCCTCTTCCCGCTCACCAAGTCTCGCGCCAAGCCCGCGGTCCCCATCGGCGGCGCCTACCGCCTGATCGACGTGCCCATGTCCAATTGCATCAACAGCGGCATCTCCAAGATCTACATCCTCACGCAGTTCAACTCCACCTCCCTCAACCGCCACCTGGCACGCGCCTACAACATGGGCAGCGGAGTGCGGTTCGGCGGGGACGGGTTCGTGGAGGTGCTGGCGGCCACACAGACGCCCACGGATAAGGAGTGGTTCCAGGTGGGATGGGGGGAGGGGGGAAAAAGAGAAATTCCAATGTGTGGTGAGGGAGGCAAGGGGGGACAAAGACCATATCAAACCATAGGAGACCACAAGTTAGGGCAAAACAATGGGGGTAGGAGTTGGCTGGGTGCCACAAGACAAGGGGGGGAGGCAAGGGGGGAAGGGAGGCAAGGGGGGGGGGGGGGAGGGGGTGTAAAAAGGAGGGGAGGGAGGGAGGTGGGTGGGAGGGGAGGCATGGGGAAAAGGAAGAAAAGTGAGTTCGCAACTGAGTTCGCAATCACATATCCCGGCTCATGCAGCGAGCGCATACGGGGAAGAAAACAACACCCCTAGCAAGTTCCGGTGACGTTGTTCCCCTCGCGGCGTCCCTCGCGGCGTTCCCACTCCCAGTTCCCCCCTCCCAACCCCTTTTCCCCCACCCCCCATTCCCCCTGCAGGGAACCGCCGACGCCGTACGGCAGTACTCCTGGCTGCTTGAGGACACCAAGAACCGGGCGATTGAGGACGTGCTGATTCTGTCTGGGGACCACCTGTGAGTGTGTTTGGGGGGGTGGGGGGGGAGAGGAAGGGGGGAGAGGAAGGGGGGAGAGGAAGGGGGGAGAGGAAGGGGGAGAGGAAGGGGGGAGAGGAAGGGGGGAGAGGAAGGGGGGAGAGGAAGGGGGGAGAGGAAGGGGGGAGAGGAGGGGGGAGAGGAAGGGGGGAGAGGAAGGGGGGAGAGGAAGGGGGGAGAGGAAGGGGGGAGAGGAAGGGGGGAGAGGAAGGGGGGAGAGGAAGGGGGGAGAGGAAGGGGGGAGAGGAAGGGGGGAGAGGAAGGGGGGAGAGGAAGGGGGGAGAGGAAGGGGGGAGAGGAAGGGGGGAGAGGAAGGGGGAGAGGAAGGGGGAGAGGAAGGGGGAGAGGAAGGAGGGAGAGGAAGGGGGAGAGGAAGGAGGGAGAGGGGAGGGCGGGGGGGCGCACGGCAGCTCAGGAAGACTGAGGGGGGGGGACTCATGGAAGGCGGCAAGGGCAAATGGAGGAATGGGGAGTCCTCGTTCCCGAATGGGAGGAGGCATGAAGACAGGGAGCAGGAAGTGTGGGTTAAGCCCCCGTAATGGCTGCAGGAAGGAAAGGTGCCCGTGGGTCAGTTGCCCGCACGCACCGCCGCCGCCGCCGCCTCCGTCTCACAGCCTTATCCCTCCGATCCCCCTACCCCCTTCCCCACGGATATCGGGGACTCTGACCCCAGCTGCTTCATTTTCCAATCCTGTTTCCCCCTCCCTCCCTCTCCTTATATTACCCCCCCCCCTTCCCCCCCTCCCCCTCCTCCCAGCTACCGCATGGATTACATGAAGTTCGTCAACTACCACCGCGAGACCAACGCGGACATCACCATCGGCTGCATCGCGTACGGCGAGGAGCGGGCGCGCGACTTTGGGCTCATGCGCATCGACGACAAGCGGCGAGTGACGGTAGGGTGGGGGGGAGGGGTGGGGGGGGGAGGCAGGGGAGGTGGGGGACGTAGGGGTGGGGGAGGGGGTTAAATTAGCAAGACTGACGAACTGTGTGACGAGGCTTCAACATGGAAGGAAGGGGAGTGGTGCAGTGGGGAGGTGGAGAGGAAGAAACCAGCTATACCCTCAATGGGAGGGATGAGGAGGAGGGGCTTCTTTGCTCAGCAGCTGGAGGTGCGGCGGCGCGGCTGGTGCTGCTCGCACCTTCACTGCCCCGCCTCGTCAGACATACTCGCTCCCGCTCACACACCCCCTTCCAGTACGTTTCGCCTCGCGGCCAGTTATTTTAACACACCCTTCCCTTTCACCCCCTCCCCTTGCCCTTCCCCCCCCCCTCCCCCCAGGCCTTCGCCGAGAAGCCCAAGAGCCCGGAGGCGCTGGAGGCCATGCGTGTGGACACCACCGTGCTGGGTGTGTGTGGGGAGGAGAGGGGGAGGGGGGTCCGGAGGGGGTGGCCACAATGGGTTGCACTGGTAAAGGTGTACGGCTGTACACACTACTGCTGTACTGCTGCTAGTAGGACATGTTTAGGTTGTTCCTTCCTTATCCCTCGCGCCCCCCCCCATTTCCCCTTTTCCTCCTCTTTTCGGCTCGACTGACGGTTGATTCCACCAGGGATTGTCAGCAACTTGTATCATTATCACACCACACTTTGGAATTTCCCCCCCTGCTCCCCCCCCAGGCCTGACCCCCGAGGAGGCCGCTGAGAAGCCGTACATCGCCAGCATGGGCATCTACGTGTTCAAGAAGAGCGTGCTGGTGCAGCTGCTGAATGAGACGTACGCCAAGGCCAACGACTTTGGGGGGGAGATCATCCCGAAGGTAGGTGGGGGAGGGGGGGAGGGGCTGGGGGGGAGAGGGGAAAGGGTGTTGAGAGGGTGTTGAAAGGGGGGTAGCGCGAGGAGGGGGAGAGCAGAAGAAGAGCCAGGGAGGTGTGAGTCTTCAATGCTAGCCCGTTACACGCCCGTTCGTCTTCTTCCGATGTGCCTGAAAGAAAGGTTACAGAGGTAGGACAGGTGAAGGAGAGACACATGCCAAATCCCTACCCCAACCAAACCAGCGTAACGTCTGTGTTGCCATCCCCACGTGATCGTTTCTTCTGTACCCCCTTTCCCCCCTCCCGCCCCTCCCCACCTTCCCCTCCTCCCGCCCCTCCCCCCTTCCCCCCCTCCCCTCCTGTCAGGCCGCCGCCGACCACAACGTGGTTGCCTACCCCTTCTACGGCTATTGGGAGGACATCGGTACCATCAAGAGCTTCTTCGAGGAGAACCTCAAGCTGTGCAGACATGTGGGTGGGGATGGGGGGGAGGGGGTAAAAAAAGTACAATGAGACACTGACGAAGCAACAGATGACGAGCTGTATGACTTGTAGGCTTCACCATGGGGTGCAAACACGCGGGGGGAGGTGTAGATGGGGCTCTGCGGGTCGTAGAACTCGAACGTGGCGGGCTGGGGGAGGGGGGGGGAGGGGGGGAGGAGAGGGGGGAAGTAAATGAAAAGTGAAGCAGGGGGGAGGTGCGAGAGGAGGTGGTCGTGTACGACACAAAACACCCGGCTGGAGTGCACACATGAGGGCTGACACGGCATACACATACACACACGCTCCCTCCCCCTCTACCCCTCCCCCAGCCCGTCACGTTCGAGTTCTACGACCCGCAGAGCCCCATCTACACCTCCCCCCGCGTGCTGCCGCCCGCCACTGTTAAGAACTGCAAAGTGACGGACGCGATCATTGCGCAGGTGGGGGGGAAGAGGGGGAGGGGTGAGGGGAAGGGGGAGGTAAGGAGGGGGAGGAGGTCAAAGACTATACCAAACCTTAGAAAGCCACAAGTCAGGGCAAAGCCATTGGTATAGGCACAATGCAAAGTGAGGCGGGAGGCGGAGCACACAGCTCTGTACTCTTCCTCTCGTGCGGGGGTTGCCGCCATTCCACACTTCGCCCTCCTCTGCTGTGCACCCCCCCAGTCGCTAAGGCGTATGGGGACCCTGTCGGGATGCCAGTGGCGCACCTCTCAGTTGTGTTCTCCTTCTCCCTCTCCTCCAACTTCATATGACCTTACAAAACCCCCCATCCCCCCCCGCCCCCCCGCCCCCCCAGGGTTCCTTCGTGGAGGACTGCTCCATCAACAATGCGGTCATCGGGATCCGCTCCATCATCGGATCCAACTGCACCATCCAGGTGGGGGGATGGGGGGAGGCAAGCGGAGGCGGAGGGAGGGGTAAGATTGTGTGGCCCAACGTGTCTCCGTTTGCGCTCACTGCGTGGGTCGGGATATGGGATGGAGACTCCGTTGCTTCACTTGTCATTTATTTCTCCCCACCCCCACCTCCTCCCCCCCTTCCCTTCCCCTCCCCCCCCAGGATGCGCTCATCATGGGGGCCGACTACTACGAGAGTGACGAGCAGCGGGCGGCGCTGCTGGCTGCGGGCAAGGTGCCGGTGGGTATCGGCGCCAACAGCCTGGTCAGCAACGCCATCATTGACAAGAACGCGCGCGTGGGTGAGTGAGGGCAGGGCGGGGGGGTGGCGGGGTGGAGGGGCGGAAGGGTGGGAACTTGGGGAGAGATGGCGTTGGGGTTGGGCGGCCCGAAGGGTTGTGGGGTAGGGGGGTTAGGGGGGGTCTGGGGGGTTTGGGGGGTTAGGGGGGGTCTGGGGGGTTTGGGGGGTTAGGGGGGGTCTGGGGGGTTAGGGGGGGTCTGGGGGGTTTGCGGGGGTTGGGGCTCCTTGTGGTGACATGGAGGGGGTGCGGGACCTGCGGGACAGCAGGCCGCCGTTGATGCTGGGGGCGCCATTCACCCTTCGCCCCCCACCCGATCCCAACCCAATCCCCCCGCCCCCCAACCCCCGCCCCCCAGGCAAGAACGTCACCATCGTCAATAAGTCGGGTGTGGAGGAGGGCGCGCGGGAGGCGGAGGGCATCTACATCCGCTCCGGCATCGTGGTGATCGACAAGGGCGGCGTGGTGGCGGACAACTCGGTCATCTAAGACGCGGCAGGACATGACGAGACGAGACGGGACCAGACGAGACCAGACGAGATGGGCTAGGTGGGCATGGAGGCGGCTTCCTTACTAATTGATGCCGATTGTAACAGCGACGAGGGTGAAGACCGTGCAGACACGCTAGCTAGCCGGTGACACACATGATGAGAGGCGGTAGGGTGCTTGACCAGGAGTGGGCGGTTGGGCGTTGAATAGGGGTGCTGCTGGCGGCTATGGCAGCCGCTAGTGCGGGAGTTTTGGGTAGCGGCTAGCGGGTATAGGGGTGAATCCCCTTTCCCGGCAACATTCTTTGACCGGCTGTGCGTTTTTGTGTTTCTTTTGCTGCTGAAGGCTCCATGTCTTGTTTAGGAAAGGGATATATTGCATGCGGTGGTAGCTAGGTGGGGATGCTACATGCACATCCTTGCATGCATGCATGGAGAGGAATGCTGCAATCCGGTTTGTACGGGCACGTAGTGCTACATACAGCGTGCATGGCTGCATGCAGTGAATGCAACATGCATGGCAGGAGGTTTTGCGACATCCCCATTGGGGGGTTGGTTGTTGGTTGTACTGCATGTGCGCGGTGCCGTACACATGCATGGGCGCAGCATGAGGTGATGGATACGGGTTGTGGATGCGGGTTGCGTTTTCCACAGATTTGTACGACGGTTTCGTGTGAGATGTACAACATAATTGGGCTGTTTTATTGCTGCCTTTGCCCATGTGTAGTGTGTAATAACTTCAGCTGCTTGTTAACCGACTGAGCGGCTGAACAGTTATGTAACATATAACCAGAGTCTGCAGTACACATCCTATCGAAAGAGGCCACCGTGGTTGGCAGCACATAGCAGCAATAGGCATGTGTCCTGAAAACAGGTGGCGTGCGGTGAAATGCACTGCCGTATGAGTGGGTAAGCAAGGAGTTTTTGGAGTATCGGAGCGCTGGGGTTGGTGGCTGGGGCCAGCTGTCGTACCGGCCTTTGCGCGCTCCTGAACATCGGTTGCACTGAGCGACATCGAAAAGGAAGAGAAGAGTACAACGTTGTACTGTTTATATAAAATGGTTGCACAGTATACGACCGCTTTGCCCTGCTGCCCCAGCACGGGCGTCAAAGCAGTATGGAACACCTGATTAGACACCGTCAACGGATTGTTCGAAACATCTAACGTGTAAAAATATTTATTGGCAAGGTTGCAATAGCGCTCGACATCTGCTACCTGTGTCAGCCTGTGTCTTTAGTATTGCTCTGCGGGGACTCCAGGGAAAGGCCTTCCAAACGTCCAAAGGCCTTCCCACTATCCTTACATCATCCTGTCTACTGCACGGCTATTAGCTTTGTATATTTGCCGTTACATGTTTTGGACTGCCGTGTCGTATTGGTAGAAAAGAAACCTCCGGCTTTCGCGCGTGGCTTGCGAACATACGCACGACGGAAAACGACCGCGGTGTGCATTACTGTATGTAAAACATTCCTACATGTTGCGTATATAGACGCTTAGGCCAATTCAGCAGCCAGCAACCTCTTGCAGTGGTTTCGACGGCATGTTCCAAACAGCTGCAGCACCTCTCCAAGTGGAATCAAGCGCTGGCGCAAACTGCTTACAAGGTAGAGGAACATATGCTGCTATGGGCCTTCGCCTAAGCGTTGGCGCCCTGTTTTGGTTTCTCCCTGACTAGCGACGTACAACACGACGAATGGCGATGATTACGACACCTACAAAAATGTGTCAATTGGCTTAAGTGGGTAACAGCCTTGTAGGAGTAGTAGCAGCCATGTTGATGTGGCTTCTAAGTTCTTTGATATGGCTACCGGTACCTGTACGTCTGGGAGGCTCCCTAACAGTTCAATCCTGCAGTCTAAACATCAATAACAATACCTTAATTAATTAACAGGTACTTGCACTATGCGAGCAACTGGTAATGGGCATTCTCTGCAAGCGGTTCAGCAGTCTCCATGGCCATGGAGCGATTGGAAACCAACCGCCCAAGTTGCTGGTTTCCGCTGTGGCCCAAGGCTCGTTTCGGCCAGAGCTTCGTCTCTAGCTATCAGTGGCAACATGGACAACAATTCGCCTGAAGTTGACGTGCGACTTGCTGGCGATGCGAGAGTGTATAAGAACGATGGCAAAGTCGCAATGTACGAGCCCCTAAGAGTCATGGATTGCACGTTTCCTTCTCAAGAGCTGGTTTCCTTGCGTAAGGACCCGCTGTGGTGCGATATGCAGCGTCTAAATGCGACGTCGTTCGCCATGGCTATTCCCTCAAGAGCAGTCAACGAAGCCTTCCCTGCGCCAGTTCACCAGGGCATTCCTATCCTCAACCAGCAAGCAGCTTTTGGCTTTCTTTCCGGGCCCACCAGGGCGCCATTTGCCAGCCAGGATGGCAGCTTAGTTCTCGATTGCGCGCAAGTTCTTTCCATGGCCATGCCAGCGCCAGCGCCAGTACGACCTTTGCGACAGCCAACCCTGATACCACTCGCAAATGCAGATATATCAGCCGCGTCAACCATCACACTCGCGCCCTTACCTTCGGCCTCGTCAACGGTTTTCCCGTGGCCTTGGACTCAAGCCCCACCCCCACCCCCACAACTTCAGCCAGCCTTCCCTAGGCCCCTAAACAACGGCCCCAACCTGTCCCTCCACAACCATGACAACGCCGCCGCCCAGGTTCCCTGGCACTTGACTCGGCTATCTGACGACCTCCAGCTAGACGAGAGCCTCCTGGCGGAGATCGAGGCGGCTCCCTGGCCCTGCATGGAGACCTCGCCTTTCAACAGCGCCTCAGCCGCAGCAGCACATGATGCACATGTGGCCTCTGCTACGCCTGCTGCGTGTGCTTCGGTTGATGCTGCAGGCTTAACCCCGCCCACACCCAGCAGCGGCATCATGATGCGCGCTCTCGCGTCGTCAACAGCAGATCTGCTGCTGCTTCCGGGTCGCTCGAACTCCTTCACTCCGGCAGCGGCAGCTGCAGGTCTGCAACTGTACGGCAACAGCGACCCGATGATGACGATGACGTGGCAACCGCAGCCGGCATTGTACGGCATAACGCCATCAGCAGCAGCGCTGCCGCTTGCCCACAGCCTGCAGCAAACCGCCTCCGGTGCTACGACTCCACCTGCTGCTGCGACCCCTTCCACTACAGCCATGGCGGCGGCGGCGGCCTCCGTCGCTGCTACCGGCGGTAGCAGGAGCAGCCAGCACGGGATGACGCCCCTTTCTGCGCCGGGCTACTGCAACAGCAGCGATGCAACCCCCGCCGCCGCCACCACCACCACCACCTCCTGGATACCCTTTCCGTTCCACGAGCTGTCGCCCTTACCCTCACCCTCGCCTTCTCCCTGCCCAAGTACGGCGGTGGCTGTTGCGGACCGCTGCTCCGTATGCGGTACTCCTGCCCCTGCAATAACAGCTCCGACGGGGGCAGAGCCTTTCCCTGCTGCTGCTGGGGCTGCGGCTGCTGCTGCTGTGGCTGTGGCTGCGGCTGCGACTGCTGGGGCGGCGGGTGCTCCCGCCGGCCTCCTTCCAGGTATTGCCATCGCACCTACAGCGACGATGCCGCCGCTGACAACGACAATGGCGATGGATGAGTCAGCGGAGGAGATGGGAATGAAAGGAAAGTCCGGTCATCACGACCGGCTCCACGACGCCAGCGGCGGTGACAACGGCGGCGAGGGGGATGCTGATCACAAAGGCACCGCCACCGCCGGCGGTTCAGGCTCCCCGACCCGCAGCTCGTGCATGGCTGCCGCTCCCAACCCCGTCCGCCCCATCAACCCCAACCGGGCTGCTGCTGCTGCTGCGGGCGGCCCTCGCCGCGGCCGCAACTCCCACGCCGCTCCCGCCGCCCCCGCAATCATCAGTCTGGATGTCCTGCGCGGTTTGTTCGAGCTGCCCGTGCACGAGGCGGTTCGGCGGCTGGGGGTGAGCGCGACCGACCTGAAGCGGCGCTGCCGGGCGCTGGGGGTGGCGTGTCATGACACAGCGCGTGCTTGTCATATCGTGTGGCTTAGAGTTGCCGTACGTGCTCGTCCAACCGTGTCTCGCGTATGCGATTTGTGGTCTATCTAGAGGATGTGATGATAGTGCCATTGCTTGAGTAAACGCTGGAAGTTGCGTGACTAGTGTGAGCGCTTGGCCATGGACATGATGTCATGCTTGCTGTGCGACTTGTCATTAGAAGAGACGCTATTTACCGCGATGTTTACATCTTGCTATTGTCTGTTGATTTGTCTATGATATCCTGACTACAGGGAAGGTAGGATATTTACGTGAGCTTTGCCGTACCGTATCGGCATGCTGGCAAGGGTGCGGAGACTCTCGGTGGAGTCACCTTTGCCAGCGCAGCTAGCGGAGAAGACTGAACTTCTTGCGTGTCTTTTGGCCGCCTAAAAGCGCCACTGATATCGCTGTGCGTGTAAAAGGACATTACAACCAATTGGCATCCACTCTCTAGTGTTTCCTCTCTACCCTCGCGCGGGAGCCTGGACAAGCACCCAGGACTACTCCCGTACTCCCAACCCACTCTGGCCATCAGCCTCTTCGATGGGCGCCGCCCCCACGACTTCTATGGGGACCTGCTGGTGTTCTCGAATCTGCCAGCCGCGGTCGTGATAGGGCGGGCGTTCCTGGACGCTACCAACGGCCTCCCAGCTGGGGGGGAGTGGTGAGTCACTGGAAGCTGGGCTGCCTACGCTTGGGCTCAGCCTGATCATGCTCACAGCCAGTGACGTCAGCTTGTATGAGTGCACCCAGCATGCGGCAGCTGTAGCTGAGCTCCTGGATGCACAGCCAACCAACCTGTCGGATGTGTGGGATGACGCGAATACCCTGCACTACCTTCGCAACATGGCCGCCCCAGAGGGCGTGGATGCCGTGGAGCTGAAGAGGGTGTTGCGTCGGGCACGATCTTACCGCTTCCAGGGGCAGGAACTGCTTAGGCTGATGGCCAATAGCTCAACTCGCATCTGCCCTCCGCCTGAGCAGCGGGAGGCGCTGATTGAGCAAAGCCACCGGCGCCTGGGCCATTTTGGAATGCGCCGTACCGCGGGCTTGATCAAACTGAGCTATTGGTGGAGTGGCATGCATGCTGACGTTTCCTCAGTGGTGTCAAGGTGCAAGCTCTGCGACAGGGCAAACACCACTGGCAACGTGCGTCCTGAGGAGCTGCAGCCTTTGCCCATCAAGGGACCCATGTATCGTTGGGGTGTGGACCTGTGTGGGCCATTCCCTGAGACAGCACGTGGAGACAGGTACGTGATGGTGGCGATTGAGCACTTCAGCAAACACATTGAGTTGATTCCGTTGCCCGACAAGACAGCGAAGAGCACGGCGCAGGCCTTCCTATCGAATGTCCTAGCCCGTTTCTCTGCACCTGCCGAGGTCTTGACTGATAGGGGCGCGGAATGGCAAGGGGAGTTCGCAGCGCTCTTGGAGCAGTGCGCCATTGATCACCGTGAAACGTCCGCTGAGCACCCCCAGACCGATGGGGCAGCAGAGCGGATTGTGCAGGTGGTCAAGCGAGGCTTGCGAAAGTACTGCGCGCAGGAGGGTAGGGCTCAAGCATGGGATGAGTTCCTGCCATGGATGGCACTGGGCTACCGTTGCTCTCCTCAGGCGTCCACACGAATGACGCCGTACTTTCTGCTGTACGGGGTGGATCCTGTGGTGCCGCCTGCAGTGCGTGAGAGGTTCGCGGAGCCCCTGGACCCGACCAACGAACAGGAGTTCAAACGTTTCCTTCAGGTTAGGGGGGAGGCACTTAGGCACGCGATCCCTGCCGCAGCTGGAAACCTCTTGATTGCCCAGCACCGTGATTGCTATCAGTACGCTAGGAAGCGCGCCGGGGGATACAAGCCACGGTTCGAACGGTTTGAACCTGGGGACTACGTGTACGTGATGCTGAACAACACGAACAGCACGCTGCAGATGCCGGTGCGGGAGAATGTGCTGCGAGTCGTCTCAGTGGATCCCAACGGTGTAGCTACGTTGGTGGGCCGCTGTGGGACCGAGCGCAAGGAGCATGTGACACGGCTTGCGCCCTGTCATCTGCCTGACCTGGATCCTATCGTAGACCCACGCATTGCTGTGCCGCCCTTGGACCTGGAGTGCGAAATCTGTGGCTTCCCGGACCAGCCGAGCAAGATGTTGCTTTGTGACTCGTGCGGTTCCGGGTGGCACATGCACTGCCTGAAGCCAGCCGTCAAGAAGGTGCCCAAGGGGACCTGGATTTGCCCGGATTGCGTCGAGCAAGGAGTGACCCCGCAGCAGATTGACGCCAAGCCGCTGGTACCCGCACCTGCTCCCGCTCCCCAACTGTTCCCTTCCGCCAGGCAGAGGAGGCGCGCCAAGGCCGCTGAGGCGCTCCAGGGGCGCGTCTTGAGGAGGTCAGTCAAGGATCCGAAGACGCTCTGCCTGAGGGAGGAGATAGGCGTGATCAACGGGGAGGAGGTCCAGGAGGACTACGCTGGAGTGATGGTGGAGTACGGGGGAGGAGCTTTTGAGCGCATGAACGTCAGCGTGGCGCAGCAGCTGCTTCTGGACGAGGAGTCAGCCTGGGGCGCAGCCCGCACCCTCCGTACTGTGGCAACTACCCGTGCTGCACGGCTCCCGGATAGCTGGGACTTAACTTCGCGTGAGGGGCTGAGTGCGGCGATGGGGGAGCTCATGCCGGGGGCTTACAGTGATCGCCACCTGGGCAGGTTGGTTAACCGAGTGCCAGGGGGCAAGCAGTTTCAGTATGAGTGTGTACCCACGGGGATTGAGGAGGTGAGGCCTTTGCTGGAGAGCATTCGTTTTGATGAGTGTGCGGGCATCTTCGACCCGTGGTGTGGAACAGGTGGGGTCGCCAGGGCGTTTCGCGAGGCGGGACACTCGGTCTTTGGCAATGACGCCAACCCTGCTTGCGTTGCTCACATGCACCGTGACGCGTTGCAGCCTGGCACGTACCGTGAGGCTATGAAGGTCTATTCCTACGAGGCCGTTGTTGTGTCTCCTTGGTTTGCAGTGCTTGACGTTGCACTGCCGTTGGCTACCCGTTTCACACCTGTCGTTGCGTTTCACGTGCCGGGGCACTACGTGACGGATGCTACAGCGGCTCGGACCAAGTACCTGGCGAAGCTGCAGGAGGAAGGACGGCTTGCGTTGTTGCTGGGACTGCCAAGAGGGCCGATGGGGAGGCGGTGTGTGTGGGTTTGCGTGTTTGCCACTCGCGAGTGGCGGGAGAGGATGTTGAAACCGGTTGTAGGACGAAATGAGGTCTGGTTGCTGAGGTGAAGTAGGCGCGTGTTGAAGGGGATGCAGAGGTTGCTGTGCTACTTTGCTGTCAGTTCTGGTGCGCTGTGTTTGTGTGTTGCTTGTGGCCGCTGTAGACAGCTTCCGACCTCCGGGTTCTCAGCTGGGGGGGGAGTTGTACTGTCGGGCCTCCGTCGCAACAGCACGTGATACGTCATGACAGGCGCGCTGGCCGCAGCGCAAGCTGGTCAGCCTGCGGCGGCTGGCGGAGGCGGTACGGGCGGACGAGGAGATGGAGGTGGACAGGAAAGAGGTGGGTGGGTGGGTTGGAAAGGGCGGGTGGGTGGCTATGCGGCATGTGGGGGGCTACCGGATTGCAGCATGGGGCCTACCAGCTTGTCTGGGCTGGTATCTTGGTTTAGTCCAGCCATTCAGTTATCTCCACGTCGCTTCACCGTGCGAAGTCGCCCACTCGCCGCACTCCCCACGGACTGCGCCCCTGCCCTTTGCGCTCCCACTTGCCCATGGCGGGGCCTGGTTCATGCTCATGCTCATGTTTCTCCCGACCCCCCACTGCTGCCTCCTGACCCCCCCGCCCCCCTCAGGAGCTGCTGTCATCCATCCGCCGCAACCGCGCGGACATCCTGGCCCGCCCGGACACAGAGCTGCTGCCCGGACTCAAGACCATGCGGCAGGCGCAGTACAAGAGGGTCTTCGAGGACAGGCGCGGTGGTGGCGGCGGCAGTGGCAGTGACATCGACGTTTAGCGGAGGAAGGCGGCATGTGGTGAGGTCGCACGCAGCAGCGTTGAGTTGGAGTGCCGTGGATAAGAGCTTTGGCTGCAGGCTGGTGCGGTGCGTGCGCCTATTAGCAATATGGGGGGGGCCGGGATGCAAAATAGATATGTGAACTCCGAGCTGCAATGTTGAGCAACGAATTGAGGGAGCAAGGCTGGTAACTGGGGCACCTGCTTGCTGCTGTGGGTTCGCATTGAATACTTTTGAGTTAATTCGAGCGCACTTCTGGGTTTCACTGTTGATTGTTACGTTCGTGAGTTGGGCCCCTTTACTAGCTGGGCTATAGCGCTGTCTTCGATGGCTAGGATAAGGCGGGCCTAGCAGCAGGGGGCATTGCATCGCATCACATCGCATCGCATAGGGCGCCGTGCCCACCTATAAAATGAGAATTGTAAAACGCCGTCGTATGCATGAGGGCGTTACTTCCTGTCTGGAGCAGTAAGCGATGGTAGAAGGTATGTAGGCATGCTGCCGTGAAGGGATGCTGCTGCAACTGGTGACCCGTGGGTCATCATGAAGCTTCTGAGGACTGTGCTTTTCCCGCAAACGTTAAGAGAGATTGCTGGGTGCTGAAGGCATGGGCGTTTCAATCCTGGCATCGTTATCATTGTGTGTTCATGTCATGGGAGGGGTATCGGAGCTGGATCCTCACTCGCATGATCTTCTGTCATGCATGCATGCACATACATGCACATTGGCCTCGATTTTAGCCAGAGTTTTCTCCGCCATAGGGGAGACAGGCTTGTTACCGGTTGGCTTTCTAGATGGGGTCATTACGGTGTTGTGGAAAGGTAGGGGTGACCGTACACTAGCTGGTAACTACCGTCCTATTACTCTGTTGTGTACAGATTATCGCCTTCTTGCGAAGGTACTTGCATCACGCGTTGGGCTGGCTCTAGGTGACGTGATTACTTTAGAGCAGTCGGCGTTCCTTCCTGGTAGATTAATTGGTGCCAATGTGCGTTTTTTGCGTACACTTCCGCATTTGCTTACTCACCAGGGGCGCTCCGGCATGGTAGATTTCTTGGATTTTGCTAAGGCGTATGATACCTTGGATCGGGCTTTCCTGTTCTCGGTCATGGATGCAATGGGGGCTGGGGCAGGCCTGTTGAAGTGGGCTAAGCTTCTGCTCAGTGACACGTGTGCTGTTGCGGTTGTTAACGGCTACAGGTCGCAACGGGTGTGTATGGAAGCAGGTGTACGACAAGGGTGTCCTTTGGCGCCTTTGCTGTACTTGTTTGCTGCGCAAGCCCTTTTGTGTTGGTTACAGCACTGCCAGGTTGGTGTGGCGCTTGATCCGTTGGATTCCTCCCTTACCACAGCTGTTCAGTTTGCTGATGACACTGAAGTGGTGTTGCGAGGGCCTGATGCGGTGGGGGATTTCCTCCAGCACATGGAGACGTTTGCGAAGGCGTCGGGTCAACGCTTGATTTTGGACAAGGTAGAGCTCTTGCCAATAGGGGTTCAGACGGGTACTGAGGGGCAGCAGGTTATTCATGGAGTGTCGGTAGCTCGTACGGCAGTGGCGCTTAATGTGCCTTTTACTAACTCGGACACGGTTCCGGGTCTTGACTGGAGCAAACGGTTTCAGGAAGCGGAGCACCGCTTACAGAAGTTGGCTCGCCTTCCGCTTTCCATTTTTGGTAGGGCTACCGGCGCAGCTGCTTATGCTTTGCATACGGTAACTTGGCACATGGAGCATTCCGGTTTGACTCCGGGTGATCAGTTGGACAACCTGGGGAGGTTGGTGGCTAAGTTTATTGATCGGCACCAGGGTCCGCAGGATAGGGAGCGTCGTGCCACGGGTGTTCCGGGTAGGCTGTTAGCAGGTCACCCCAGGGCAGGGGGTTTTGGTGCCTTGCCTTTGATTGAGCATATCCGGGCCCGTTTTGCTTGTTGGGGTGCCCGTTTAGTTTGTTCCGCCGTGATGCCAAGGGATTCCTTACATCCCTGGCAGCGTGCTTTGCTTCTGTACCTTCGAAGGTTGCATCCGGCTTTTGGTCCCCTATCATTGTTGACAGCGTCCAGGAGGGGGCCTTGGTTGGGTGTGGATGGTTTGCCTGAGGATATTCGTCGGGTTGTGACTTCTATGGCAATTTTACCGCCAGTTACTGACATTGGGTCGGAGCCTTTGGTACCGGGTAGCTGGTGTTGGGGTGTTCCGTTGTGGGGTAACCCTTTCTTGCCGGTTGGGCTGCCGGGCCAACCTGGTGTGTTGGGTTTGGAACACCACTATCCGGTGCTCGTTCATTGCCATGCCCTGAGTTCATTGGGTATGTGTGTGGCTGCCCTGGCTCAACTTCGTTGTTTTGAGGACACGTGGGATTCAGCGTTGTTGAACGGTGTGTCGGGGGTTGCTGAGGGCAGGGTGATGGAGAGGTGCTGGTCAGCTCTTGTACGTCGGTTTTTGGACCCGGCGTCCCCGGATGCCTGTGCTCTTTGTTCGTTGCCGAGGTGTCGTGATCTTTTGACGTCTCTTGAGTCGTTGTTGGGTGCGGTGCCTGTGGCTTGGGTGGAGGCTGCTGAGGCTTTTCTTGTTGATGCCTTGCCGCCCCAACCTCTGCCGGCTTCTGAGGTTGATGCTTGGCAGGTTTTGGTTCCACGTTTGGGGTGGCAGTTGCCTCATGTTGGCGCCGTTCCTTTGAGGAATCTGTCGGTTCGGATGGCTACCGTTCTTCAGCTTGGGGGTGTGTTTGAGGAACGTGCTGTGTTGCATGCGGCTTTTATTCGGGAGGCCCTGGGGTTACCTGCTACCCAGCAGCTTCCTGAGGGTGTCTTGGATGGCCTTCGTGATTCTTTCCAGCGTCTTTGGTCGATTCGTTGGGAGAATGGTTTCAAGGAAGCGTTTTGGCGTCTTTCTATTGATGGGGTTCCCTTGCTGGGGAATTCTCATATGTCTAGGGCTCGTCCGGAATGTTGTGGTTGTGGGTCCGTTGTCTTGGGGGTGTCTCCGCGGTTGCATTTTTTCTGGGCTTGTCCTGTTGCTCGTGCTGTGGTTGAGCAGCTTGAGGTCACGCTGGGTATTGCGGTTCCTCGGGCTGCCTTGTGGTTGGCGTTGCCTCCTTCGGGCGTGCAGCAGTGCGTTTGGGATGTTGTTGTTTTGGCTGCTTTGTCCGCTATGGAGGAGGGTCGGCGGTTGTTACGGGCTCGTGTACGTGAGTCTGGTTCTGCGGGTGTTGTGCCTGGGCTTGCTGCTGTGGTGGCCCTGTCTGCTGTTTCCTGGTTCTGGGGTCAGCTTCGGGGTTTTGCTTGTTTGGGTGTTCCCCGTCGGGGATGGGCTGGGGTTGGCCCTTCTCATCCTTTCTTACGTATTGTTGGCGGGCGGTTTTCTGTGGGCCGTTGAGCGTCCTGTTTTTTGGCCCTGATGCCTTTGGGGTGGTGTGTTCGTGGCTTCCGGTTTGGGTTGTCTTATGCCCTAGATGAAGTTTGTCGAGGTTTGCTGAGGGGCCTTTTGTTGGCTTCTACCCTCTTGCTTGTTTCCCTCCTGAGGTTTCTTTTAGGGCTATGTCTCCCATCTTGTTGGCCCGTTGTGGTGCTGTCTCTACGGTTTGTTCCGTTTCTTTTGCAATGTAGGGTTGGGTTCATCACCCGTGTTCCCTTTTAGGGCACCATTGTAACGGTCATTCATTCATGCACATGCTTGCTGCATGCATGCCGCATAACCCGCCCATGCATGTGCAAGTAGGTGCAAAGGGTGTTGTTGGTATGCTGTAGCTTTATTATAGTTCTCCGCTGTTCACGTTTTGGCTGGCCTTTCCTTTCCTGGAGGCGTTCTGGGTATCGTGTGATGTTCTCGCGCGCAGAGTCAGCATGAGGGCGAGCGGAAGGTGTGTCCCAGTGCCAGCACTGCAGGCATATCACTTGGTTCGCTGTCATCCCATTCCCACCCGCTAGTCGATTGAGCGTGCATGTGAAACCATACTAGTGTGTTTCGGTAGCCTGCTGCAAACGTCATCAGGGAGTTGGCGGCAACTGACTGGCTTTGTCGTATTGTCGTACTATTGTTGCTTGTAGTTACACTGTTTAGATGCATAGGGCATCCTGTCCTTTTTTCGCGCACAGTTTTCGTGTGCAGCCGTTTTGCAGGAGCCTTGGCCGTAAGTACTTGGATACTTGCAGTACTTGTAGAACTTGTAGCTGTGGGCCTGTCTGCTGATCGGAAGATATAAGAGGAGACGCTCGTGCTTAGTGTTACATCCCGTGCGGGTCTCGCGAGCAACAATAAAGGCCCTTGCTAGTTTGTTAGCTCGGTCACGCGTGCTTCTGATTGGGAAGAGTCATACCGCTGGTGTGTTCGTTACGCATGCCGGTATGAAACCCTGGCGTTCGTCTGCTTTAGAGCACAAGACCTATTTCGAGTGATCGTGTTAAGATAGTTAGCTGGCGAGGAGGAACTAACCTACTGTGATTGCCGGAAGATGAATCCCCAGGGTTTGTTACTAATATAGCTGACCGCGAGGAGGAACGTACTGTGGCTGCCGTACTGAGATGCGTGTGCGTTCTGCTGCAAGGTTGATTGCGAACGAAGTAAAATGCCGCTGTTCGTTTTTCGCATTTCCGTACAACGTTTAGCCGTATCGAGTGTATTGCTGGCTGTAGAGGAGCAGGCAACATAGCGCGTGGTGGCATCTGTGTGAATTGGGGTAGCTAGTAAACATGTGACTGCTTCAAAACGCTTGCGTGCCCATTGCAGCTTGCCAACTTTGAGGCGTTGCGTGGAGAGTTTGAAGACACATCGTCTCCTTGGGTTTCAAGTGCCGCCTTGCCTTCAGTGGCTGCAAAGTGCGTCCTTCTTGACGTGTCTTTAGCCTTCCGTACCGGAGTGGATGAACGAGTGGTCTGCTGTTGGAGTGGCACAATTGTGATCCAACAGCGCGCTTCGTGTAGGGTAACCAGTACTACTTCGTGACGCGAGTTCTATTTAGCCGGGATCTTTCTGCTGCTGGGGTGTATGTATCACCCTTCCCCCTGCTTTTCCCGTGCCCTCCTACAAGCCGTGGGATTATGCATGCCCCGGCTTCGCAATTTTGCTGCTGCGGAATGCATGAGGGTTGAGGCTTCTGAGAGCGTGGTACGACAATAACTTACTCGGTGTAGCGGCTAGTTGCTGATTGTGTCTGTGGCTGAAGTACGGCAGGAGCATTCAAGACAAGCAACATGATGGAAGGCTTAGTTCCGTGCTGTTTATGATGTGGGTGCCGTGGGGCGTGGTGTGAGGAGGTGGCGAGGTGACATGTGGTGGAAGGGTGACATGAAGGGGGGGGCTGTGAGGAGGGACTGCGGTGTGCCAGACAGAGAGAGGTGAGTCGCCAGCAGATTAGAAGCGGAGGAGGTCCGGAGGGGCGAGAGATGAGGCGGTGGGTGTCAGCGGCCAGCAGTGGATGCTTGGAAGTATGACGGAGGGTCTGGATGGAGTTGTGCACCGTGACACTGTGTTACTATCGCGCATTGGTGCTGATGAGTTGTAACCCAAGCGCATGCGTTTGGTTGCTGTATACTATGTGGGGAGCTGGATAAAGTCGTGCGTGTGAATGAGGGGACGCTGTGTTTGGACGTTGATGGGCATCCAGGTCATTAGCGGCAAAGCAGGGATCCATTCGCTGCTGGACTGTAACGCCTTTGCATGCTGTATGGTGTCATTTGGCGGTCTGGCTGTCCTAAGCGGCGTGCCTGCCTTGCATGCAGCACCAGCCGCCATACGACTGCTACTTCATCAAGGTGTGCAGCAATGACAGATGGCACCTGCCGCCTCGCGTTGTGCGTTGTAAGTATCTGTGTAGCTGAAGAGTTATATCGCGCATGAAATGCGGCTTCCGTGCTTAGGGGCGCAGGGCGGTTGTGCCCCTCTCCTGTCTGGCGAGCAACCGGCTGTCATATCAGGTCGCCTCACCGCCAATTTCAGAGCGCGTGTCTTGCGTGTGGCAAACTTATGTTGCATGTAACGGAGCTGTTTCATAAAAGACGTCATACGTAAAGGTACTGTCGGGCTGCGCGCATTATACGTACGCAGTGAGACAATTACCGAAATGGCGGCTAAGAGTAGTCTAGGGCTGACTGGGGTTGAAGCCATGCTTACTGAACATTCCTTTAGCAAGATATGTTTAGGTTATTATACCCACGTGGATTTGCAAGCCACGTGAGCCTTTCCCGTCAAAGTGCCCGTTAATCGTAGCCAGGCATT